TTTAACACTGTACATGCAGTGAACTTGACCCCTTCCTTCCACAGTCTTTCCCAATCTTCAAACATTATGTTGTGGCCCACATCTCTTGCCCAAGAGGTGGTCTTTCAGCTATAGGTTTTGTGGACTGGTGCCACAATCAAATGCATGAAGTAGCGTAATCAATGTGACTTTCAGAAACCAATTATCCTTAGCTGGCTGACATCATATATGCCTGCATGGTTTAATGGCATGCCATCCCTGAGCTGTCTGGCAGCACTCACTGAACCATCGTTAAAACAAAAAAAATTCCTTCCAGTAGCACCTTAAAGACCAACTAAGTTAGTTCTTGGTATGAGCTTTCGTGTGCATGCACACTTCTTCAGATACACACACGAAATGCACACGAAAGCACTTCTTCAGATACACGAAATGCACACGAAATGCACTTCTTCAGATACACACACGAAATGCACACGAAAGCTCATACCAAGAACTAACTTAGTTGGTCTTTAAGGTGCTACTGGAAGGAATTTTTTTTGTTTTGACTATGGCAGACCAACACGGCTACCTATCTGTAACTGAACCATCGTTATCATTTGAGACACAAATGGTTGCCTCCATTTATTTATTACTGCATTTGAATCTCACATTTTATCCAGGGAACTCAAGGCGCCATACATCCCCCCCCTCTCCCCATTTATCCTTACAGCAACCCTGTGAGGTAGGTTAGGCGGCAAGACAGTGATTGACTCAAGGTCGTGCCTGAGAGGAAATTTGAACCCTGATCTCCCAGGTCTTAGTCTGACACACTAACCACTACACCACACTGCCTCTCTTTGGCATGGAGCATCCATTACCACCTTAGGCTGGTGTGGCTTCAGTAATCTACTAGTAGGTAAAGGACCCCTGGATGGTTAAGTCCAGTCATCAAAGGTGACTATGGGGTTGCATCGCTCATCTCACTTTCAGGCTGAGGGAGCCAGTGTTTGTCCACAGACAGCTTTTTCCGGGTCATGTGGCCAGCATGACTTAACCACTTCTGGAGCAATGAGACACCGTGACAGAAACCAGAGCGCACGGAAATGCTGTTTACCTTCCTGCCGCAGCGGTACCTATTTATCTGCTTGCGTGCTTTCGAACTGCTAGTTAGGCAGGAGCTGGGACAGAGCAACAGGAGCTCACTCCGTCGCAGGGATTCGAACCGCCGACCACAGAGCCATCTGCATCCCTATTCCTACTAGTAGAACTGGCTTGGGGCAGGGCGGCGCTGCTGCCCTGCCTGCTGATGAACCTCCAGATTAGACTACAGTGGTACATTGGTTCTGAAACGTAATCCATTCCGGGAGTCCGTCCGATTCTCGAAACCATTTGAAAACCAAGGCACAGCTTCCAATTGGCTGCAGGAGCTTCCAGCACTCAAGTGGAAGCCACATCGGATGTTCGGCTTCTGAAAAATGTTCGCAAACTGGGAAGAGGACTGGAAAAAATTTAAGGACTATTTACAAAAACATTATAAGTTGTATGAATGTTAAGAAGTTGCACGATTTGGAAATTCTAGCTTCAGCAATCAGATTTGGTGAGCAAGAAACTAAGATAAAAAACGTAAGAAAAGGTTGAAATTTAAAGCTATATTATGCTTATTTTAAGGTATAAGTTATTGACAAAAGGTACTTTAAACTTAGAAGAATAATATTTGAAAGACACAAGTAAGGTATGAAACAAGGTAATAATTTGCTGATATGTTTATGGAAAGGAACGCAGGGTGAGGGAGACGTGGGGAAGTCTGGTTGGTAATGTAAAAATGTTTATGAAAGTTGGATTTTTTCTTTTTTCTTTTTTCTTCATGTACTTTACACTTTTGACTTTGTATTTGAAAATGCAATAAATTTTTTTTAAAAAAAATGAAAAATGTTCGCAAACTGGAACACTTACTTCCGGGTTTGCGGTGTTTGGGTTCTGATTTGTTCAACAACTAAGCCGTTCAAGAACCAAGGTACCACTGTACTATAATTTGTTTATATGTGGGGCTGCCTTTAAAGACCGTATGGAAACTGAATTTATGTCACATCCACACTGCACGCTTAAAGAACGGTACATGCTTCCTTCCCTCACCCAACCCGCGACCACAAAGAACCCTGGGAACTCTAATTTCCCCCTTGCAATGCTACAATTCCCAGCACCGTTAACAAACTACGGTTCCTAGGATTTTGTGTGGAGTAAGCCAGCTGCTTTAAATGTATGTGTGGGTGTGACCTTAGTCCAAAATATAGCTGCAGAGCTGTTAACCCCAACTGGGTGCTATCATCACATTATGCTTTTGCTTCGCCAATGGCACCAGCTGCCGATTAGTTTTCAGGTTCAAGATGTTGGTTTTTATGTGAGGCTTGAGGGAGGGAGACCGGAGGGGCTGATTGCCCCCACAGTTGCCTGCCCACGTGCTGAGATCTTCAGCAGAGGTCCTCCTTCTGGTGTCCCCACCCTCTGAAGTGCGGCAAAGAGCTCTACATGAAAGGGCCTTCTTGGTGATGACCCCTTGACTATGGAATACTCTCCCTGAGGAAGCCCTCCTGATCCCTACCTTGCTGTCATTTTAGTAAAGACCTTTCCGCGTTAATGGACTATATGTCGCTATTATGGCGCTTGGTGTTTGTTGTCAATCTCGTTGAGTTTCTTTGCTGCTCTTTTCTACTGTAGTATTTCAACATTTTATTTTATTGCATTTTTTTTGTAAAGGGAACCTGCTGAAGGGCCAGCTATGAATTTAATAATAATAATATTATTAATAATAATAATAAATGCAGACATAGGATTAAAGGGCACACATCCAATGAAGATTTATTCAGCGTTAAAAGTTGTGGAGTCCAGAGGGGCTTTAATTAAAATACACCTAGCAGGTGTATTTTTTGGGGACGCGGGTGGCGCTGTGAGTTAAACCACAGAGCCTAGGACTTGCCAATCAGAAGGTCGGCGGTTTGAATCCCCACGACGGGGTGAGCGCCCGTTGCTCGGTCCCTGCTCCTGCCAACCTAGCAGTTTGAAAGCACGTCAAAGTGCAAGTAGATAAATAGGTACTGCTCTGGCGGGAAGGTAAACGGCGTTTCCGTGCACTGCTCTGGTTCGCCAGAAGCGGCTTAGTCATGCTGGCCACATGACCCGGAAGCTGTACGCCGGCTCCCTAGGCCAATAAAGAGAGATGAGTGCCGCAACTCCAGAGTCAGCCACGACTGAACCTAATGGTCAGGGATTCCTTTACCTTTACCTAGCAGGTGTATTTAGGATTATGATCTTACCCAGTCTGATTCTTGACATGTTTTAAGTAAACGGAAGTGAAATAATTACCTAAATGCAATAAGTAAATACTTCTCCTCCCTTTACCTCCTTCATTTTATTGCCTTTCCCTTGCTTCCTCTCTTTCCAGATTGAAAGCCCCGTTTATTTATTGCAGGGGTCAGCAACCTTTTTCAGCTGGGGGCCGGTCCACTGTCCCTCAGACCATGTGGGGGGCCGAACTATTTTTTTTTGGGGGGGGTTGAATGCATTCCTATAAATGAATTACGTAGTGCATAATTTTCTATGGGTGTCAATGGCTCTCCTCCCCACCCCGAACAAAGCTTGAGGTCAAAAGAGCACACCTGAAGCACATTTGCCATCCTTTAAAGAATTCTGGGTACTGTAGTTTATTAAGAGTTGCTGGAAATTGTAATTCTGTGACACACGTTTACTAGTCTTTAAGGCAGGGGATGGGAGGAACACTATGCTGCAAGGTTCCAGTTTCCACCATCACTAACCACCGGCCATGTCACCTGGGGCTGATGGAGATCCGAGCATCCTCATCCTCATTTATATCCGGGACTCAAGGCAGCTTACAAAACCTACAACACGCATACCATATAAACCACAAAAAGCTGGAAATATACAAAAGAGAATAGTCAAAAAGTAATTGCACTGTAACAGAATTAAAACAATATTTTTTAAAAAACAGAAAGATGTAAAAACAGCACAGAAGTAGTAATAAAAACAGAGATTGTGCTCGAACACAGCTCAAGCAAAGGCTCGCTCCTCCATGAATACAAGGCACTACGCTTACATGCAATACACTTTGCTGGGAATAAACAACCCTCTAAGCAGGGCTGGAAGAATTGCAGATGAAGATGATGGATTTTTCGGAGCTAGCCGACCTATCCAGAAGAGTCCGCGACCAGAAGGAGGAGGAGTATCAGGAAGAGTGGATTAAATTTAATGATTACTTAATTAAATATGTTAAGTTAAATTAACTGAAAGCAGCTTGCAGACACTTAATTGTCTTAGAATTTTATCTATGTTAAGTGATGAATTAATATGTTTAATTTCATAATGTGAAGATCTAAGGATGTTAATGTTTAAGTTAAATTTTACAAGAACTGTGATTAGAAAACCGTTAAAAGGATATGCAATGAAATTCAACCAAGGGGAAGCGAGGAAGTCACTTAGCAATGTTAATAAGTGTAATTTTCAATAAGGCTATGATTTATGTTTGTTTGTCTTATGTGTTTGTTTGTTTCTAATGTTGTGAAAACCAATTATTATTATTATTATTATTATTATTATTATTATTATTATTATTATTATTATTATTATTATTATTATTATTATTATTATTATTATTATTATTATTTTAAAAAGCAGGGCTGGAGGAACCTGCCTGGCCTTCCAGCCGCTGCAGGACTCCAACTCCCAGCAACCCCAGCAGCCAGCAACGCCCAAAAGGTCGAGGAGGGCATGACGGGAGTTGTAGTCCAGCAACTCGCAAGGCAAACAACGTTACCCTCCTTTCCAGGTGGGCGCGCGCCTCTTCCTCATTCCTATCTCTGCGGCTCCATTACGCCTCGCCCAACCCACCGCACGTCCGGCGGCGCCAGCACACGGCGCGTTCTTACGTCGCCTTCCGTCCCTCCCTCCCTCCCTCCCCCATACGTGCCGTACGTGGCATGCGTATGTGCGTATGCTGGGCGCGCGTCGATCGCGAGCGCAACGGCGACGGCGACGCATGCGCGCCGCCACTCGCCCGTTCGCTCGGAGCAGCTGGTTTCGTCCCTCAGTTCGGGGAAGTGGGGAGACGAGGAGCCGCCGCCGCCGCCAAGACGGACTTCTTGTGGGACAAGCGCACCGGGCTGGCGGCCAAGAGGGTGCGGGAAAGTGCGGGGGGAGGGCTGTTCTGGACGGGGTGGGGCGAGGGGAGCTCGCCCTCCGCCCCTCCCCCCGCTGTGGGGGTGGGGGGCATCTATGGGGCAGGACGGGGGGGAGCTCATGAGGGGCAGACCAGGCCCAGGGGGTGCTGTGGGAGGGGGGTGACCTGGGGCAGCTCTTCCTTCGGTTCTCTTTCATTATTATTATTACTATTAGTGTTATTATTAATCACCTCTCATTAATTACCTTTCAGTTAATTACATCACAATAATGGGGGTCGTGAACAGTTATTGCATTATTATGTACAGTTATTTCGCGAACAGTTATTACATTATTACTATTACTATTATTATTAATCATCTCTTATTAATTACCTTTCAGTTAATTACATCACAATAATGGGGGGTCGTGAACAGTCGCCCCCACAACCACACTTCGGCCTTGGGAACAGCCAGGCGACCCCAACAGGGTGGGCCTCTGAGAGAGCCCTACTGGCAGCCTTATTTAGTTTCCTGTATAGGCCGCTCGATTGTAAACACAGGCTGGGGGAAAAGACTGGAAAGCAGCAAATAGCTCCGTTGGTAGAGCATAAGGCTCTTAATGCCAGGGTTGGATGGGCAGAAGGTTGTGGGGGGGGGTCTAGATGACCCTCGTGGTCCCTTCCAACTCTGCAAGTCTGTTATTACGTGAAATTGTCCTCCTCCTGCTGCAGTTGTTGTGGGTCAGGAGGGGCAGCTCTTCACTTGGCTCTCTCTTCTTTGCTCTTGTTGTCGTTTATCGCATTTGTATTCCATCTTTTCTTCTGAGGAGCTGAAGGTGTTATTGCTGGCTTGTGCTCTCTCTCTCTCCCACCATTAATCACCTTCCCTAGCACTACATCATCACCCATTGTTGTTGTAGGGGTGGTGATTAACAGCAACCACAACCACACTTAGGCATTGTTTGCACAATCCTAATGTAGGCAACACCAGGATGTGTGGATTGCGTTGGGCTAAGAGCCCAGCTTCGGGGTGTTATTTGTTTCATGTAATTTCTTATCTGCAGCTTGATAGTAAAAACCAAATAAACCTCAAAAGGGTTTACAAAAAGAGTAAAGCGGTGAAATTATCAGTAAAGAAACCTCAGCTATTTAAAACAAAAAACCAGAACCAGATTAAAATGCATGCCAGCATTCTGCGTATCTGGATATGCTTGCCTAAGCAAGAAAATGTTTTTAGCAGGTGCTGAAAAAAGTACAGCGAAGTTGTGTAGACTTGCTGGAATTGGGAACTGTGTCTGTTAGGACTCACCCTCTTTTGACTATTTTAAATACTGAATTTTAAACAGAAGAGCCTAAGAAAGGGCCTGCCTAGTCCAGCATCCTGTTCTTAACAGTGAGCAATCAGATTTTCACGTTCCTGTGAGAAACCTGCAAATTATTTTAAATTGTTGTAACTCTGTCCTGGGACCTGCAGGCGAAAGGCAGGCAATACCAATAATAAAAATAATATATGAAACATTTGCATACCACTTAATTATTTGCATTTCTATGTGGTGCCTATAAATGACAATCCACCGAAAACAGGACAACAAGCAAATTTATCATAAAATCAAACGTTTTATTTATTAGTTGCTTGTTACCGAGGGTGGTTTTCATATACATTCAGAGAGAGAGAGAGGCTAACTTAAAATCTGTTGAATTCTGTGGATTTACTCTTGAGTAGGACTTAGTTGGATAAAATTCCATCACTCTAGGGGAGATGGGCAAGGGACGCGGGTGGCGCTGTGGGTAAAAGCCTCAGCGCCTAGGGCTTGCCGATCGAAAGGTCGGCGGTTCGAATCCCCGCGGCGGGGTGCGCTCCCGTTGCTCAGTCCCAGCGCCTGCCAACCTAGCAGTTCGAAAGCACCCCCGGGTGCAAGTAGATGAATAGGGACCGCTTTCTAGCGGGAAGGTAAACGGCGTTTCCGTGTGCGGCTCTGGCTTGCCAGATGCAGCTTTGTCACGCTGGCCACGTGACCCGGAAGTGTCTCCGGACAGCGCTGGCCCCCGGCCTCTTGAGTGAGATGGGCGCACAACCCCAGAGTCTGTCAAGACTGGCCCGTACGGGCAGGGGTACCTTTACCTTTACCTTTTAGGGGAGATGGGCAGCTCCTTTGGGGTGGCTTTTCATTGCAATAATAATGACAACGCCACTGTTGTTTCTTTATTACATGTATATCCCACCATACCTCCAGGGAGCTCAAGGTGGCATACTTGGGTCTCCCCCCTCCACATTTTTATCTTCACAAGAACCCTGTGAAGTAGGTTAGGCTAAGAGACAGCAGCTAGCCCAGGATCACTCACAGCTGAGCGGGGAATTGGACCCAGGTCTCCCAGAGTTCTAGCTCACCACTTGAACTATTATGTGCCACACTGGCACACTAACATGGTTAGCAGCAGTGCTTTTATTTTTTAGGGGGGAAAGGTTCGGTACTCACCATGAGATAAAGGCATTTGAAAGCAGCCCTGAATCAGGAAGTTTTTTAATGCTTGATGTTTTATTGTATTTTTATATTTTGCTGGAAGCTGCCCAGAGTGGCTGAGGAAACCCAGCCAGATTTGGGTGGGGGTATAAATAATAAAATTACTAAAGTTATTATTAACATCATGCCCTTTATATACCCAACACCAGCATTGTAGGGTGACTACTGTAGCTTTTCAGAGGAGGAGGCTGACTTTCTTTTCATTAGCATGATTTTGTCATTGAATATGAAGAGTAATGACATTGTTGAGTAATGTGTCTGTAACAGATGCAGCACAATTGTGTGTGAAATGTGTTACAGTGACAGCAGGGTAAGAGGCTGGCTCCTGCTAGCATTATTTATTAGTAGTATATCAGTAGTAGTAATAGTAGTAATGACTTAACAACAGTAGCATTGTTAATAGTGTATTTGCAGTATTTTCAACACCATAATTGTATCTGAGGTGGGTGGCGAGAGTAGTTTTTCAGTGCAAGTGTTGTTGTTGTTGAATTTAATAATGATGCTTATATTATTCAACCCTGTAATTCGTAATATACGTCGCACTGTCACTGATGGTGGATAGGAAGGACAGATTTTCAAGGGACAGGTTCTGTTTTTAAAATTAGTTTCATTAATATTAATGATAAATTAACAGCAGCTTTGTTAACAGTGTGTGCCCCCCTATGGGTGGTCCGGAGGCTGACAAGAGAGCATTGCCTTTTCAGAGATGGCCCCTGCTTGTGGAATGCTCTTCCCAGGAAGGCTCACCTGGCACCATCTTTATTTCTAGTTGCTAGGCAAAGACTCTCCTCTTCACCTGTGCTTCTGGCCCTTAATTTGAAGGGTTTCAGGCATTTCTGGCCTCTTTGAGTGGGGCAGGATCTGTGAGCACTGGCAGAGGAAGAGGAGTGCGGGGGGGGGGGGGGAGGAAGCTCCACCACGGTCTGTGAGACCCATCTTTTCAAGATGTGGTTTTAAGGCTTTTTCCAGATTTGTTTTAATGAGGTCGCTCTAGATCACTTTTGTGAGGAAAGTGACTAACAAATATAAATAATATTATTTTTATAATATGTCATCATTTGTTGGCAAGGCGCCTAATAAATGTGTTCTAGGTGCTGTAAAAAAAAGGTGTGGTGTGGATGTGGCCTAAGAAACTGATTTAGATACAGACTAAGAAATAGATGTAGATAAATAATTCTGGACACTATTTGTATATTGAATTATTTTTTATCCTACTGGGTTGTTTTTTTAAGTCTGTAATGAATCCTGCTACCTATGTGTGTCCTGGCTGTCTTATTCTGCTCCTTTTACAGTTTCTTGTTTTTTTTAAGTTTGCTTTGTAAATTATTAGTCTGAACTGAAAAATAGAGCTGCATTTTTTGTGTCTCCTTGTGCTTTGTTTCCAGCTCAGCTTTGAGTTTGTTTGTTGTTGGTGCCATTTTCTTTTCTTTTCCTGCAGGGTTTCTAAAATGGTTTTCTTTGTGGTTCTTTTAGCTCTTTCGCATGCTGCTTTGAGCGTGTGGAAAGGTAGTGTGTTGCATAGATTTATGAGTCTCAAGCTCTTCTTGGCATGCTTAAACTCTGGAATGTGCTCCCACCTGAGCAGGTACTGAGGGCCACCTACCTGGACGGCTTCAAGTTTAAAAGAGGATTAGGCAAGGTCATGGAAGAGAAACTTGCACAGCTTCCTGTGTATCAATGAACACAAGGACCTCATGGCGTAGAGGTGGGCAGAAAGACTGGGGGGGGCAGATTTGTGATAGATTGGCAAGGATTTCTGATTCTCAGCTGTTTTAACAAGAGCAGTAACGAAAGCTCCCCTCCCACAATGGTGCATTCCATGACATCTTTTATTTAGGTGTAAGTCCCAGCGTGGCAGTTGGAATTTCCTCCCCAGGTTACAATTGCTGTGAATTCAAAGCAAAGGCGTGGGCAAGTGCATGCTCGGAGGCACTGGTCAGGAATGGAGGGAACTGTAGCCCTGCAAGATCTGGAAAGATACAGGCTCCTCCATCCCTGGGGGATAGGAAGAGCTATTTTAAGAGCAATTTGGAAACTCTGTATGGTCTTTTAAATAGCTCTTGTAAATGGCTCTTGAGTGGATGTAACAGCATAATGGCAGGGCTTTTTTAATTAATGAAAAGCTTGTATAGATTAGTTTGTGTCAAAACACTATTCTGTTGACTGCTGGGGAAAGCCCTTTGTTTCATTTTTTTGCAATTCAAAGCAGGCTCCTCTCCCCCATTAACGTTTTAATTGCTGCTCACCTGGTGGCCAGTTTAGGTAGCCCCATTTAACCCTTCCCTCTTTTCCTTGCAGATGCCTCATTCCAGAAGGTTCCGCTCTTCAGAACGCAGCAGCCGGGGCAGCTTCCACGAGCGTTACAGAAGCCGCAAGCACAAGAGGAGGCGGAGTCGCTCGCGGTCGAGCAGCAGCGAGCGGCGCCACCGCAGGGAAGACAGCTATCATGTCCGTTCCCGCAGGTGAGCATGTGAGCAGAAGGTACCAAGAGCCAGCGCTGGCTGTGGCACCTGGAACAGGACCCTAGAAAAGAGTGGCTCTGGGTGAATGGCCCAACCTTCCCCAGCCTGGTGCCCTCTAGATCAGCCCTCTAGATTCAAACGAAGTGGGTTGCAAAGCCTATGCAAAGTCATTCGTAATTGTATTTGTATGCCGCTTTTATGCACCAAAATAATCATGCGCCAAGTGGCTTAAAACAAAGAAGACCAGAACAAACGCATTTCAAAATCAAATAGTGCAAAAGCAATTTCATAAGAACACAATAAAACAATAGCAAATATAACAACATACAAAAAGCAACATTTAAGTACTGTAACTTTAACAAGCTTACCTTAATAGCATTCTAAAGTAAAAATAGGAAGGGAGCTTGAAAGTTTCACCTTGGTCCTAGAAACAAGCCTCCCGTTATGTTGTTGCAAGTTTTATAAGCAAACCCCAAATCTTTATTGCTTGTAATCCTTTAAGTGGTCTTTTTTATTTTGTTGGCAACTTACGATGCTGTGTTGTCAATTGTGGCAATAAATTGGTTGGTCACCATTCCAAGATGCTTTGGACTTGCAGGTCGCCATGCCAAAAGATTGGGATCTGCTGTTCTAGATGACGTTAGACTCCAGCTCCCATCATCTCTGACCATTGGCTGTGCCTGCTGGGGCTGAAGGGAGTTGGAGTCTGGAAGGCATCAGTTCACGGAAGGCTGAAGGTCCCTGAGGCTTCTGTCTATATGGTGCGTGTGTGTGTTTGCACTGCCCATTCTTCCATGTTTTTGAGATGTACACTTGGGGGGAAAGAAACATGGTAAGCTCGCTGATGAGGCCTATTTTGTTTGTTTGTGTATATGCATAGCTGTCAACTTTTCCCTTTTCTTGCGAGGAATCCTATTCGGAATAAGGAAATTTCCCTTAAAAAAAGGGAAACGTTGACAGCTATGGGTGTGTGTGTGTGTGTGTGTGTGTGTATGTGTGTGTGTGTGTAATTCCAGAGGGGTAGTTGTGTATGATGTAGCGTACATAAAGGAAAGTAATTCTTCACACAGTGTACTGTTAAACTATGTAACTCGCTTCCACAGGGGCTGGGCTGGCCACCAGCTTGGATGCTTTTAAAAGAGGATTAGAACAGTTCATGGAGGATGAGGCTATCAGTGGCTAATGGCACAATGGCTATGCCCTACCTCTACTGTCAGAGGCAGCAGGCCCCTCGATACCAGGAACTGGGAACCACACATGGATTGAGTTGCTGCTGCCCTGAGGTCCTGCTTGCAGGCTTCCCATTGGGGCATCTAGTTTGACCCCAGTGAGAACAGGATGCTGGACTAAATAGGCCATTGGCCTGATACAGCAGGGCTCTTCTTGTGTTCTTGCATAAAGAGGGCTTCCTCCTTTTATAAAAACTATTTGGTGCACAATGAGTGGCTTAGAAGAGTGAGAACAGTGGCTGAGAACAGATACGTGCACAGCGCAAAGGACGGTTGCAAATGGGGGCTGGGGACAACTGTTGACTAAATGTGAGGGGTGTCGCTTGTCACTGAGATGCAACAACTTTGCATGCCGCAGCTCTTAGGTGTCACAGCGCTTGGGTCCAGGGGGGCTGGGCAAGCAACAGGCACAAGCAGGTTGGGAGGGGGCAAGCCTGGTCCAGGTGGCACTGTGAACCAGCCTTGCCCAGCACCCTTTGCCTCTGCTCCTGGACGCTGGCTGAACTGTGCCATGTTTCTCCCCCGCTGCCCTTCTCCCAGCTACGATGACCACTCCTCCGACCGGCGCGCCTACGACCGGCGCTACTGCGACGGCTATCGGCGAGACGGGTACAGCCGCGAGCGGGGCGACGCCTACTACGAGCCTGACTACCACCACTCCTACGAGTATCAGCGTTCCCGGGACGGCAGCTACCGCAGTTGCAAAAGCAGCCGCCGGAAGCGACGGCGGAGACGCCGCCGCAGCCGCTCCTTCAGCCGCTCCTCATCGGTGAGTAGTTGTCGCGGTCCCGAAGCCTCCAGAGGCAGCCAGAGTTCTTCTGCGAGAAACACAACTGCACGGTGTATGCTTTCAAGGCCCTGGTATTAGTCCCGAGCCCCCTTCCGTTCCAGAAATGTCCACGCTGCTTGGAGGCTTGTCCTGCTCTGTTGAGAGTCCTAGATTGCTCCCGCCCTTGTCTTTTGGTAAGGATGGTTACTAGCTATAATGGCTATGCTCTGCCTCCACAGTTGGAGGGAGTAATGCTTCCGAATACCATTCACAAGAGGGAGAGCGCTGTTTTGCTCAGGCTCAGGGTGCTGGACTGGATGGACCATTAGCCTGATCTGGCAGGGCTCTGCTTGTGCTCTTACGATGGACTGCAAATGCTGCTGCATTAGGGAAGTAAAAAGAGTCCCTTCTCCCCAGTGGCCAAGTTGGTCCTCCTGTGATGCCATCAATCGGAGCATGATGGTAATAGTCCTCTCCCTGGCTACTGTTCTCTAGGGGGCAGGCTGCCCCGATCTCAGAGGTAGCTCATAGCCATCATGACAACCAGCCATTGATGTCCTTTCCCCACCTCATGAATTTGCCTGCATCCCCTTTTAAGGTCACCTAAGGTGGTCTCAGAGGGCTCAGGCCAGCCAGTGTCGAGGGTGGACTAATGCGTCCCCATCTGAGAGTTTTCAGACTGCTCTAGACGCACAGGCAAGGCCTGTGATTTTGTGCTAAGAAGAAGATTCACAGTTTGACTTCTTGTGACGACAGCCTCGCCACGGGTGGGTGTGAATGATTTCAGCCTATCCCTTGCGGTGGGCTTCCTCAGCTTGTTTGCTCCCAGGTGGCTGTCTTCACCTCTACATGCAAGTAGGGAGTAGAGGCCTCTGGAACCCTGCTGGCTCCATAGTCTAAATTTCAGGACCATGGTCCATCTAGCTCAGTATTCCCTACACTGACTGGCAGAGGCTCTCCTGGATTTCAGACAGGGCGTCTCTCCCTGTCCTACCTGAAGATGCAGCATCAGCAAAGCAGGTGCTGTGCCCCTGTCTTTCTCCCCACCCTGTTGTAAGCCCAACAGGGATGCCAGACTGGCAACCTGTGAGAGTATGAAATAGGAAACCAACTTTGTATTCCATCTATCTAGCCCAGTCTTTACATAGTCTGACCGGCAGTATCTCTCTAAAGTTTCTTTGGGGCAGAGGACCTTTCCCAGCCCTACAAGGAGGTGCCAGCAACTGAGCAGGGGACCTTTTTTGCTTGCAAAGGATGTAGTTCGTTGAATTCTCTGCATATGAAGCTACCGAATACTGAGTCAAACAGCTGGTTCATTTTGCCCACGACCAGCTCGCTTGATAGAGTTTGAAGAGGTTTTTAAAGTGAGCAAGCTCTGTGTTATAGGAAGAAAACAGGTAGACCTCTTGGATACTCCCAGAACAGTGGGTGCCTGCCAGCTTTTTTAACAGTTCTCATGGGGAATCTGTGGCTTTCCTGATACTGCTGGACTACAGCACGACCAGTGATTATGGGAGCTGTTGCCCAGCAACTTCTGGAAGTCGATAGGTTTTCTGTCGCTTCCCAGGACAGGCATGGGCTTTATTGTAGAATTGGTGTGTCCCCAACGTCTGGTAGCTGACACACATACCTTTCCCCGAACTAACAAATGAGGATGTTAAAAATTGAGGACACAATTCCTTCTTGCACCTAAAAACGTGTTGCCTTTGAGGTTCTGTAAGAGTATGAACCAACAACTCCTTTGTTTTCTGTCGTGTGTCTGCTTGTCCTGGTCATACCTCTCGACTGGAAGGCCAGAGCAGTGACTCAGTCCAGAGATGCAGCAGGCAGCTTCGTACAAGAGCTCTTGCCTCTATGTGTCGGAAGGAATTGAAATCACCCCATCACACACTGTGCAAACATGCTGCACAATTATCTTCTCCCCTGAAAGCAGAGGCTGTTCAGAAGGAGGCATGGCCAGAGCGCCAAATGGTGCAGAGAAACAACAGTCAGGCTCTTCCACTCATGAGCCCTCTGGACTTTTGGGAGCCCTGAACCAGGAAATGTTCTGGTACACGGCGTAGGTACATAACTGACCCAGCTTTTTTGGTTAGTGGATAGAGCTCAGCCAAAGTTCCACCTTACGGGGAGCTGTGTGCTCCAACCTAATTTCTCTCCTCTTGGTAACTGGGGAAAATGCGCCCTGAAGTTATAGCTTCTGGGAAAATGGAGGATCTTCCTTAGACCAGTTCAGGCCTTTTGCCCATCTAGCCCAGTAGATTCTGACTGTCAGTGCTTCTCCTTGACCTCAGACAGAGAAAGGTCTTGCCCATCACCAGCTGCCTGGAGTTGCCAGGGACTTAACCCTGGGCCTTCAGTCTACAGAGCATGTGCTCAGCCATCAAAGTCCAGTTCCTTCCCTTCTCTGCATGGTGGGGGTAAGCAAGTCTAGGAGGCTGGAAAGGATGAGGTTGACCATGGAGGATTTCCACCCCTTGCCACTGATCGTCTGGTGGGGTCTGCTTCCAGCAAACCCCATCCCTTTCCTGTGGTTGCTGAGCTTCTGGTTGGTGAGCCACGCTCTGTGTGCTCTTCCAGCATGTAGACCCTATCATGCGAGGACCCAACTTTTCTCTCTGGCCTGTCCTTTTTTACTGCCTTGGGTGGGTCTGTTTTGTGGAAGACTTTCTCCATATATATATATTTATATATTTTACTACTACTTCTTTGATTATACATTTTATTTTTATTTTTTAAAAAGAGAGATTTCCTAAGCTAGTGTGTGTGTTATCTTGACTTTTTTTTCCCTTGCAATATCCCTTATCGTTTATATATATATGCGCCTCTGCGCCGTATGAATTGGCCTGGGAATCGTCCCTCCTTCCTTCCTCAAATCTGCCAACGGGCCTACCTACCATTTCCATGGGTGACGCTTGGCTGGCTGGCTTGCCCCTGCGCTGGTTTGAAAACGCCCCGAATTGGCCGGGTGAATGAATGAATGAAAACACGAAAACCCTCCCCTCCTCCGCCTGTGCCTGCGTTTTTGGGGACCCCCCCGCAGCGGAGTCAGCAAAGCGGCCGGAGAGCCAAGAGCGTGGAAGACGACGACGAAGGCCACCTCGTCTATCGCATCGGCGACTGGCTTCAAGAAAGATGTACAGCCAAATCGTAACATAATCTAGTCTCTAGTTAAGCTCCCGTTGCAGTCGCGCAGTTGCTCTCTTAGCTCCCCCCTCCCTCCCTGTTCCTTTTTTATTTTTCTTCGCAGTATTAATTGTTGTTGTTATTTTTTTTAAGGGGAAAAAAAAAAAGCCCAGCCCTTCTTCTGTTTCCTTTTCTTTAGAGTGTCTCCCTTCCCAACTCCTTTCTCTGTTATCTTTTCATATTGTTACCCAAAGTGTCAGGGATTGAATTAGTTTGCAGGGGCCTCCCTGTCTTGGCTCTTTGAGCTGGCAAAGGCAGCCTTTGTGATGGTGTGTTATGCGCTGTGACCAGACACTGCTTGTTCTCTTACATTCTCTTTCTCTCTTTCTCTGTCTCTCTCTCCTTTCTCAGACGAGATTATTAGCACCCTCGGAGAGGGCACTTTTGGCCGGGTGGTACAGTGTGTGGATCACCGCAGGTGAGTGAGCAGAAGGTGGCAGAATGAAGCAGCATTTGGGATTCTTGTCTGAGCGGCAGCTGTGCTGGCCACTTGCAGCAAACATAGCAAATGTGTTCTGCTTAAAGGCTTAGGGGACTGAATCTTGCATTGAGGGTTGGAACTGCTTTTCTGTGAGGAACAGCAAAAGCACCTGCACATCCTCCAGCATAGAAAAAAGGGGTGACTCAAGGGTTGTGAGGGACGCGGGTGGCGATGTGGGTAAAACCTCAGTGCCTAGGACTTGCTGATCATAAGGTCGGCGGTTCGAATCCCCACGGCGGGGTGAGCTCCCGCCGTTTGGTCCCAGCTCCTGCCCACCTAGCAGTTCAAAAGCACCTCTAAGTGCAAGTAGATAAATAGGGACCGCTTACCTAGCGGGAAGGTAAACGGCGTTTCCGTGTGCGGCTCTGGTGCTGGCTCGCCAGAGCAGCTTGTCACGCTGGCCACGTGACCCGGAAGTACCTGCAGACAGCGCCGGCTCCCGGCCTCTAGAGCGAGATGAGCGCGCAACTCCAGAGTCGGTCACGACTGGCCCGTACGGGCAGGAGTACCTTTACCTTTACCTTTACATGGGTTGTGGGGAAGGGTCCTAGCTCACTGCTAGAGCAGCTGCTTTACATGCCGGAGGTCCCAGCCTCAGTCCCCAGCATCTCCAGGTAGGGCTGGGGAAAAGGCTCCTGTCTGAAATCCAGGAAAGTCAGCATAGCCTGTACTGAACAGAGGAGACCCAATGGTCTGACTCAGTAGAAGGCAGGTTCCTAGAGTGTCTCTGTAATATTTGCTTGATACAGCGGTAGGTCAGTTGGCCATAGGTCATTTGTAGAGCATCTGATTTGCATACAGGAAGTCCCAGGTTCAAGCTGAAGCATCTCCAGGTAGGGCTGGAAATGCCCCCTCCTTGAAACCCCAGAGAGCCTGTGCCGGTCAGTGTAGACAGTAGTGAGCTAGATGTTCTAATGGTCTGACTAGTACAGGGGTCAGTTGTAACCACTTCTGGAGGGCTCCACAGGTTCTCTATAGTCAGAAGTTGAGATGATGAATAGCATTTCAAGCATCTCTCCCCGCCTTCTTCCACCCAAATACCTTGATTCTGAGAAACTTCTCTTGCATTCCTCCCAAGGGGCAATACACGGGTGGCTCTAAAAATAATCAAGAATGTGGAAAAGTACAAAGAGGCAGCTCGGCTGGAGATCAACGTGCTGGAGAAAATTAACGAGAAGGATCCGGAGAACAAGAAGTGAGTAGCGCTAACACATCTGGAAATAGGTGTGTGCACCCTCTGCAAAATCTCTTGCCACGGAGAAGAACTCTGGCCCAGCCTTCCCCCCCCCCCCCCCCCGGTTTGCCTTCCTAGACCAGGTCCAGGAACTCCTGGCTTTCTCCTACAGTGCCACCTAGTGGATATTACTTATATATCTGTAAAAGAACTCAAGGGCAGTGTAGAAATGTTTTTACCTTTGGTAGCTGGTGGCCATTGGGTTAGGCAGGTTAGACTGAGAGAAGTAGCAGCCAGCCTATGGCCCACCTAGTAAGCAGAGTTGTTGCAACAGCCAAGGGGGGAGCTGAGCATCGCTGTTCTCCGAGCACAATTCAAAGTGTGTGTGCTGACCTTTAAAGCCCTAAACAGCCTCAGTCCAGCATACCTGAAGGAATGTCTCCACCCCCATTGTTCAGCCCGGAACACTGAGGTCCAGCGCCAAGGGCCTTCTGGCGGTTCCCTCGCTGCGAGAAGCCAAGTTACAGGGAACCAGGCAGAGGGCCTTCTCAGTAGTGGCACCCACCCTGTGGAACTTCCTCCCACCAGATGTCAAAGAGAAAAATAACTACCAGACTTTTAGAAGACATCTGAAGGCAGGGAAGTTCAGGGAAGCTTTTAATGTTTAATAGACTATTGTGTTTTAATATTCTGTTGGAAGTCGCCCAGAGTGGCTGGGGAAAACCAGCCAGATGGGCGGAGTATAAATATATTATTATTATTATTATTATTATTATTATTATTATTATTATTATTATTATTATTATTATTTATTTATTATTTATTTATTTATTTATTTATTTATTTATTTATTTATTTATTTATTCTCAGCGGAGGCAGTGGAGAGGCCTTGACTTCCCTTCTCTCTCCTGCTTTAACCTGATAAAACGGCTGCAGCTAGTTGAGGGAGGGATTTTGAAAAGAATAATCTTTTGTTGGATTGTTATATATAATAGCAATTATATAACATGACATCCCCCCACCCCCGTAACAGGTATCAGGTTCCACATTAACATGAACGATTCTTATAAATATCTACAAGTTATCTAAATGTCCGGCATGTAACGTTCTGGAGACAGCACAAAAATGGTGCTATCTCTCTGTGTCATTCCCAAGGAAGAAATATAGTTCAAGCCGTCCTCTTCAGGAGAGCAATACATGCAAAGATGCTTTGTGGAGAGTTTTATCTTCAGGACCAGTTTCATTCGTATATGGAGTAAATGGCCACCATATTGCAAATCCCCCCTCCCCCCGTTTTATAACCTCTGAGTTATTTTCTCAGTAGTGGCCAATTACCAGACATTTTTGTACCCCGAGTCGTGGGATAGTCCTTGTGTGAGGCCCTCAGGGTTTCAGCCATAACTAGCCGAGTGGCCACTAAAAGAATAGGCAATAAATATTTGCGAGTCCCATCCCTCTCCTCCTCATGTAACCTGATAAAACAACTGCAGTGAGTTGCATGGAGGAATCTTCAACTGCCTGTGCCTTTCTCTGTCCTCCAGCCTGTGCGTGCAGATGTACGATTGGTTCGACTATCACGGTCACATGTGCATTTCCTTCGAGCTGCTGGGACTCAGCACCTTTGACTTCCTGAAGGACAACAATTACCTGCCTTACCCCCTCCACCAGATAAGGCACATGGCCTATCAAGTGTGCCTGGCTGTCAAATGTGAGTGCCAAGGGCAGACACGGGCTGGGGTGGGAGGGCAAGTGGGGACAAGAGGCTGCAGGAAGACGCAGGCCTGCTGGATCTGGACGGTTTAATGCATTTGTTTATTTAGGCCATTTCCGTAAAAAAAAAAAAAGAAAAAAGCCTGCAGCTCTCAAGTTGCAGCTTTTGGTAGTTTAGAGAAAAGCTGAACAAGAGGTGACGTGAAGTTTGTAAAACAATGCATGGCCTGGAGAAAGTACACAAGAGCCCAGCAGGATCAGGCCAGTGGCCTGCCTAGTCCAGCATCCTGTTCTCATAGAAGAAGAAGAGGAGTTTGGATTTGATATCCCGCTTTATCACTACCCTAGGGAGTCTCAAAGTGGCTAACATTCTCCTTTCCCTTTCTCCCCCACAACAAACACTTTGTGAGGTGAGTGGGGCTGAGAGACTTCAAAGAAGTGTGACTAGCCCAGGGTCACCCAGCAGCTGCATGTGGAGGAGCGGGGAAGCGAACCCGGTTCACCAGATTACGAGTCCACTGCTCTAACCACTATACCACACTGGCTCTCGATGTGGTCCCCCGCCCCCCAAAGCCCCTTATACATCAGTCCAGGAGACCAGCGAGTTAAAATGTAGTTTATTCCTTAAATAAAGTTCCGTTAAGTCATCTTGCATTTGGCACAGCAAAATAAATAATAAAAAAGTTGGGGTGGAAGAAGAACCACGCACGCATGGACAAGAAAGTCCAAACATGGGGGGAGAGGAAGGGCATCGAGTGAGTCAGGGAAACATTGGCTACGCGGCACAGACCCGGTAATTTCAGACGCAGGGGGAAGGAGAAGGGCGAGGTGAGTGGGGCTGAGAGACCTCAAAGACGTGTGACTAGCCCAAGGTCACCCAGCAGCTGCATGTGGAGGAGCGGGGAATCGAACCTGGTTCCCCAGATTATGAGACTACCACTCTTAACCACTACACCACACTGGCTCTCATAGCGGCCACCAGATGCCTGTGGGAAGCAGGACCCAAGCAGAAAAATGCAGTTCCCTCTTGCATTTTTCAGCAGCTGGTATTCTGCAGTATTACTATAAACTTGCCTCAAAGGGGAGTTGCAGGGACAGACCCGGAGCATGGCGTCTTCTCCCTTCCTGGACTCTAGAACCTGGAACAGGTTCTTACATTTTGCGTACCCGGAAGGCAGCCACCTGCACAAAGTCGAGAGGTTTTTGCGTCTTTGCAGACACCCCTGCCCCACTCTGTCCTCCATCCTGGCAAGCCAGAGGGATGGTTGCAGTTCAAGGACACGTTCCAGCCACACAAATCCACTTCAGGAGGAGACAGAGCAGGGCTGCTGAGAGGTGTAGTCTGTTGAGCCTCGCAGAGACTCAGTGGAGAGGTACCTGAGGCCACATTTGGTCTTCAGTTCCTCACTCACCTCTGCCATACATCCCTGGAAGGCCGGGCTTGCTTTGCACGAAAAATGTCCACGCTCAAACTTTGAAATCTCCAGTTAAAATAATCCCAGGCAGAAAAGCCAGACAACACTGTGTGTGCCCTTTGATGAGACATTACTCTCCAGCAGTCTCTCTTTGTAGAAAGCAACTTGGTTATGTTCAGCTGCAGCCAGGAGGGAAGTGCCCCCTAAAAGTGGATGTGTTAATCCTGGAAAGATGAAAATGTTGTCTTTAAAAGGTTTCAGAGGAGAGGGCTTGGATGGGAGGGGTGCTGACCTGTGGCCTGGTTCACGTGGAGAACTTTTAGAGCTGTGCAGGATGAACGAGTACAGCTTTTCCTTTGCGAGTTTTAACATCCTACCTTGTACCCACCTCTCGTGTCAAAATCTGACGTGGTTTCATTTCCTCCCTTCCCCTACAGTTTTGCATGAAAACAAGCTCACGCATACGGACCTCAAGCCCGAAAACATCCTCTTTGTCAACTCTGATTATGAGATGACCTACAACCTGGAAAAGGTGAGTCTGTGCGTTGGATAAATCCGTATGCAACAAACAGGCCAGACCGGGGGTGGCCAAAGCTCCCTTTGCGTATCGCAGTCTTCGCAGCATTGGCTTCAGAGAGGAAAGAGTGACAAGCAGGGCTGCTTGGCAGGATATAGGAAACTGAAAGGCACAGAATCAAGACCGTTGGGCCATCTAGCTCAGTATTGTCTACACTGACTGGCAGCACCTCTGCAGGGTTTCAGGCAGGGAGTCTCTACCCACCCTACCTGGAGGTGCCAGAAAATGAACCAGGAATCATCTGCATGTAAAGCTGCGTCCTTTCCCCATCCTTGCCTGGGACGTCAATCAAGGCGCGGTGAACCTTTTTCAGCCTGAGGGCCACATCCCCTCTTGGGCAATCTTCCAGGGGCCAGAGGCAAAAGTGCACAGAGCAACAAACATAAAGTTTCCCCAGTGTACAGTAGGCTAGTTTCAGTGTTTCCCAAACTTGAGTCTCCAACTGTTTCTGGACTACAATTCCCATCATCCCTGACCATTGGTCCTGCTAGCTGGGGATGATGGGAGTTGTAGTCCAAAAGCAGCTGGAGACCCAAGTTTGGGAAACACTGCTACCCACATTCAAACCCCCCTTCTTGATCTTTCATCCAAGCAAGAGGCATTATGGGAGTCCCAGGGCATACTCCAGCCAAGCAAAAAATGCTCAGAAGCCAGGGTGGGAGGTGAAGCAGAGCTGCTGAGGGATGTGGCCTGGGGAAGTGGGGTGCGGCCAGATATAGAGGCCCCCAAGCCTGACGCCCCCCTCCACCCTTCATTAACTGCCCCTTCCCCTTCTTTTCTTCCCTTGTCTCCCCCTCCCCACAAGAAGCGAGATGAGCGGAGCGTCAAGAACACGGCCGTCCGGGTGGTCGATTTCGGCAGCGCCACCTTCGACCATGAGCACCACAGCACCATCGTTTCCACGCGGCACTACCGGGCCCCGGAAGTCATCCTGGGTCAGTGTCTTGGCGCTCACTTGATTTGGGGGTTGCTAGTGAGTTTGTGCAGGTGGGCAGGGCAGGAAGATCTGCACAAGACTGGGCTGGTGGGGCAGCGGTGGGGCTGGGCAACCTGCTGAAATTCTTTCTCGGTATGACAGAGCTCGGTTGGACCCAGCCCTGCGACGTCTGGAGCATCGGCTGCATCATCTTCGAGTACTACATGGGCTTCACTTTGTTCCAGGTGAGCATCCCACAAGGTCTGTAGCACAAATTGCCTGTAGCGTCGGTTCTCAAAACTCCGTCCCCAGCACAAAGAGCTCACTACAACACTGGCAACCAACTGTCAGGGGCTGGACTGAGGAGGAATGGTGGGAGCCGCTGCTGCCGCTCACCTCTCTCTGCAGCTTCCTGGGGAGAGGAGGACAGTGTAGATTTAGAACAGTGGTTTGCCGAAAGGCATAGTTCAGAGGCTGACGAGGGGGAAAACGGGGATATACTGGGGAGCAGCAGGAAGGAGCAGCATCGGGGGAGAGACATTTAACAGACTCAGTGTCTCTTGAAAGCATTCCTGATCCTCCCTCTCCCAAAACCAGACAGGCTGTGTGAGCAGCAGAACAGAAATCTCAGAGGCAGAAAGCACTGGCCAGCCGGCGCAGGGGTGATGTATATTAGGAGGGACTGAAGGGGTGGGACTTTACTTGGAGCAACACCATTATTGTAAAGACAGCATTCCTTTGTCTCTCTCTGTGAATACAATCATACCTCGGATTAAAGTTGCTTCAGGTTGAGTGTTTTCGGGTTGCGCTCTGTGGTGACCCGGAAGTAACGGAATGCGTTACTTCTGGGTTTCGCCGCTCGCGCATGCGCAGACGCTCAAAATGATGTCATGCGCAGAAGCGGCGAATCACGACGTGCAGAAGCGGGGTGCGTGGATCCCGTTCACATCCAGAGGTACCACTGTACTGAAAAAATTATGTGGTAAGAACTCTTTATGTGGTAAGAAGCGGACACGGAGCAATGGATCCAAACTACAAGAAAGAAGATTCCACCTAAACATTAGGAAGAACTTCCTGACAGTGAGAGCTGTTCGACAGTGGAATTTGCTGCCAAGGAGTGTGGTGGAGTCTCCTTCTTTGGAGGTCTTTAAGCAGAGGCTTGACAACCATATGTCAGGAGTGCTCTGATGGTGTTTCCTGCTTGGCAGGGGGTTGGACTCGATGGCCCTTGTGGTCTATTCCAACTCTATGATTCTATGGTTATCTGCCTTTTGACTGCCACCAAGGGAGGGATCGTAATTCCCTGAAGCCTTGATAGAGCTTTGACACCAACTTCAAAACGAAATGTTATTTTGGCATATGTCTCCAGCAGGGAGACAGCCAGTCACGTTGCCCACCAGCTGCCTCTGGGCTAAAACTCCCAGCATGGTGCTTCATTCTCCCCCCCCCCCCAAAAAAACCATTTTTCAATCTCAAGCTGTTTTTCTTTCAGACCCATGATAACAGAGAGCATCTGGCAATGATGGAGCGAATCCTGGGTCCCCTTCCATCGAGGATGACCAGGAAGACCAGGTGGGGCCTTTTCGGTGCTCATGTGTGAGATGGGATGGGAAAATCTGAAACACTTCCTTCCTTGGGGTTGTTGGGTGGGTGGCTGCTCCCTAACCCCTCCACTCACCTGGCTTTTTGTACTCTGGACCTCACCTGGCCGTTCCCCGTTCACTGCAGGAAGCAGAAATACTTCTACCACGGCCGCCTGGACTGGGACGAGAACACCTCTGCTGGGCGCTATGTTCGAGAGAACTGCAAGCCGCTGAGGGTAAGGCTGCTTTGTGATGGGAGATCTGGAGGGATGTCACAGGGTCTGGGAGAAGGGTTGGGCAAGGCGGGTTGGCTGGCACCAGCGGAAACTCTGGGTAGGAGCAAAGAGCAGCTTTCACCTACGAAGTGGTCATATATAACGAGACATAAGGAGAGCCTGCTGGATCAGGCCAGTGGCCCATCTAGTACGGCATCCTATCCAGTGACTGGCCAGGTGTCCCAATGCAGAACCCTCAAGCAGGTCCTGAACACAAGAGCAAGCTCCCCTCTGGCCTCTGGCCATGGAATAGCCAATTGGTAGCCTCACCCTCCCCAAATTTCCCCAATCCTCTTTTAAAGCCATCCAAGCTGTTGGCTGTCATTGCCCCCCGCGGGAGCAAGTTGTATAGTTCAGCTGTGTGCTGCATGAAGAAGTCCCGTGTTTTATCTGTCCTGAATCTTCCAAGTTCGTATTCCTTAGATGCCCCCAAGTTATAGTGTTTCTGAGTGACGGGGGGATTCTTTTCCCTCTCCACTTTCTCCAGGCCATACGTCTCTGTCATCCCACCTGTTACTCACTTTTTTTCTAAACCAGTAATAAAAGATATATAAGCTAGGTGCCAAATGGCTTCTTAAACCCAGGGTTGCAGTCTCCAAAACAGAATGTCTCAGTTGCCATTTGGGGGCCAGGCGGCTCAAAGGTCACGTTTTTCAGTACGACTTCTTGGTTCCTGAAATTTGTTCTGATTGTGCAGATAAAATATGATGGATAGAATTCTACAGGTTGGGGTCTTAATGTGTGAAAACAATCCAGATCCAAGGATCCCCCGGCATTCATCTCCAGATGGTGGAGACGTCAGGCGCCATCCTGGCACCCTGGCATCTTCACTTGGTCGCATGTGGCCAATAGCCAGGTGCAAAATGTGCCTGGCAAATTTCGAACGTTGCCCTAAACCTAAGAATTGCCTTTCCTCGTGAGGGGGTTGCTGCATCCCCTTGATCATTTCGCTTGCCCTTTGGGGAACTTTTCCCAGCTAAAGGTAAAGGGACCCCTGACCATTAGGTCGACTCTGGGGTTGCGGCGCTCATCTCGCTTTATTGGCCGAGGGAGCTGGTGTACAGCTTCCGGGTCTGTGGCCAGCATGACTAAGCCACTTCTGGTGAACCAGAGCAGCGCATGGAAACGCCGTTTACCTTCCCGCCAGAGTGGTACCTATTTATCTACTTGCACTTTGACGTGCTTTTGAACTGCTAGGTTGGCAGGAGCAGGTACTGAGCAACGGGAGCTCACCCCGTTGCGGGGATTCGAACCGCCGACCTTCTGATTGGGAAGCGGTTTAACCCACAGCGCCACCTGCGTCCCAGCTCTACAATATCCCTTTTGTGGTGAGGCGACCAGAACGGCACACAGCATCCCCCTAGGTTTGCCTCCAGTAGCCGGTCTTTCCTTGCGTTCTGACAGCCGCCTTCTCTCCACAGAGGTACCTGGCTTCCGAGGCCGAAGAACACCACCAGCTCTTTGACCTCATCGAGGGCATGCTGGAATACGAGCCGGCCAAGCGGCTGACACTGGCCGAGGCCCTGAAGCACCCCTTCTTTGACTCCCTGAAGCTGCAGCCTGGCCCCAAAGCCTGGGACTCCAGCCGTGACATCAGCCGGTGACCAGCGTAGTTCCTCATCCTTGACTCATCCCACCCCCCCGATACCTTCCCGCACATTCGGCCCCTGTGGAGGCTCGTGCAGGTTACGCTCATGCATTTTGGTGCTTTAAAAATAATAATAACAGGGACGACGATAATACAGACTGCGTCCTGATTCACCACAGGCTCCCTTTTTTGTTATCATGTAAAGCTTGTTAATATGTGAGATAGTGTGTGTGTATATATATAAATATAAATATATATATATATATAAACATGCAGGAAATCTTGTGGCATTTCCCACCTGCCCCCATTCCTGTAAATAATGTGACTCTCCCTCGGAACCGGTGCCCTCTTCTCCTCTCCTGCTCCAGCTGTACATAATTCCAGCCCCCTCTCTCCCCTCTGCAGGGTGTTCTCCACGCCCCCATGTAAGTTATAAGGCTGGTGGGATCCCCTTTGGGGAATTATTTTTGGATACTAAAACATAGCCCATTCCAATGCCAGGATTTTATATGGATTTTGTACAGTCTTTGTGGGAAAATGAAATAAAATATGACATGAATTAATGCTTATAAGGGCTGCTGTTTGGGATGCTGCTTGTACCTGTCTCCTTCCTTCTCTGTTTCGTTTGCCCACCTCAGTCCTGACAATGGTTAATAGGATTCCAATGGGAAGTGGAATGTCTTAATAGTCCGCTGCCCCAACTATCATTTAAAGTTTGGTAAACTTAAAATGGGTGGTATAGTGGTTGGAGCAGGGGGCTAGCACCTGGGAGACCAGGTTTCAAATCCTCACTCAGCCGTGTTGAGATTCCTGCATTACAGAGGGCTGGACTAGATGACTCTCGAGGTCCCTTCCAACTCTACAATTCTATGAAGCTCTCGCTGCGTAGCCTCCGGCCAGTCGCTGCCTCAAAAGACGCACAACACCACCAATTTTTGGAGGGCAGGGTTGTGTCCAAGTCAATCATAAAGTAGACCCATTGGAAATTAACCAGGCAGCGCTAGGCATGTCCATTCAGAGTGGAAACAAGAGGAGATACCGACGATAGAAGAATGGAGACTAAAACTGATAGACTATGCGGAACTAGACAAATTAACTGGAAAAATCAGATATACTAAAGACCAAAAGTTCATCGAGGACTGGGGAAAATTGGTGGATTATCTGAAAAACATATGTGGTATAAACACAACGTTAGTGGGTTTTCAAGAGGCACTGTAAAAAATCAAATAAGTATTGTTTATTAAAAATAATGGGATTAAGGAGGAATAATGGCAATATAAAAAAAGGGAATGCGTATTAAAGATATAAAAATGGATGACTCTCAGAGATGCTGAAGGAAGTTCAAAACAGACACAATTTGTTGTATTCGGGTTAAAATGCATAACTGGATGAAAATTAATAAAAATTTATTGGGGGAAAAAAAGGCATGTCCATTCAGGTCACTGGGTCTAATTTGAGTAGTTCCACTACCCCTCAAGCTTGGGTGGTGGCAGCCCAGGACAGGGCCTTCTCGGTGGCAGCCCCTCAGTTGTGGACTTCCCTCCCACAGAGGTCCACCTGGTACCTTCGCTAGACAACTTTTGGTGAATACTGAAGATGCACCTCTTTGCCCTGGGCTTTGACCCCTGAGATGTCTGTTTTCAGGGGTCGCATCCTTGTTCCTATGACTAATCTGTTTTAACTTTTTAAATTTTAAATAGTTGTTGGACCCTGCCTTGGGACCTGCGGATTGGGCAGTATAAATTTAATGATACAGAGATTTGTATTTAAATAGGTCCCCGTAAGATTTCCTACCACCATCAACTTTTCCTATAAGGTCCCCAAAATTAGAATAATATACCGTTACGAAAGATGGCGAGGAAAATGTTTTAGCAACTATAAAATGAGTAAACCCAGTCGAAGTGGAACAGAGCAGTATAAATTCATTAAAACAAAATGCCTTTAGTTGTCAAATGCCAGGCTGAAGTGTCGCATGTTCATTATATGGAAGGGAGTGTCGCAATTTGGGGCCACTGCTGAGAAACGTAAGCATTTCTAAGCACATTTTACCCTAAAATGGGCATCTTTTTACTCACCTGGGTATGTTGTGCTGAGAAATACATTGCCTAATCTGGAGACAAGCAAGCACCGATGAGTAATTACAGGGTTTATCCAGTGTTAGTCCTACTCAAAGTAGACTCATTAAAATGGTTTTGTTTATTACTTTCGGTGGGTCTACTAATGCTGGGGAAAACCCCAATGTTCTGATCTGTGCACTACACCAGGTGACACGAATTAGGTCAGAGGCGGATCGTGGTGTTGGCGTCACGGTGTGTTTTGAGTTCTTTTTTTAAAAGCATGTGTCCAGGGAGCTGGAATCCTTCCAGCTTTGCAAGTCAGTGGGGCTGGGCCATCCCTGCAGGCTTAAATGACAAAGTCACGAGGGCTGACCCATGGCAGATCCCCGTTGGCTGTTCTTGCTCTTGATCCCTCTCGTGGATCCGTTCTAGAGGGCTAGTGTGTTAATCTGTCTTAATCAAAGTACAAACAACCCTTAAACCTACTTTAATGTAAACTGCAAAAATAGACATATGACTTTCTGGAGGTGGGTATTAAAATGCCCCACAGCAAGCCATGTGTGTGTTGGAAGATGGGGGTTTAGTTCTGCTTCCCTGAATCAGGTTTTTCATGGGATGGGGTCCCAGTACTTCTCACTGACTTGTGTAAAATTGTGTGTGTGTAGTTAGGAGTTTTTTTGGGGGGTGTTCAGTCTGGATGGCGGTCCAGATGGGTTGGGGGGGGATTAGCCTAGGTCCCCTTCCAGAACCTGTCATCTTGTATATGTGAGGTTAGAATGTATAAGGGGAATCTTGCCAAACCAGTTCCTATGTTAAGGTAATGCCTTTGTTTGGCTAGTCCAGGGGTAGGCAACCTAAGGCCCGGGGGCCGGATGCGGCCCAATGACCTTCTCAATCCAGCCTGCAGACAGTCAGGGAATCAGCGTGTTTTTACGTGAGTAGAATGTGTGCTTTTATTTAAAATGCATCTCTGGGTTATTTGTGGGGCATAGGAATTTGTTCATTCCCCCCCCCCAAAAAAAATATAGTCCGGCCCCCCACATGGTCTGAGGGACGGTGGACCGGCCCACAGCTGAAAAAGGTTGCTGACCCCTGGGCTAGTCCAAAGAGGTTGCCATAGAAACAAATGGATAGGCCTTTCCTCGTGGCCCGTTGAGCCTCTTCAATCCATGCTCGGGTTATATATATTTATAACTAGGACTTCCAGATGAAGATGGCGACAAGTAAGGCTGCTTGTCCTTGAGCTCTGTGGTCTGTTCTAGTTTTGTGTATATAGATATAGATATATGTATAGGTATAGATAGAGATAGATATAGAAACACATACAAAAAATACAGTAAAAGCAATAAGTGTGACCCATCAAATGCATACAAAGATGAAATGAAAATACAATGAAAGCAACTGACGAGTGAGACCTCGTCGAAACATCGCCTAGACACCCCAACTTCTACACGGGAAGACACCCGAGGACACCAAACCCTGCATATATATATATATATATATATATATATATATATATATATATGGGGTGAGTCAATTCGGTTCTTGACAAAGCCTCTTCACATGTTTATCTATAGAACAGGGGGTTTAGTGGGCCTAGTTTTTATCCTGAATAGTTTTACAATCAGTTGGTTCAGCAGTTCATGCTAATTGCTACATACAGGCAAGGGACATGTCCGTTTTATTTCTATGTGGGCTCAAAAGCCATATATTTTAACTGGAGGATAGGAGCTGGGAGAGCACCTGTTTTGGCTTGGCATTCTTAACTGATACGAAAGGCTTAGAAGACCATCTTGACCGAAGGATTCGCTGCAGTTTTAACGTGGCTTCAGTTAAAGCGCCCAGAACTCCATTGCTAAATTTAGCCCAGAAATCTATGCTGGACTATTGTGACTCAGCCAAGGGAAAGCTAACTGCAAAGCAGTATGTAATTAATATGTCTTGCAGCCTTTGCCCTTTACATGTCGAGTGTTCAAGTACTGCGGCCAGAGATACTTTATTCCAAGTAAGAGGTATTGCCACGTATTCCTCTGATGGAAGTATAGGTCAATTGATCTGGGCTTGTTAGGGAGCCGGTATATACATAGGCTCCCAGGCAACCTCAGCTTCCTCCATATAACAAAACCTCAACTAGGCATGATAACAATCTTGGCATAATAGACTCTGCCACAACAAAAGACTGCAACTCCCTTGGCGTGGGAAATTTTGCATGATCAATGTCTCCTCTCTATAAACGAACAGCAGAGGGAATCTTTAGCAGAACTGATGCACAGGAAAAGGAAGTTGAAATGTTGGAGGGTACGTCTCCGGGACATAGGAAATGTCCTCCTGCTACTGATGTGGGTTGCGTGACCCCCGTATTCTCTGCCCACAGCCTGGCACAGCCTGGCTCCCAAGTCGACGCGTTTGCTGTAGGTTTTCCTGTCTAAAGCAATCCATCAAGCGAGGAGCTTCAGAGCAGATTGACGCACCAGTTGGGTTTTAGGCCGCGCTAAACAGATTGCAGCGCGATGAGCTGGGGGACTCTCCGGCCAAGGACAAGCCCTGGCAGGTGGCAGGACCCAGACCTGAGTTATACTTAAGCGGCTTAGAGCAAAAGGAGAGAAGGGGAGATGTCTGAGTAACCTGGGCGGGAAGGGGGTATCATGCGATTCACTTGGCCTAATACAGAAACACGGAGGTATTTCTGCCTGAAAGTGGGTGATGGGAGCCCAAACTGTCCATTGGTGCAGAATTGAGAGCTCTACAAATTGCAGCTCTCTTAAAAATAAAAAGTTCCTTGGTCTCTTGCAAAAGAAAAGCTTGTGAAGTCTTCTTGTGGTCGCATGGGATTTGCAGTCCCACGTCTCTGGAGGGCACCGGGTTGGCAAAGAGCGTAAGGCACAGGAGAGTCATCAGCAATATGCAATGGTTGAGATGCGACTCAGAGGCAATGATCCTGCACATTGGCGTCAAGGCATTTGCAAGCCGAGTCCCTGTTTTTTGTCCATGAGACATTCAAGGCTAATATATTAGGAATAAATAATGCAATCCGTATGGATAGGTTTGATCATGGGTAGAAGAACGTTTTCCTTGGAAACTGATTTTATTCTTGTTATTGACAATTTTTGTATATTGCCCAATAACTGATATTCTCCAGTTTAAACAGCATTGTTTAAAAGCCATAGATAGTTCGTTTTGTGACATTGTACAAGACAGTTTTCAGTCCACACTCCTCGATCTTAGAATTGTCGTGGGGGAAAATTAAAAACCTGGTACTTTATGAACCAGGGAGCACCTTGAAAGCCAGTTAAAAGTTGTGTTTCTAAAAGCCCTGTTTTTAAAAATACATTTCACCCAATAAAGCCTTAATGCTAGCACCATTCCTTCATTTAACACTTTGAAATATACATTTTTTATATTAAAAAAGGTATAAAAAGGTGGTACTTCTTTTTTAATCAGGCGAAGATACTTCCTGCAGGTTTTCCTCGACCCACCAGTCCTCAACAGGTGAAAGACAGTAAGATCTCTTCTTAATATGGGAGTTGAGGGATAGCTCATTTGGTAGAGCAGGAGACAAACTGAGGGCCGTGGGTTTCAGCCCCACATTGGGCAAAAGACCCCTCATTGCAGGGGTTGGAATAGATTACCCTTGTGGTCTCTCCCAACTCTACAAGTCTGTGAATCTGTGAATTCTTGAATAATACAATTCAATTACTGAAGTGACATTCAAGCAAACAAATAAAAAAAAGGAAAGTTAAAATTCGGAAGAGTGATGTGGCCAGATGTGTTTTGACCATATATAAACTAGAACAGTGTCTCCCAAACTTGGGTCTCCAGCTGTTTTGGATTACAATACCCATCATCCCTGACCTTGCTAGCTATGGCTGATGGGAGTTGTAGTCCAAAAACAGCTGGAGACCCAAGTTTGAGAAACACTGAACTAGAAATACAAATGTGCCGGGTTTGTACTGATATCAGTTCTTGGCAATTGCTTTGTTTTCCTCTTTTGGAGCAAGCAATGAGGACTAGGAACTTGCAATTTGGAAAACAAAACAAAAATGAAGCTAACTCCTCTATCCCCCAGCGAGCTGTTTGAGATACCTTGGAAATGGAGCGGTGTGTCGCAGGCTGCCAGCACGTGCCGGGTGTCCCACACGGCAAGCCAGCGGATGTTTTGCTCAAGGTGCCATCTGGATGGCCTGACTGTCACCCAGGTGGATCAGAGACAGCTTGGCGTCAGCCGGAGTCTTTGCGTCGCTTCTGATCCCTGTTTAAATAGCTTGAGCTGCCCACAAATTCTAATCTTCTTTCTGGGGCACTTGGAGAGAGAAGACCAGCAAGCTACCTATGCCTGACAGAAGCACAAAAGACTCCCAGGTTCCCAGGTGAGTTTACGGAACGGGGCAATATTCAGGTGAGAAGATGCCAGCAGGAGCTGGGGTGTGCCTGTACGTTTCTGGCTTCCAGAGGCAGGAGGCTGATTCCTTGGGTTTTGTCCGTACTTTCCTGAGAGTCAAGCTTGTACAAAAACCAGACCCTCCAAGTGTCCCTATTTTCCAGCGACGGTCGCCAGTTTACAGAAGCCGTCCCAGTTTCTGATTTGATCCCGTAATGTCCCGCTTTACCTTAGGTCAGGACACCCCTGTTTTCATTGGAGAAATGTTGGGGGGTCTGGAGTTATGTGATAAGGAGATAAGTAATCAGTGCTTTTTTTTTTAATGTTCTTGAGTCATTTTGCCCCAGGGAAATCACCATTTTATAGTTCAAATCAGGGAAAATAAATACAGTAAATGGACAAAAGTACACAGATTCAAAAAATGTTTAGGGCTATGCGTACCCCCAGAAAAAAGCACTGTAAGTAACTATACAACATTTACAAGACAGTTGAAGGTAGCCCTGTATTTTTAAAATCACGCATAGGCAAACTAAGGCCCGGGGGCCGGATCCGGCCCAATCGCCTTCTAAATCCGGCCCGCAGACAGTCCGGAAATCAGTGTGTTTTTACATGAGTAGAATGTGTGCTTTTATTTAGAATGCATCTCTGGGTTATTTGTGGGGCATAGGAATTCGCTCATTATTATTTTTCAAAAGATAGTCCGGCCCCCCCCACCCACAAGATCTGAGGGACAGTGGACCAGCCCCCCTCCCGCTGAAAAAGTTTGCTGACCCCTGTTTTAAATGTTTCATGTTTTATTATGTTGTTATATACGTTGGAAGCCGCTCAGAGTAGCTGGAACAACTCGGTCAGATGGGCGAGGTCTAAATAATAAAATTATTATTATGGAATAGGACGTCCCTATTTTCATCGGAGAAACGTTGGAGGATCTGAAAGACTGAGAATTCTTAATATGTGGTGAAATTTGAAGCAGGGTGATCTTTATCCCAGATTAGTTGTCCTGGAATATTTTTGCATCTCTGGCTCCAGCGATAATTGGGTCTGACTTGCTCCCAGCATGAGGCCCTTAAAAGATTCTTCCTGAGGGAATGCGGCCCTCGATGGGGAAAAAGTAGCCCACTTAGGGCTTGGGTGAGAGCATGCCAGAAGATCCTTGCTGGATTGGGAAGCCCAGCGTCTACTGGGTGAGATCTGGTGAAGCCATACTCCAAGCAGGCTCCTAGAAATCAGTGGATTTCAACTGATTTCAACGGGTCTCCTCTAAGTATGGATGTCACAGTTGGATACAGTAATGATTCTGAGTCCCGGTTGCTGGGAACCGCAAGTGAGGAGAGTCGCTCTTGTGTTCGAATCCTGCTTGAGGGTTTACCTCAGGCATCTGGTGGGCCACTGTGAGAATAGAATGCTGGGCCTGATGGGCAACTGGCCTGATCCAGCAACCAGGGGCGTCTTATGTTTTTATAGGGACCTGCGAATGCCTGCTCACTGTAGAGAACTGGCAGCTTCATGGTTCCTCCTCCTCTGCCTTCTGTGAGGGGGCATGTGTCTTGATCTTCAAACAGGATTTGGACCAGAAGGATCTTCAAAGAGAGCGGTCTTGGCTTATTCATATGATTTGGGCTACGGAATATGTCAGAGACTATTCCATGGGGAAACTGCCTGGCCCCCACACTTCATATTACAAATAACATTCTTAATTTCTCCCACCTGTGACGGTTTTGCAAGAGTTTCCTTTTTGCTGCAAATATCGCTGTGAGGAAACTAACTGGGATAGATTCTCTCTCACCCCCCCCCCGCAGATTCCCAGCCCAAAGGGCCCTTTATTCTCCTAAAGGTAAAGATAAAGGATCCCTGACAGTTAAGTCTAGTCACAAACGACTCTGGGGTTGCGGCGCTCATCTCGCTTTACTGGCCAAGGGAGCTGGTGTTTGTCCGCAGACAGTTTTTATGGGTCATGTGGCCAGCATGACTACGCCGCTTCTGGAAAAACCAGAGCAGCGCACGGAAACGCTGTTTACCTTCCCGCTGGAGTGGTACCTATTTATCTACTTGCACTTTGATGGGCTTTCGAACTGCTAGGTTGGCAGGAGCAGGGACCGAGCAACGGGAGCTCACCCCGTCGCGGGGATTCGAACCGCGACCTTCCGATTGACAAGTCCTTGGCTCAGTGGTTTAGACCACAGCGCCGCCCACATAAACTGGAATCGTCATTAAAACACATTTTATCCTTTTAAATACAGTGGTACCTCGGGTTTAGAACTTAATTCGTTCCGGAGCTCCGTTCTTAACCTGAAACTGTTCTTAACCTGAGGTACCACTTTAGCTAATGGGGCCTCCCGCTGCCGCTGCGTTGCGCTTTCTGTTCTCATCCTGAGGTAAAGTTCTTAACCTGAGGTACTATTTCTGGGTTAGCGGAGTCTGTAACCTGAAGCGTCTGTAACCTGAAGCGTCTGTAACCCGAGGTACCGCTGTATTGTTTTAGTCATCTGGCAAAGGAATTATGACAGGTTTCCTGCAAAATGCTCATTTTTAAAAAAAGATTTCACATTGTGAGGCACCATGTTCATCCTTGCTCCCTCCCTTTTCTCTGCCCTGCATTCCAGCAGTCCTCCCTATGGAGTCCGCAGTGAAATCGGCGTTTGGAGTGCCGGCCAGACAGCTGCTGTGCTGTGTCTCGGCCGACTTCCCCAGGGAGAAGGGCATCAGCTCCCAAAGGGGCCACAGCAAGAACCGGGCACAGCCTCCGGCTCTGAAGAAGCCGATCAGCGAAAAGCACAAGTAAGAGTCCCTCTACTCCTTTCCTGACCGAGGATCTCAAAACCCTAAACCAGGAGGTTCAATTCGAGGGCCACATTCCCTTCTGGGCAACCTCTCAGGGGCCACATGCAGTGGTGGGTGGGGCCAGAGGCAAAAGTAGGTGGGGCAACGGATGTAAATTTCACTTTGTGCTAGTTTCCACACACGCTCACAAACGGCCCTCTCTGTCCTCCAGCCAGGCATGGTCAGAGGTCAGGGACATATTCCAGCACCCTAGGAGGGTGAAAAGTAAGACTGCTGAGGGGTGTGGCCCAGAGGTGCTCATCTGAATAAAATATTCGGGGGCAGGTAAGCCCCGCCCTGCATAATTTATCACAATACACGGTACTCACCCACCATTGGAATGGCAGTGCCCATCAACTTGGGTGGGGGACTGGCCCCCTCAATTATTTTATGGGGGGCGCGCGAAGGGACCTCAGCCCCTAGGAGTTTGCCTACCCTTTCGTCCATAAGGGCTAGAAACCCGTTTTTTAAAAATGAAGATGATGCTAAGATTTCTCAAGATTTCCCTATTACCCAATTTTGTGTGTGCTAAGTCTGCGCTTGACTGCAATGATGGAAAACACACGGATGAAGTCTAGCACCCACACAAAAACACCTGCAGTTGCTCGTCCAAACTTTTGACAAATTCCACAAAGGAGGCGAGCCCACCTCCTCCAGAAGCATCTCATTCCCGTGCTTGAGTGGCTCATCTTGATTCTCTTTTTCCTCCAGGAGCAAACGGGACGCAGCCTTTGCTCAACAGAAGGCTGAGCGGGCCACCATGAGGGCCCACCTCCGGCAGAAATACCAGCTGCCCAAGGTAAGGCTTGCCTTCTCCCTGACACATCTTGCCCTGTCTGTCTCCAACGGGGCCTTCCTTGGTCCAGAGATTAAACAACTGACTGCAGGGGAAGGGGCTTCTTGGTGGTGGTGTCCCAACTGTGGCATTCCAAACTCCATTTCCCCATAGTTAGTGACCTAAACCAGGGTTTGCTAAACCAGTTTGCTGAACCACAGTTTGCTGAACCATGGTTTGCTAAACCACAGTTTAGTGTTATATGTGAGCCCAGCTCCCCAGCTAACTACTGTTTACTGACTATGGCTAACAGTCTCTTGTAGACCAAGGTTTGCCGTTGCTTCCTTCCTACACCTCAGTTAATGTTAACCATAGTATTATGCGCAAACCTGGATGCCCTCCTTAAGAACGGTTAAGGAGTCATCGCTGCCCAACAGCTACAGATCCACAAAACTATCAAAACCACTCTGAAGACTCAGCTGCTCCTGCTGGTGCATTTAACTAGCCTGTGACACAAGAAACCAAGGTTTAAGCGATTGTCAGATGCTTCTACATTAACTGTGGTTAGCATTAGCTATGGTTGAGCATTACACGTGAATCAAGACAATGCATCTTAAGTGGAAAGGCTCCCTCCTCCTTAGTCTCAGCGTTGTCCTTGTAGAAGTCAACAGAGAGAGGAGGGTGGCGAGAAAGCCATCATTAGCCAGCTCTGCCTGCCACTGGCGCCATCTACTGCTGGGCTCCTTGCCTTCCGTCCTACCAGTCCCAAAGGGTGACAGCCATGGTCCAGCATTAATTTCACCCTGCACCCCTTTCTTCCTCTCCCAGAACCGGACAGATAAGAAGCAGCTGGAAGCGGTTGGGAACAAGACGAAACTCCCCCAGGACCTCCTGGCTATTGTGAAGCCCAAAGCTACCACAGATCCCAGCTCCATCTTCTCCAGCTTGGGTGGTCTGGATTTCAGCACCTTGCGGGTGACGGCAGCGAGCGCCGTGCAGTCCCTGCAGCGCCCGGTGCAGTGCCCCATCATGTGAGTGAGCCCCCCTTCCAAGGACCCTCACTCCAGCAGACACAGGAGTTATTATTCACCGGGATGCGCAACTGCGGATTGCTGGACCTCAAAGCCCCTCCGCGGTCTTGACGTGGGCCCAGCGTCCACCAAACTCAAGGCTGTCTTGGTTCTGTAGCCCAGGACTTGTGGGTTGGATGCGGGTGTCCTGGTGGGTCTCGTGAAGCCCGTAAGACAGAGCTTCCCTGCCACTGCTGTAGGAGAATTTCTGGCTCTCTGATGGGACAAGTGGTTGGGCCCCATCAAGGATGATGCCACCTGGAACCGGCTGCATGGCCACTGTTTACGTTCTTCTGGGAAGTTCCCTAAGATGGCTCCTTCCACACAGCCTGGTTGCCCTTGCCAATGTTAGGTCCTTCAAGATCTTTGCATCAAAAGTCTGTTGAAGAAGAAAATCCATGGTACCACCATGAAGGCGGCTGCTCTGAAGCGGCCACAAATAGAACTCAGCTGGCCAGTGGCAGAGGACATCAACGCCGTGCACAAGGCCCACGGTTCAGTCCTCCAGTGTCTTTGGGTGCTGGGATTTTGGGTAGTGTGGGTGGAGAAGGATCTGTGCTTGGGGCTTTGGGGAGCGGCCACCAGCCAGGTTGGGTGATCCTGGGCAAGATGGTCCATCTCCTGACAGTCCACGTTCCTGCTGTCTTTGGGGTGATGTTGTGGGTTCAGAGTCCCTTGTCTCAATAAAACAGTTGATCTTTTGCTCTTGTTGTTATTCTTGCTATTGGTAGCAATAAGAATTATGATCTGAAGTGGGGCTCTTGTTAATTCTCCATTACAAGGAGATTTGGCCCAGGCTGTTGTTCATTCTTGCAGCTTCATAAAGCTTGTGGGAATAATCAGAAACGTGGAGGGTGGAGCTGTAGGAGAGAGGCAGCTGGGAGGAAACAGGGCAGGAAGGAGAGAGAGAGAAAGAGAAGTCAGAGGTGAATTGTTTGAAAAGGCAGCACATTCCCTGAGCCCTACCCAGTGATCTGACAGCACCAGATTGCAGCTCAAAAGCAAGACCGGGAATGCTTCCAGACTCCTGCTATTTTGCTGGGGTATGGATTGATTCCATTGAATGCCTGCAAATTCAGGTTGCTCACTTAAAGTAGATCTGGTGCTCTTACAGGACAACACTCCCTACAACACACACACATATACGTGCACCAGACTTTGTGCAATAAAATTAATACTTAATAAGCAGCTTGAGTGCTCACTGGAAGGACAGATCGTGAAGCTGAGGCTCCAGTACTTTGGCCACCTCATGAGAAGAGAAGACTCCCTGGAGAAGACACTGATGCTGGGAAAGATGGAGGGCACAAGGAGAAAGGGGCGACAGAGGACAAGATGGTTGGATAGTGTTTTCGAGGTTACCAGCATGGGTTTGACCAAACTGCGGGAGGTAGTGGAGGACAGGGGTGCCTGGCGTGTTCTGGTCCATGGGGTCACGAAGAGTCGGACACGACTAAACGACTAAACAACAACAAATAAGCAGCTGGCATTGTACAGTTGCCCTACAAAAAATTGTGCAAGAAATCAGAATGAACGCTCAACAAATTGGTCACCTGGAGGCCATCACTGATCTAAGTAGCCATTTCTGGAAACTTAGGCTGCGCCTATGTCATACATTTAAAGCACACGGCTTCCCCTGGAAAAACCTGGAACTGCAGTTCCCAGAGCTACAATTCCCAGCATCCTCAACAAACTACAATTCCCAGGATTTTGTGGAAGAGCCATGTGCTTTTCAAGCAACGTGTGTAGGGCACGGAATCTGTTGCTGGACTCCAACTCCCACCAGCCCCAACCAGCACGGCCAATGGCTACGGACGATGGGAGTTGTAATCCAGCAACTACAACTCCCATCATGCCTAGCCGCCGGCCATTCTGGCTGGGTTCTGATGGGAGTTGGAGTCCATCAGCTCCATGTTGCCTAACCCCTGGTGCGGAGCAAGACTGATCCCCTTTTCATTGCACTTCAGCAGCTTTTCCCCGTATCCTATATGGGACTACAACCCCCAGCATGCCCTGCGCCCAGTCCCCTCTTAAGCGCAAGCTCTGTAGAGAACTACACCTCCCATCATCCTCCGCGCGCGCGACACCTCCCTTTGGGCGTCACGGCTCCACTTCCTCCGTTTCCTCTCAGTCACGTGCGTAGGAATCCCCTCCCTCTCTGCGGGTGACGCGCAGAACCTCGGCAGCCAATGGGCGTTGAGCATCGCAGGCGAGGCGACGCAGTCGAACGCTCGGCGGAGGGAGGGCAGGACGGGCAGGCATGGCCCTGAACGGCGGGGGAAACCCCTTCGAGGGGGAGACGGGGAATCCCTTCCAGGTGCGTCTGGCGGGCGCGCGGGGGGGCCTCGCGGTTTCTCCTCCCCTCCCCCGGGGTGGTGATGCCCATTCCGGGGTAAAAGGGGCTCTTTACCCGGATACGGACCGGGGACTCGGGGAGGGAGCAGGATTTCCCCTGGGGCGTTGAACTCGTTGACCCCCTGCCCGTTGTCTTGAGGTGAGGGGGGGGGTCCTCGTAGCTTACCTGCCTCCAGTCCCTCCGAGGGGTGAGCAGAGGGGTTTTCACCTCCCACTACCCTCCCGTGGTAAGTCCGAAGTTGGGAGTAAGTCGGGCTTCTTGGCTCTCCGTTTAGGGTTTGCTTTTGCCCCTGGTACATTGGTACCTCGGGTTACAGACGCTTCAGGTTACAGACTCCGCTAACCCAGAAATAGTACCTCGGTTTAAGAACGTTGCTTCAGGATGAGGACAGAAATCGTGCTCTGGCGGTGCAGCGGCAGCAGGAGGCCCCATTAGCTAAAGTGGTGCTTCAGGTTAAGAACAGTTTCAGGTTAAGAACAGACCTCCGGAACGAATTAAGTACTTAACCCGAGGTACCACTGTACTGCCATTGCGGGGTGCTGGTCTCTCTGCCATCCCCAACCCCCCCCCACTTTTAATAAACCAACTTGAATATAATATTGGAGGGGCAGGTAAGCTCCTCCCCACATAATCGATCCCAAGACGCGGCACACACATACTATTTGAATGGCAATGCCCATCAACTTGGGCGGGGAGCGGGTGGCCTCGCCCACTCAAATATTTTATTGGGGAGAGGCCTAAGGGACCTCGGGCCCCTAGGAGTTGGTTCCTAGGAACCAACGTCTGCTCCTTCCCCCATCCCGACCCTTCAGAAGCGACTCTTCCTCCTGGTGACTGTTGGCAGAGCAAGAGCGAGATGTCAGTCAATTGTTGTTGTCTGTTTGCTGCTGCTTTGATTCTGGTGGTCAATGGATCCTTTGTAGCCGAGCCTGTAGGGCAGGCTTAATTTTTTTAAATTACCCTTTATTAGTGGAATGAGGGCCTCTCTCCACTCCTGTCTCATCAGTTGGGGTAAGAAACACTTGATCTGGCTAGATTTGGCTTCCTTTGCTGTCCCCATCTCTGTTTAGTCAACCCTACTATTCTAGAACGCTGCAGTGTTTGTGCCTGCCCTGCCTTAAAAATAAATTTAAAATCCTCAGGAATAACTGGAGGCTGCCTGTTACGAGCCCTAGAATAACTGAGGGCTTTACACATACAGCTACTTCTTCAAATGGTATTTCCCGTGGTGCCTTCGTTTATCTTCACCTCCTGAGAATTGCTGCATTCTGTCCTGTCTCTGGATTAAATAAACCTAGTTGCTTGCCCAGCCCAGATCTCTTTGGATAATTGGCCGCTTGGCTTCATTCTAATTGCCTCTTCCGCCTTTCAACTCCAAGGCTGTGAAACTCTTAAGGTTTGGCCCTGGCCCACTGCATCACTTATCTCTCCTAGAGATAACTAGGATCTGAGGTGGGGTAAACTATTGTCAACTCGATAAGGTTATTAACCTTGGGATTTTATCGTATGAGACCCCAAGCACATGGTTCCTTCAAAGCTGTAGGCCTGTTGTTGACTATCTTTTCAAGTGTGGTCGTTTTTTATTGTCAAATAGTGTCTTCTCCGGGCTGGGAAATATTTCTGAGACGTTGGTCATCTTGCACGTTGTCTTCCTGTCCCTTCTACTGCTCTTTGGGCCCAACCTAACTTTTGTAAGCAAAATGGGTTGCCTAACCTCCATAGGCAATGAGTAACTGCCTGGGTCAATATTGATCCTTTGGTCAAAAGAGAGAGGTGTGAACAGTGCTTGGAGGTCTTGCTTTCCACAAGCCTTTTTCTTTAGGGAAGTTTTTAATGTCTGATGTTTTATTGTATTTTTTATATTTTGTTGGAAGCCACCCAAAGTGGCTGGGGGAACCCAGGCAGATGAGTGGGGTATAAATAATAAATTATTATTATTATTTATTATTATTATTATTAAGCCTCTGTGTGGATGCTATCTGTGGGTGCTCAGAGGTACTCTTGTCCAGTGTTAGAAATTCACATATATAAGCTAAGCGCCATATGGCTCTTTAAACAAAGGGTACAGTCACCAAAACAGAAGGTCTAGTTGCCATTTTGGGGCAAGACTGCTCTCAAGTCTTATTTTTCAAATAATGGACTGACTGTGATTGATTCTCAGTTAAACATCTGGCTAGTTCAGATGGCAACTTTGAGCTCGGTTAAGAAGAACTGAAAGAAGCAAAGTCACTTGACCCAGGGACAGTCTACATGTATATTGGCTTATTTCAACCTCTTTTTCTTAATGGTGACACGGGCCATTCATAACGCCGGGATATTTTCCACAACCGTGATCAGGGCAGCCATGTGGGCTAAGTGAAGACCAGCGACAACAATTCACTAGAATGCCATTCGCAGTTCCTGCCCAGGCTGGCACAGAAAAAAAGCATTTTGTTTTCCAGAAATGCTTTCCGGTTGTGCAGGAAAAAATATAACTGACAGAATTCTACAGGTTGGGGTATTAGTGTGTGGAAACAGTCCAGATCCAATGATTCCCAGATGGTGGAGATGTCAGGCCCCCTCCTGGCCCCCAGGCATCCTCACTTGGTCGCAAGTGGCCAATAGCTGGGTGCAAAATGTGCCTGGCTCATTTTGAACACTGCGCACTAGCAGAGGTCTACTGCACTAAGGCCCTGCTAGTATATGTCCCAGAAGGCAACTGGTTGTAGAATCATAGAATTGGGAAGAGGCCTCAAGGGACCTCTGTGTGCTGGGCCCGGGGGTAACCCATGAAACGCGGTCAAGGGCCAGTCCATAATCCAAAGGTTCCGCTGGGAGTTAGTCCAACAGGGCCAAGGCAGGAAACCAGGCAAGGACAGGTACAGGATCTCAGGCACACAGCAATGTTGCTCCTGCAACCTGGGGCAGGGTCCGACAGCCTTTTATCTTTGTCGGGGTATCGGCTGGTCCTGATCCCCCAGCGACTCACCTCCCTGTCTTGCCCGAAGGTGAACACTCCTCCTGCAAGTACTCAGGTCTCTCCTTCTCTCAGACCTTAGTCTCTGCAGCTCGGGAGATGTCGGTGGGTGACTAGACCCAGAGGCCGCCTCAGCCTCTCCTGACCCAACTGGTAGTGGAGCAGCTGTAAGTGATGGCCCAGCTGAAGGCAACGAGGGAATCCCTGCATCTGGAGTCAGGGCAGGCTCAGGCCCCTGACTCGGCCCAGCTGGTGCTTGTTGCAGGGGAACCTGTGCAGACTGGGACTCTTCAGGATCGGGCCCCAGACTTGGTTCAGCTGCCGCCTGTCTGTCATAAAATTTTTATTGTTTTTTTCACAATTAAACACAAACAATACACAATACAGACATACAAACATAAAAACAAACATGTATACTTTCACAACCTTCCCCCTCCCTTAAACCTTACTTCACCGACTTCCCCATACCTCCCCTTTCTGCATTCCAATTCCCAGATTTATTTCAGCAAATCCTTCCCCTTAATCTTATCTAATTTTCCCTTATTCTTTTCTTTTACTTAATCTTTTACAGCTGTAATCCCCTATTCTCTATAACCTCGACGTTTTAGCACTCATTAATTTTACAATATTTCTTAAGATAAATTTTAAATTTCTTCCAATCTTCTTCCACCGTCTCTTTCCCCTGGTCTCGGATTCTGCCAGTCATTTCAGCCAGTCCCATATAGTCTATCACCTTCATCTGCCACTCTTCCAAGGTGGGTAGATCTTGTGTCTTCCAATACTTTGCAATGAGTATTCTTGCTGCTGTTGTAGCGTACATAAAGAATGTTCTATCTTTCTTTGGCACCAATTGGCATTGTCGGCTTGGTTCAGCTGCCGCCTGAGGCAAAGGATCCGGTGCAGACTGAGACTCCTCTGGTTCCAAGCCCGAGTTCCCAGGCCATCACACTCTAGTCCTGCAATGCAAGGAATCACAGCTAAAGGATCCCTGCAAGATGGCCAGCCGAGCTCTGTTTACAAACCTCCAATGAAGGGGTGTCTGTTCCACTGGTTGGCCTCTGTGAGAATAGGATGTTGGACTTAGACGAGCCATTAGGCTCAGTCTGGCAACGCTGTTGACAGAGGCAGAGAGTTCAAGCATTCTCCACATCCTGCCCATCGCAGGAAGCCATGCGAGAGCTGAGCCGCCCTTTTCAGACAGGCTCCGAAGGCAAGCTTCAAATCAAAACATGTAGCTTTAGAGCGCTCCATTTCAATGCTCCTTTCCCACAAGGTTTTTTGTGTGTGCAGAGTTACAATAACAGCGGCTGGCCAGCATATAAGCGATTAAAACACAGGGCCAGCTTTGCGAAATCAGACCCCAAAGCCCATCTGCTTCAACATCCTGTTTCCAACAACAGCTGGCCGGAAGCTTCCAGAAAGCTGACAAGCGGGGGGGGGGGAGAGCACACCCTCCCTTCCCCGCCCTCCCAGCACACAGAGTATTCGGAGGTAGACTTCTCCAGAAGATGGGGGCTCCATTCAGCTGCTACCACACCAAACAGCAAAAAGATATTAGGACTGAAAGTGCTGGCGTATTTTGTTCCTAAAAGTTTTTGCAAACCACAAAAGAGACATACGAAGGCATCGTACCAGGGAATCCTTAAAGCATCACAAACGTTTAAGATTATGAAATTCAGAATGAATGAATCATATTAATTCTCACTGGGTGAAGCGGAAATGTTTTTTGCAGAATTGCAGGAGCCCCTCTGCTTTCAACAGGAAAAAGCCTTTCAGAGAACTGACACGAAAAGCTTGAATTCATGTAGGCACTACTAGATGAATACGACTTAACTGTGCAGAGGTCAGGTGGTTTCTTGGGATGATCTCAAGCGATGATATCCATGCCACACATTCATTTGCCGCACTTAATTCATCCCGGGGGGCTGTACTTACCCTGAAAAGTCTGTTTCCTGAGGTGCTGCTTCTGCGCACGCACGCAGCGCAATAGAGCACTTCTGCGCATGTTGCTGCGAAACCCAGAAGTATTTGCCACGTTCGTAAGTTGAAATTACGTTACCTGAAGGTACTGTAACCTTGGCTTACAGACGCTTCAGGTTACAGACGCTTCAGGTTACAGACTCCACTAACCCAGAAATATTACCTCGGGTTAAGAACTTTGCTTCAAGATGAGAACAGAAATCGTGCTCCGGCGGCGCGGCACCAGCGAGAGGCCCCATTAGCTAAAGTGGTGCTTCAGGTTAAGAACAGTTTCAGGTTAAGAACGGACCTCTGGAACGAATTAAGTTCTTAACCCAAGGTACCACTGTATTATTATTATTATTATTATTATTATTATTATTATTATTATTATTTATTAAGAGTAGGAGCCACTGAGAGCCATTTCCCAACTTCGGGTCATCAGGTGTTGTTGGACTACAGTTTCCATCATGGCGCAGTGACTAGGGATTATGGGAATTGTAGTCCACCAATATCTGGGGATCCAAAGTCAGGGAAGGCTAGCCTGCCACATCAGAGACTGCTTCCGGAGGCGGCGGCCATCACAATGTCTACACCAGTTCTCGAATCTAAACGCAACTTCTTTTGTCTTCTCAGGACCCCGCCATCGTACAGCACAGGCCGACGTCGGATTACGCCACCTTGGATGTCTACAACCCTTTTGACAACACAGCGGTAGGAGGGCTATTCTTTTATTACACCAGTTTCGCCGTTGCTTCTTTTTACAGGGTGAGGGAAGGTCTCTGAGGCCCAGTTTGCAGCTAGGCTGAGATTGCACTCTGCGTATGGGGTGCTGAGGGGAAACTCTCTAGAACCGGTGTGCCTGTGAGAGAAATTGCCGTGTCTCTCTGTACAGGGGTGCATGGTGGCCGGGGTTCTTTCGAGGCCGCCAGGGCAGAATGTGGGGAGCCCGAAAGCATGTTAAACTATGGAACTCCCTGCCACAGGAAACTGTGATGGCTGCCGTCTTGGATGGCTTTGAAAGAGGATGAGGCAGTTTTTAGCTAATTGCTAAAAAATGGAAAAAAGAAACAGTGCCAACAAAAATGGAACGGCAAGACAAACAGTTAAGAGTATATTCAACTGGCTATTAGAGGCAATTAGAGATCACACTAAGGGACGCGGGTGGTGCTGTGGGTTAAGCCACAAAGCCTAGGACTTGCCGATCAGAAGGTCGGTGGTTCGAATCCCCGCAACGGGAGGCAGGAATGCTTTTGAATCCCAGTTGCTGCGAACTGCAGGCGGGGAAAACGGTCTTGTATTCGAATCCTGATTGAGAGTTTTCCATTGGGGCATCTGGGTTGGCCACTGTGAGAACAGGATGCTGGACTAAGTGGATCATTGGCCTGATCCAGCAATCAGGCGCATCTTATGTTCTTATGTTCTCCCCTCTGCAGCAGCTGCCCCCTCCGTACGCTGCCCCTCCCTCGGCTTCACCGGCCCCCCTTGCGGCACCGCCAGCTCCTGCCTCGCAGCCCGCCAAGAAGCCAAGCCCCACCGAGCCCAAGAATTACGGCTCCTATGGCACTCAGGTAAGGGGGAAGCGCCTGCGTTTAAAGGCTCCTGGGTTCGAGACTATAAATCCAGGATGGTCGCTTTTTATTTTACGTTCTTATTTCTGTTTCTTAACTCCTCCGAAACGGCTTCTGTTTTCTGCACGAGTTCGGACGAATTGGTTTGTTTCCTCGCTGCGTTGCTTTTGTGACGGAAGTCACAAAAGAGGAATTTAAATACAGTGGTACCTTGGGTTACATACACTTCAGGTTACAGATTCCACTAACCCAGAAATAGTGCTTCAGGTTAAGAACTTTGCTTCAGGATGAGAACAGAAATCGTGCTCCGGTGGCGCGGCGGCAGCAGGAGGCCCCATTAGCCAAAGTGGTGCTTCAGGTTAAGAACAGTTTCAGGTTAAGTACGGACCGACATGGGCTCTGCGTTAGTCATCTGAGGCCATTATTTGTGCTCTTCCTCCATGAGAGGTCTGGGGGGGGGGGCAATACGCAAAAGGGCCTTTTCTGTGGTGGCTCCGTGTTTGTGGAATGCTCTCCCCAGGGAGGTTTGCCTGGTGCCTTCATTATATATTTTTAAGTGTCGGGCAAAAGCATTCCTCCTTTCTCAGGCCTCTAAACAATCTATGGCCTTTTAAACTGTGTGTGTGTGTGGGGGGGGTATTTTTGTTTTGTTATTATGTTATGTATTTTTGCGTTTTTATATAGTAAACTGCCCCGTGATCTTTGAAGGCTGGTATAGTAATAATAATAATAATAATAATAATAACGAAGAAACGGTGGTGAAACTTGCACTCTTTGATTCCTCAAGAATGCTGCTCATCTGCTCTTTTCAGCTTGTATTCCTTCAAGCCAGTCAACATCATCAACCTTTTATTCGACCGTCAGTCAGAAAACAGTACATTTGTCAATACACAGTTAAAACATCCAGGAAGATTTTAGAACTTAGCCAACACTAAAATAGGCTAAACAGATAGCCCCATATCAATACAGTCAATTATAGTCTTGCGACGCTTAAAAGCTAAAAAAAGAAATTTGGCCACCAAGGAAGGTATAGCTCTAGTGACGTTATTCAGCTAGTGTAAAACCTGGTTTTCTCTGGGTAGGAAGCTAAATTGACATAGGAGTGGGTCTATAAAATTTTGTCTAAGCTCTGCATAAGAAGGGCAAGTCAAGAGAATGTGTTCGGTGGACTCAACCGCACCCATGGCACAATGACAGGTTCTCTGGGCGTATGGTACTCCCCTGTACCTTCCCCACAATATCGCAGAGTCAAGGACATTTAATCTGGCCGCTGTAAGAAGTCTGCGGTATTCCACATAGTGGATTTCTGCAAGGTAGGGGGCTGGTATGGTCCGATAAATCTGGTCCCCTAGGAACATCCCTGGTTTTACCTGGGCTATGTCCTCTTGCCTGGCAATGTCACTCAGTCTCCGGGAGATCACAGCTCTAGCTTGATTGTACGTCATAGACTCAAAGTAAAGGTGAGACAATCCGTTTTCAAGCCAGTCTTCAGGACTAGCAACTTGTCATTGTGTGGGTTTTTTAAAAAAATGAAACATATTCTTATATGCTTTCTGAGGCCATTGCCACTTTCTGTGATTACGTGATGTTGCGCCAGCCAAGGCTTTCTTAACCAGAACGATGGTTCTCTGAAGCTTGGCTTCTTTTTTAAACAAAGATCTATTTTGATTCACTGGCAAACTTGGTTTACGTCAAGCAGAAGGCTGCTTTTTACAAACTGTAAAGAAAAACGGAAATGAACGAGTGGGGAAAAAGAAACCCAGTTGCTTTCACTTCTCAGAAGACTCATCGAGTGGGAGTTAACCCTGAGAGATATCAGACCTCTCGCCCTGTGACACTCCCAAACCACTTCCCTTAAAGAAACAGCGCACCGTTTCCATAGAGGGGTTACAGTGCACCTGATTCGGCCGATTAGAGACCTTCTGATGTACTACAGGCAGGAATAGTTTTCTCCTTTATTTATGTATGTATTTTCAATGCAAAATTACAACAAAAATTACAAACATAAAATCCCAAAACAAACAAACAAACAAAAAACAAAGCAAAACAAACAGAAACCAAAAATGAAAAAAAACCACACCTACAAAGAAAACTATGCCATCATAATAATCTTCATGTATGTAGGTAGGAATAGTTTTCTCATTTTCCCTTTGGAGCAATAGTTTAAGGCTCTTTTCCCAGGGCTGTTAAACAAGACTGCCTTTCTGTGCGTGGATGCTCTGCAGTTAGAGTGGGACCTTGGTTCTCAAACTTAATCCGTTCCGGAAGTCCGTTCCAAAACCAAGGCACGCTTTCCCATAGAAAGTAATGCAAAACGGATTAATCCGTTCCAGACTTTTAAAAACAACCCCTAAAACAGCAATTTAACATGAATTTTGCTACCTAATGAGACCATTGATCCAGGAAATGAAAGCAATAATCAATGTACTGTACTATAAAATAAATAGAACAGTATTGTAGATGATAAAAATTTAAAATTTTTTTTAACCTGCGCTGATGTTAGTCATTGTTTGGATGGGGAGCTTTTATCCATTTACGCAGTCACACAATCAATCGATCAGTAGCTGAACTGGGATTCACACAGTCACAAAAACAAATTAACTGAAAAAGCCTCAAAACAAAAAACGCAAAATAAATAGCAAAAACAAAAGCACCAAATATAAGCTCCAAATATCACCTTAAAACACTGCAATCTGAAATGGAAGACTTGAATTACAATGGGGGGACTCAAATTAGCAGTGCAACAGTTCTGAAAAACAGTTCACAAACTGGAACACTTACTTCCGGGTTTGCAGTGTTTGGGTTCCAAGTTGTTTGAGTACCAAGGTGTTTGAGAACCAAGGTACCACTGTATTGATACGCATTTTACGTATCAATTGTCAGCTGCTTTGAGCATATTCATATGGAAAAGTGGCATAGACATTTAAATAATAATAAAAAATCAATTGGATGAAAAATACACATGGGGAAGGACTGTCCCTCCTCTTTCATTCCTGCTGATTTTTCTCTTGCTTTCCCCCCAGGAGTCGACTGCAGCAGCCACGGCGGAGCTGTTGAAACGGCAAGAGGAGCTGAACCGCAAAGCTGAGGAGCTGGACCGGCGGGAGCGAGAACTGCAGAACGCTGCTCTGAGTGGCGGAGCAGGTATAGCCCACCCTGGCAGTAAGAAAAACCCTGACTTCAATCTGGGGGTGTAGTGATCTGGGGCCGCGGGGAGGCGGTGCCAAAGACTACGACTGTTTCCTGCAGCAGGGTCTGTTGCAGAGTTGCCCAATCAGCACGAAAGGGGAGCTTTTTAGCCACACGCTCCGGTTGAAGCCCGTCAGAGTGAAAGGAGGGGAGTCAGCCTCTGAGGATGGGCTCCAGGGGTCAGTCTGGAGAAAAAAGAGGAGGTTGTTTTGTAGGCTGCAAAGCGAAGTGTTTAGGAACACCGAAACCACAAGGTGCTTCAGTTTCAAGAGAACAACATGCGAGTTCTGTTACGTACAGTGGTACCTCTGGTTGCGAACAGGATCCATTTGGAGGCCCGTTCGCAACATGAAAGGAACGCAACCTGCAGCGGCGTGTCCGCGCATGCACAGGTTGCTGTTCGCCGCTTTTGCGCATGCGCGTGACATCATTTTGCGTGCATGCGTGAGCGGCGAAACCTGGAAGTAACCCTTTCCGGTACTTCCGGGTTGCCGCGGGATGTAACCTGAAAGAACGTAACATGAAGCGGACGTAACAGGAGGTATGACTGTACAATGGAAAAGTCTACTTTTTCGTGGGACCAAGACAGCCGATTGCGCACACATCGACGGAGCGACCAATCGTCTGAACGCTCGCCGACAACAAACGGCAATTGCCCGCCCAATTGCCACAGCAGCCAATAGCCTGTGGAACTTGCCGCAACCAGAAATCACACGCCAAAACGCCGCTGACAATCTCCGGCTCACGGCAGCCACCAATCGCCTGTCCAGCCACATCACTATCCATGTATAAGACGACCCCAATTTTTAAGCTTAGTTTTTGAAGAAGAAAAAAACCTATAAATGGAAAAATACAATAAGTTACTCTGAAAAAAAGATATTGGAGCGCTCCAAATAATTTCCCCTCATGTAGGTGCACAGAAAATAGTAGATCTAGTTGATCTGCATGGTGGAGATCTGCATGGATCATTGCGATGTATTATTAGAGTATTATTATGTAATCTTAGAGGGGGCTTGGCTGTGAGTATCGTGAAAGGACCCTGAATTTGCCACTTGCCTCACTCTTGTTTTTCTGCTTTTGGATTCGCAGCCCATCAGAACAACTGGCCTCCGTTGCCTTCCTTCTGTCCGGTGAAGCCGTGCTTCTATCAGGATATCCCTGTGGAGATTCCCGTGGAATCACAGAAAACGGTCACGACCATGTACTATCTCTGGATGGGTAAGGCCTTGAAGCACAGCACAGCGGCAGAGGAGCCCATGTCTTGCAGGCAGAAGGTTGAGTCCCCAGCAGCCACAGGGAGAATTTAGAGCAGGTGGTCTTAATCTTGCTGGATCAAGTCAAAGGCCCATCATTGTTCAGCGTCCTCTTTCTCACAGCGGCCAGCCAGGTGTTTAGGGACAGCCCAGGAAGGGGACCTGAGGGCAACAACAACTGTAAATTTCAAACCTTTATAGACCATTGAGACAGAGTTGATCATAAGGATCTAAAGGCCTGAAATAGAGGATGTAAAGTGCGACACAAAGATTTGAAAATTAAAAACCGGTTGAAGGAATGGAGGGAAGTCACGAGCTCAGTAGAGCAAAGAATTTATTTGTTTTGTTATTGGTATGCTGAAATATTGTGTTGAAAAGGGAATTAATGAAAATCATATTAAAAACAAACAACTCTCCCCACTTGAGGTTCGTGGCAACTGGTCATTCAGAGGCAGGCTGCCTCTGACAGCGCAGGGAGAACGTAGATAAACTAGCCTAAGGCCACTGTGTCAAGGGGGATCCTCCTCACATGCTTTAGTTAATTTGCAGGTTCAAAACAGGAAACAAACAGCCACCTGAAGAAGCGTTCTGTGTGCCCTGCAAGCTTACACTCACGGCATAAGCACAAATTAACTAGGAAACACAAGCCATATCAATTTGTGTGTGTGTGTGTGTGTGTGCTTTTAAACGCTTTTTGGTGTTTTCACTGAATAGGGGGTACTGATTTGTTTTTTAAAATATTTATATTTATTGTGGGGTGCTTTTTGTTTTGTTGTTGTATCTTTTCTAATTTATCCTCTGTGCTGCCTTGGGTTCTGCACTGTGGGAGAAAGGCAGGATAGTAAACGAACCCAAGCCACAAATAAACAAACGAGCCGCCATTGAGAGCAGATTGCACAGAATTAAGAAGAATGGTTAGTCTTAACTCTGTACAGGGCAGAGAGAGGGGTCACAGCTGCATCCCAACAGAGGGCTTTAGCTTTCGCCCCCCCCCCGTGGCTGCAGTTTGTGGGGGCCGCCTTTGCCTCTCTCCCCCCACTTCCTCGAGATCAGCTAACCCATGCCCCCTTTCTCGTCCCCACAGCTGGCATTGTGACCCTCTTCTTCAACTTCCTGGCTTCCCTGGCCTTTTTCTGCGTGGATTCTGGGGGCGGCTCAGGCTTTGGCCTCTCAATCCTCTGGGCCTTGATTTTCACACCCTGCTCCTTCCTCTGCTGGTATCGGCCCATGTACAAGGCCTTCAGGTACGGTGGGAAAATGGGCGTGCGGCTGCGAGGCCCGGTGCTGCCATGGAGCAGGGTAACTTGACGGCAGGCAAATTGGGCAGGGATATTTTGGGAGTTGGTTTCCGCCGCCTAAGGAATGAGGGAACCTTTGGCCACACCCAAATGTTAACTGGGCTCACAACTCCCTTCAGTCGCAGGCAGCCTAGTCAGGGGAACGCCACATTTTGAAGAGCAAAAACGAGGATGCTATGACGACTCTCATTTTTAAACAGCTCTACTATATGTAGAAGGGACGCAGGTGGCGCTGTGGGTTAAACCACAGAGCCTAGGACTTGCCGATCAGAAGGTCGGCGGTTCGAATCCCCGCGACGGGGTGAGCTCCCGTTGCTCGGTCCCAGCTCCTGCCAACCTAGCAGTTCGAAAGCACGTCAAAGTGCAAGTAGATAAATAGGTACTGCTCCAGCGGGAAGGTAAACGGCGTTTCCGTGCACTGCTCTGGTTCGCCAGAAGTGGCTTAGTCATGCTGGCCACATGACCCGGAAGCTGTACGTCGGCTCCCTCAGCCAATAAAGCAAGATGAGCGCCACAACCCCAGAGTCGGCCACGACTGGACCTAATGGTCAGGGGTCCCTTTACCTTTACCTTTACTATATATAGGCTATAGAAGCTGTGATCTGTTGCTGAGGGGAGGCAAGAGAAAAGAAGAAAGCAAGCCTTCAACCACCAGTTATGTCTATGTATCATCCAAAAGTCATAGCCAGAGATAATTTGGCAAATATTTTAAAAATCCACCTAGACAGAATTTTTACCCCTGTAAAAGAGGATGTGTCCTGGAAAAAGGGGACACATGGCAACCCTGCTCAGCAACATTTGAAGGGTCACCGATTCCCCATTCTTGTGGACAGAGTTTTATATGGATATTTTCTACTGTCTGGTTTTATGTATTACTATTGTGAACCACTCTGACATTTATTTCAATGGAACAGCAGTATCTAAATATTCTTATACATAGACACAACCCTGTTATAGCAATAAGATCCTAATGATTCCTTTCTCTCCTTCTCTTTCAGGAGTGACAGCTCTTTCAACTTCTTTGTCTTCTTCTTCATTTTCTTTGCGCAAGATGTGGTGTACGTTCTCCAGGCCATTGGCATCCCAGGCTGGGGGTTCAGGTAAGGGCGCCCTGTTCTTCGCTGTCTCTGTGGCCGGCAGTCTTGTGACTTTAATTTATTACCTGCCCATCGCCATAAGGTCCCAGGGCAAGCTAAAACAATGGAAACACCTAGGTTGAAAACAGTTTAAATCAACTGGCAATCACAGAAATAAGGCGGGTCCTAGATATATGTGTCTCGGGCGTCAAAAGTCCAGGGATATAAAGGAGGCACACATTCAGCACTCGCCCAAAACTGTATAATGAAGGTGCCAGGATGCGTCTCTGTGGGGAGGGAACTTCACAGCTTAGGGGCGGGGCCACAGGTTTGCCCACAGCCAAAGAGGGAGCCTTCTCTCTTTTTAAAAAAATCAATTTTATTAAAGGTTTTCAACTGAATATACCATGAAATTCAAACTAAGTGAAAAAGAATAAAACAATATATCAAACCGAAAAAAAACACCAAAGAGAAAAAGAAAGATACATTCATAATAATCCTCATACGATCCTCAGACAGTCGTACCTCAGTTGTCGAACTTAATCCGTTCCAGGAGTTCGTTAGACTCCCAAAACATTTCAAAAACCAAGGCGCAGCTTCCAATTGGCTGCACTCATTCGGAAGCTGCGTCAGACATTCGGCTTCCAAAAAACATTCTCAAACTGGAACACTTGCTTCTGGCCGGGTTTGCGGCGTTTGGGAGCCATAACGTCCCAGTACCAAGGCGTTTGACAACCAAAGTATGACTGTATAACGTAAAATTATAAATATATCTGTGTGGCCCTCGGTTACCATTTTATCTTAATCTTCACACATACAGAGAGCTGAATTCTCCCATCTGGTAGAGCTTCCCTTTCCTCCGCCTCCCACCCTGAGAAAACCCACTCTGACCGGCCTCTCATACAGGCCCCTTCCTCGTCTTTCTGTCAGCTCAGAAGGGCGCCTTCTCAAAGCCTGGTTGAGCCGGCTTCGGGAAGGAAGCACGAGGGCCCTGACAGGGTCCTGTCTCCTTCCCAAAACCGGACAAGCATTTTCCGGGCTTTGGGAAGGAGTTACGGCATGGGTAGGCAAACTAAGGCCCGGGGGCCAGATCCGGCCCAATCGCTTTCTAAATCTGGCCTGTGGACGGTCCGGGAATCAGCGTGTTTTTACGTGAATAGAATATGTCCTTTTATTTAAAATGCATCTCTGGGTTATTTGTGGGGCACAGGAATTCGATCATCCCCCCCCCCCAATATAGTCCGGCCCCCCACAAGGTCTGAGGGACAGTGGACCGGCCCCCTGCTGAAAAAGTTGGCTGACCCCTGAATTACGGGGGCTCTAGGACTCTGCTAGAGCCACGCGAGTCCTTCCCAAAGCCCTGCTTTAAGCCGGTGCTACGAGGGCTGTGAGGAGGGCGTCAAATGTTGCCCTTACGCAGGGTGGCCATATTGCCATGGTCCGCCCCTGCCGCCACAGAGAAGGCCCTCTCCAGGGCTGCCTCCAACACCCAAGCTTCTGAGGGCAGCAGGAGAAGCAAGAGGGTCCCTTGTGCCAATCTTAACACCCAAGGGGCTCTGTAGGGAAGGAGGCGGCTTTTCAGGCAGGGCGGGTTTTTTAAAGCCGGAACTTGCCGGAACTCTGTTCCAGCCATTGGGCGCTGTTGCCATTCTAAGGGGACGAGGGAAGGTCTTCATTGTCAGTTCCGGCACCTCTTTTTCTAGAAAAATAGCACTGCTTTCGGGTATTTGGGAACCCCAAGCTTTGCATCAGAATGAAATGTGGGTGGGGGGACCCTAATGGATTTGGGGAACAACAGCCCAGCGGCAAGGGCTGAGGAAACTCTATGCACCATAATTCTGACTTGAACAGGGAGCGAACACAAAAGTGGGTGAGGCAGGGAGTGGGGTTGCTCAATCAATCAAATGTATAATTGCAGTCAACTGACCATGGAAGATTTGCAGACGTTTAAAAAAGGGAGGAAAAAATATACCACAGCCTTCAAAGAGCGAAGGTGACAAATTAGGAGCTAACTGTCTCAGTGGGTGTAAAATAAGTTACACCCCTCTGATCTAATGCCACCTGTTTCATAATAGATAATAGATTAGAGCCTCTCAAGGAAGGAGTTCAATAGTGTCTTTAGGGATGGACCAGGAAACTGGCTCCTAAGGGGATGAATTTAGCGTTCTCTAACACTTTAATAATGCGTACAATAGGGAAAACATGTGAGGGACTGTTTCAAGCTCTTAAGTATATGCAAAGGCAGCACTGATCTTTGAAGGGAAGTTTAGCAAATCTGCCATCTGAGAAAGTGTTAAAAATGTGCCAGCCAAGCAGAATTTGTGGAACGGAAGCAGTCCATGCTTTCCTGGGGCGGTTTTTATTTATTTAGACATTTCATATACAGTGGGACCTCGGGTTAAGTACTTAATTGTTCTTAACCTGAAGCACCACTTTAGCTAATGGGGCCTCCTGCTGCCGCCGCACGATTTCTGTTCTCATCCTGAAGCAAAGTTCTTAACCACAGAGCCTAGGGCTTGCTGATCAGAAGGTTGGCGGTTCGAATCCCCGCGACGGGGTGAGGTCCCTGCTCCTGCCAACCTAGCAGTTCGAAAGCACATCAAAGTGCAAGTAGATAAATAGGTACCGCTCCAGCGGGAAGGTAAATGGCTTTTCTGTGTGCTGCTCTGGTTCGCCAGAAGCGGCTTAGTCATGCTGGCCACATGACCCAGAAGCTGTACGCCGGCTCCCTCGGCCAATAAAGCGAGATGAGCGCCACAACCCCAGAGTCGGTCACGACTGGACCTAATGGTCAGCGGTCCCTTTACCTTTACCTTTTACTATTTCTGGGTTAGCGGAGTCTGTAACCTGAAGCGTATGTATCCTGAAGCGTCGGTAACACAAGGTACCACTGTACTGCTTAATTGCAGAGTTCTCTTAAGCAATGTACAAGGAACGCAATACAACAAAAGCAAAAATCGGTCCAAACTGTAAAACTGGAATTCAATTAAAATGTCTGCTGGATTATTTATAATAAAAAAAGCAAAAAACAAAAAATGATTGATTGATTGATTGACTGCATTTGTATACTACCTCCATCTTCCAAGGATCTCAAGCTAGTATATGTGGTCCTCCTTCTCTTCCCTGTTTCATCCTCACAACGACCCTATGAGGTAGGGTTAGGCTAAGAGATGGTGACTGGCCATCTTTAAACTCTTATTCTTTGTTTTTAAAATGGTTTGCAAGTTGCTTTGTGTGAGGGGGCGAAATCCAGGGATGTAAGTAATAATTACGCTTTGTGGCTGCTTTTAGGGGAGATTTTCTTTATGCCTATAATTGCTGGGTTGCACACAGTTATCAATTGCCGCCCCCTTGCTCACGGGCACTGATCCCTCTTTCCCCCCTCTCAACTGCAGTGGTTGGATCGTCAGCCTCACAGCGCTGAAGCTGAACACTGGGGTGGCCATTCTCATGATGCTGGTGGCCACACTCTTCACGGTTGTCGCCGGACTCGGCATCATCATGCTGAAGCGAGTGAGTATGGCAGCTGCAGGTTGCTGAGTTCCCAGTCTGTTTCTCCTTCCTTCCTTCCTTCCTTCCTTCCTTGAATGAATTTATTATTTCAGTCACAGACCAGTTCCAGCCCACATACAATATCAAGGAAGTCATAAAACACAATAGGGATACATTTGAATTTGCAATTAGGTATAACGTGGGTGGCGCTGTGGGTAAAAGCCTCAGCGCCTAGGGCTTGCCGATCGAAAGCTCAGCGGTTCGAATCCCTGCGGCAGGGTGCGCTCCCGTTGCTCGGTCCCAGCGCCTGCCAACCTAGCAGTTCGAAAGCACCCCCAGGTGCAAGTAGATAAATAGGGACCGCTTACTGGCGGGAAGGTAAACGGCGTTTCCGTGTGCGGCTCTGGCTCGCCAGAGCAGCGATGTCACGCTGGCCACGTGACCCAGAAGTGTCTGCGGACAGCGCTGGCCCCCGGCCTCTTGAGTGAAATGGGTGCACAACCCTAGAGTCTGTCAAGACTGGCCCGTACGGGCAGGGGTACCTTTACCTTTATAACAGGGACAATACAGGTATGCAGTTAAAAAATATATAAATTAAAACTTAGCCATTAACATATAACCTAAAATTATCATTAAAAACCTTAATCATTATGGTAGGTACAGTTTGTTCCCTAAGTTCCTTCTTTCCTTCCTTCCTTCCTTCCTTGGCAACTGGCCATAGATTTCTTGTGGTTTTGTGGCCACATTTGCACCACGTTACAGGACACCAATACCTCAAGGACCGCCTCCTTCCATACGAATCTACCTGGACCCTGAGATCATCATCTCAGGCCCTTCTCTGTGTGCCTCCTCCTTGAGAGGTCTGGAGGGTGGCAACATGAGAACGGGGCCTTCTCTGCAGTGGCTCCCAGCCTGTGGAATGCTCTCCTCAGAGAGGTTCGCCTTCATTACACACTTTTTAGGCGCCAGGCAAAAACGTTCCTTTTTAACCAGGCCTTTGGTGAATCTGAGTTACATCCTATGCCGTTTTAAGATGTGTTTCTTTGTGGGGAGGAGCCTATTGGCTTGTTGTTTTTATTTTTATGTATTTTGTGATTTTAAATGTTGGTTTTATTCTGTGAGCCGCCCTGAGAGCCCTGGGTATAGGGCAGTATATCAATTCAATAAATATTAATACCTGAGGATCTTGGCACCTGTGCAGGTAGAATGGTAGAGTTGGAAAGGGACCCTGAGGGACATCTAGTCCAACCCTCTGCAATGTGGGGATCCTGTCCGCAGCCATCTGTGGGTGGGCTCGAACCACCAACCTTCTGGTGGCATGGAGGGGGATAATGTCCGCCACCTGGCCGACACCATCTAGGGCAGGCACAGGCAAATTCCAGCCCTCCAGATGTTTGGGACTACAATTCCCATCATCCCTGACCACTGGTCCTGTTAGCTAGGGATGATGGGAGCTGTAGTCCCAAACAATCTGGAGGGCCGGAGTTTTGCCTATGCCTGATCTAGGGCTTTTATAGGGCACAGCCAGCACTTTGAACAACCATCTCCGGTCAATCTCTCCCCACAGATCCACTCTCTTTACCGCCGCACGGGCGCCAGCTTCCAGAAAGCCCAGGAGGAGTTTGCCGCCGGCGTCTTCTCCAACCAAGCGGTGCGCACGGCGGCCGCCAACGCAGCGACCGGGGCGGCGAGCAACGCTTTCCGGCCTTCGTAAAGGCGTGCGTGTGTGTGTGTGCGCGCGCATGTGTTAGAAATCTGCCGCTGCTCTTCCTCTTCCGGCCCCCTTCCCAACCGGGGTGGGGGCAGCTTCGACCGACAAGCCGAGTTGCACTTTCTCTCTCCTTCTCTCCCTCGTCGGAAGTCCTTCCTGTGTGTGCTGATTTTAGAAGGCTGTGCTCTCCCTGCCCGCCCGCCCCCCCTCCTTTCACTCCCACGCCCACCGCACCACCACCCAGCATGGAATCGGCAACTGCGCCTCATCTCCTGCAACCGCAACCGTTCTGCGAGAAGTTTTGAACCTCTTCGCCTCGGCGCCGGAGATTGCAGCAGGGGACCTCTCTGCCTTTTCTCCCGAGGCCGCGTGGAGGATGGAGGCCTTGCTAGGAGCGACTCTTCATCTGCCGGAGCCTCTTCACATGCCCCCACCCCTCCTTCAGCTTAGCCCAGGTGGGGTGAGGCGGGGGCACTTCCCTGAATTCCCCAAATTTCTTCCTTTGAGCTGCAACCATGAGCTGCTGAATCCTCACATCTCCCACAATTCTCTCTGCCTCCCTTGCTTCCTGATTGGTTGCCCGCTTTGGTTAAATGGCAAGGCGCTCTGATGCCTCGAACATCTTCCCTGCTGGTGGAAAACAGAGCAGGGAGAACTACACTGGCAGGATAAGGGGTCCTCCTCCTCCTGTTTGGTGCAGAGAGGTGCTTCCTGGACCCTTGTTTGTGTGTGTTTGTGCCCCCCCCCTCTGCACTATGCATTTAAAGCAGGATCACACCGCTTTATAAACAGCCACGGCTTCCCCCCCCAAAGGATCATGGGAAACTAGTCTGTCAATGGCGCCGAGACCTGTTAGCAGGCCTTCTTTCCCCTCACACAGTTATTAGAGGGGTTTAGCAATCGGTCCCTCTTCCCAGGGAACTCTGGGAATTGTAGTCCTCTAATGTGTCCTAGTAGCTCCTGGTACGCTTAACAGACTACAGCTCCCAGGATTCCTTGGGGGGAGCCAAAGTAGCTGCTTAAAGTGGTATGACACAAATGTCAAATGTATATAGTGCAGATTGGGGGCCTGTGAGTGTGGGTCCGTCTGTGGGAGAAGAGGCGCTTGGCTCTTCCTGCTGTGCCCTCTTTATTAGCTAACTGCTGCGCTCAGAGCGGCCATTGCTGCTGCTGCTGCTGCACTCCCTTTCTAGGCTCTCTCCTCCACCAAGTTGATAGGGCTTTTTCTTGCCGGTGCTGGCCACTGGAGGGTGGTGTTGGCCTACATCTGTTTTATTTTAGTAAATCGAACAGTACTGGGTTATTTCCCTCCCCCTTGTTGTTGTTGAGCTGAACCTTTGTGGGTGACGCCACAGAATTTCATCTCCATGCCTCCTGCTTTCCCCACATGGCCTGTGGGTGGGGAGCTCTGTGCCCCAAATCTTTGCACCCCAACTCTCCCTAGGTTTTTCATCCATTACAGCCCTGCCTTATCTTTGATGTTGTGTGTCCTCATTTTTTAAAGTGGGGGTGAGGGACTGATATAAATAGGTATCTGTTTTGGGTTTGGCACCCTTTTAGAGGTTCCCCCGTTCCTTCTCTGCCTCCAGATCTGAGGGGGGAGCCTGCACCCCACTATCCGAATTCCGCTTAAACCGGTCTATTCCTTCTTTCCGTCCCCATCTGCACTCGCCTTATTCTTCTGAACCATGGCTTAAGGAAAGGAAACAGGTGAGGGTTGGGGGTCTGAGGCCCAGACACGTCCCCTTCCTCTCCCTGTGCCTCGAAGGCCTGCTTTTGTGCCCTGGGATGCTCTGAATAGCAAAGAGGACCTGCCGATTCTTCTCCCCCTGGTCTCCGTTTCACACCTGTGCTCTCTCTGTCTCTCTTTCTCTCAGCTCCTGCCGGTTCCAGGTCTCAGCCCAGAGGCTTTAGATCCTCTCTTCCGTGGCTCATTCCGTTTGTTTGACCCCTGAAGGCCGACCGCCCTTCTCCTTTCCCCTGCGTCTGAAATTACCGGGTCTGTGCCGCGTAGCCAATGTTTCCCTGACTCACTCGATGCCCTTCCTCTCCCCCCATGTTTTGGACTTTCTTGTCCGTGTGTGCGTGGTTCTTCCTCCACCCCGACTTTTTTATTATTTATTTTGCTGTGCCAAATGCAAGATGACTTAACGGAACTTTATTTAAGGAATAAACTACATTTTAACTCGCTGGTCTCCTGTACTGATGTATAAGGGGCTTTGGGGGGCGGGGGACCATATCGAGAGCCAGTGTGGTATAGTGGTTAGAGCAGTGGACTCGTAATCTGGTGAACTGGGTTCGATTCCCCGCTCCTCCACATGCAGCTGCTGGGTGACCTTGGGCTAGTCACACGTCTTTGAGGTCTCTCAGCCCCACTCACCTCACAAAGTGTTTGTTGTGGGGGAGGAAGGGAAAGGAGAATGTTAGCCGCTTTGAGACTCCTTTGGGTAGTGATAAAGCGGGATATCAAATCCAAACTCCTCTTCCATATTGCATTAGCTTTCCTGATTGTAACGCCAGTGCTTCTGTCCCGCCACCCCTAGCAACAACAATGACAACAACAACAACAATTTTATTATTTATACCCCACCCATCTGCCTGGGTTTTCCCACCTGGGTGGCTTACCATACAGCAAGTTGTTTCTCTGCAGAAACCCAAGAAGCCATTTTTATCTGTCTGTTCTCTTAAGCATCCTTTGTTTGCTAAGACGCCAAATGCACGTTCAGCAAGTTTTCGGTTTCAACAACTTGAGTTCATCTGACGAACAATCTTCTGAGTACGTGAGCCCACCTAGAGATCTGCACTGATCCGTTGCAGTACAGTGGTACCTCGGGTTAAGTACTTAATTCGTTCTGGAGGTCTGTTCTTAACCTGAAACTGCTCTTAACCTGAAGCACCACTTTAGCTAATGGGGGCCTCCCGCTACTGCCACGCTGCTGCTGCTGCAAGATTTCTGTTCCATAGCTGTCAACCTTCCCTGTTTTTGCTGGAAATTCCCTTATTCCAGCGCCGTTTCCCGCTGCTTCCTGCTGCTATTCCGGATTGTTAGATATCCTGTAGACTGTCCCCGGGATAGGTGAGGCTGCTGATCCCTTATTTTCAAATCTGAAAGTTGACAGCTATGTTCTGTTCTTATCCTGAAGCAAAATTCTTAACCCGAGGCACTATTCTCTGGGTTAGTGGAATCTGTAACCCGAAGCGTCTGTAACCCGAGGTACCACTGTACACCCCTGGCGACTATTATTGCATAATTATAAGATTTAATGTGTAATCTTGGAAGGTTGCAGAATCTTAAGAAGAGGCTGTGACTTAACCACGAAGGAGGGGCCCTGCCCTTCTGCCTTTGCTAGCTAGCCCACCGCTGCTTCAGAGAATCCCCACACATCCGAAAACCCCAGAGAAGACCTTCCTGGTCACGCAGGGTGTTGATGTTGTTGTCAGGCAGATCTGAGCCCTGCTGGCATCGATTTCAATAAATAAGACACGTTGGGGGGGGGGGTGAGGCTAATGGCTCTCGCTTTGCTCGTAAGCCTGGGAGCCCCGGCTGGTCTTTTCATGAAAAGACTTCTTGGCACCTATTGCCACCACCTGCCTGGCCGTTTCCCACTGGTGCCAGGGAACGGGGGAGGCAGTTGGGGGGTGGCGGCGGATGAGCAGGGAGCCACCGGGCCTGGCCCATTTGGGGTTTCCGCCAGCTCCGGCGAGCTGCACTTAGCGTAGGGCGGGGAAGGAGCTGGGCTGCGGCTGGTGGTGGAGGAGCATCCATTAAGCAGCAACGGAGGCCCTCTGGGGAGATGCCTTGATGGCAGGAGAGGAGAGCTAAAAGCTGGAGCTGCTGGGCTTTCGCCGCCTCTTCCTTCCCGCAGAGCAAACCTCTCAGAACGGCTGCAGCATTTGTGGACCAGGCCATGTTGCATATTATATTTCCCCAAGTAGCGTCCTCTGGAACCTCGCAAGCAGGGCATGTGTAGACGGCGGCCTTCCTCTGTTTGGTTGCCTCTCTAGGATTTGGAGGTATACTTGTTCTGGAGCTGGAGGTTCCACTTGGCTACCAAAGCCAATAGCCCCCTTGCTCGCCCAGGGTAGCTGGAGTTGGTTCTGACCTGGGCACCCCGTAAATTTAAATAATCATGTTATTCCTTCCTCCCCCCCACAAAGAATCACGGGAACTGTAGCTTGGTAAGGGGGCTGAAAATTGCAGCTCTGTGTGGGGAAAACCTCCCAGGATTCTTTGGGGGAAATAATATGCTTTTTATTATTATTATTTCTTAATTTTTATTGATACAACAAAAAAAAAAAAAAAAACCACAAATACCAAATTACACACAGGAATAACCATAGACACATCATTTTCTTAGCAAACAATAAAACATATATTGGTCTTAACACTAAAGACCCAACCTCCTGTCTATTCCATATTTCAATTTCATATTACTTATTGCCAATACACACTTTTATCATAATTAAACTTATTCTTAATAAACCTAATTTCTTCTGTCTACCTTGCAACTATTACTGAAGTTCCTGAAATGCTGCAACAGAATTGGAAATAATATGTTTTAAATGTGTATTTTTTGCGTATTGTGCACAGCGCAAGTAACTCGGCATATTAGCCAACAGAAGTTTCAGTCTCTGGTTAAAAGGGGGCAGATACCTAGTAATGGGAAAGAGAGCCTTCCATTCCTGAGACTTTGGGGTGTTGATGCCAGTCAGAGCCAAAATACTGAATCAGGTGCTGGGAACTGGTACTGCGACAGCTGCTGCTTATCCCGTATTTGTAAGAAATTTATCCTCTAGTGTGGCAGCGCCCAACCTTCGGAACTCCCTGCCTATTGACATCAGGCAGTTGCCTTCTCTCTGCTCTTTTCAATGCCTGCTAAAAACACAATTCAAAGTGCTGGTGTTGACCTTTAAAGCCCTAAACGGCCTCGGCCCAGTATACCTGAAGGAGCGTCTCCACCCCCATCGTTCTGCCCGGAGGCTGAGGTCCAGCGCCGAGGGCCTTCTGGCGGTTCCCTCATTGCGAGAAGCAAAGCTACAGGGAACCAGGCAGAGGGCCTTTTCGGTAGTGGCGCCCGCCCTGTGGAATGCCCTCCCATCAGATGTCAAAACGATAAACAACTACCTGACATTCAGAAGACATCTTAAGGCAGCCCTGTTCAGGGAAGTTTTTAATGTATGATATTTTAGTGTTTTTATTATTATTATTATTATTATTATTATTATTATTATTATTATTATTGCTTACACAAGCGTTACGCAAGTTGCTCCCAGTTTCTGGGACCTTCTCCCCAGGGAGACTGGCCTGGTATCTTCATTGTACACCTTTAGGCGCCAAGAAAAGATGTTCCCCTTCAACCAGGCCATAATAGTAATAATAATAATAATAATAATAATAATAATAATAATAATAATAATAATAATTTATTATTCATACCCCTCCCATCTGGCTGGGTTTCCCCAGCTACTCTGGGCATCTCCCAAGAAAATATTAAAAACACCAAACATTAAAAACTTCCCTAAACAGAGCTGCCTTCAGATGTCTTCTAAAAGTCAGATAGCTGTTTATTTCCTTCACATCTGATGGGAGGGCATTCCGCAAGGCAGGTGCAACTGCCGATAAGGCCCTCTGCCTGGTTTTAAATATGTTGTGGAAGTGGGGGGGGAGTTACTGGGTTCTCTTTGTTCTTATTTTAGTTATGTGATTTGTGTTTTTTTAATTATAATTTTCTGTAGTGAACCGCCTTGAGATCTTTACAGGTATATGGCATTATACACATTTAATGAACAACAACAACCCAGTCAGATGGTCAGGGTATTAAAAATATATATTATTAAATAGGACACCCTTATTTTCATCGGAGAAATATTGGAGGATGTGATATCTTTGGACCGTACATAACACGGCACCAAGCGCTTTGCAAATGCTCCCTTTAGCTGGAAGAACAAACACCCACATGGCTTTTAAATCAGTGGAGAAGCTAGCGCAGAGAGAGTAAACAAATAACAGGAGACTCAGAAATGTGCAATTTCAGGCGCTGGTGAGAAGAGGGAGGGAGCTGAACTGTAAGATGCTCGTATGAGAACAAGCATTTTACAAAGAGGTCCTCTCTCAAAGAAAAATAATAATCTGTGAAATGGACAAATGGATGCAGAACGGCCATTTCCAGAGCATAAAAGGGGCCCTGGCGGATCAGGCCAAATGCCCCATTTAGCCCCAGCATCCTGTTCTCGTGTAGCCAACTCGGTGCCTCTTGGGAAAATCGCAAGCAGTAACTGATTGCAACAGCAGTTCTCCCCAACTGCGATTCCCAGCAATTGGCTTTCAAAGACATTCTGCCTATGACAGTGGAAGCAGCACGTGGCTGCTAATAATAATAATAATAATAATAATAATAATAATAATAATAATAATAATAATTTTATTTATACCCCGCCCTCCCCGGCCAGAGCCGGGCTCAGGGTGGCTAACACCAATAAAATTTCAGTAAAAACATAGTAAGAAAAAGAAAAAAACAAATTAAAATACTGGTTAAAATGCACCGACAGCCTTATCCATGAATTTCATAGAAGTGTAGAGTTGAAAGGGACCCTGAGGATCATCTAGTCCAACCCCCCCTGCAATGCAGGTATAAGCAGCTATGCCATACAGGGATCAAACCTGCAGCCTTGGCGTTATTTGTCCAATCCTCTTTTAGAGGGATAGTCACTTTAGTCTGCTGCAGCAAAAAAAAAACAAACCAAAAAAAAAACAACAACAGAAAAAATCCAACTTTGTGACACCTTAAAAGTGAACAAATTTGTATTTCTGTGCATGTATGGAAGTGTAAATGCATTAAACCAAGAGTGATTAGTTGCTTATGTGATGGCAAGAAAACCCCCAAAACCTACTGCAGATAGGGATGGCCATTGGTGTGGGTTGGAACCTGCACCTTGAATAATCCTCAAATAAAAACATATCATCAAGACCATGGGTAGGCAAACTAAGGCCCGGGGGCCAGATCCGGCCCAATCACCTTCTAAATCCGGCCCGTCGATGGTCCAGGAATCAGCGTGTTTTTATGAGTAGAATGTGTCCTTTTATTTAAAATGCATCTCTGGGTTATTTGTGGGGCATAGGAATTCGTTCATATTTCCCCCCCCCCAAAAAAAAAATAGTCCGGCCCCCCACAAGGTCTGAGGGACAGTGGACCGGCCCCCTGCTGGAAAAGTATGCTGACCCCTGATCAAGACCCTTTCCAAATGGTCATTGGAACAACATTGATTTCCCCCATTACCTGAAGTGAGGTGACTGGCTGTATTTATTCAAAAGTAGAGGCACTCTGTGCATGCTCAGATGCACACACACACACACACCAATGATGAAGCACCTTTGGTGTCAGGTTAAAATTCCAGCTCCTCTTTCTCAGCATAAGGGTTGTGAACAGAAGCAGATTTAAGGGAGCGCAACCGGTTCACTAAGGGACGTGGGTGGCACTGTGGGTAAAACCTCGGTGCCTAGGACTTGCTGATCGTAAGGTTGGTGGTTCGAATCCCCGCGGCGGGGTGAGCTCCCGTCGTTCGGTCCCAGCTCCTGCCAACCTAGCAGTTCGAAAGCACGTCAAAGTGCAAGTAGATAAATAGGGACCGCTTTATAGCGGGAAGGTAAACGGGGTTTCCGTGTGCTGCGCTGGTGCTGGCTCGCCAGATGCAGCTTCGTCACGCTGGCCACGTGACCCGGAAGTGTCTTCGGACAGCGCCGGCCCCCGGCCTCTTGAGCGAGATGAGCGCGCAACCCTAGAGTTGGTCACGACTGGCCCTGTCGGGCAGGGGTACCTTTACCTTTACCTTTAACCAGTTCACTCCCACTGAGCTGAGAGGGCGCTGCTGGGGGTGCTACAACAATGACTTAGAACGGAAGCTGAACGACAGAGGGCGGGGGGTGAATTTTGGCGTTGCGCAGGGTGCTGCTGAAATCTGAAAGCCCAAATTACTGCTTGTAAATTTGGACAGGCCAGATGATACGATTTTATGGGACAGCTGAAGTCTAATGCAGACCTTGAGTTTATTGCCCTGTTTTGGAAGCAGAGGATGACTGAACAGATTTCTCCTTAAATACAGCGTCTATGCATTATTATTATTATTATTATTATTATTATTATTAAAAAATGTGTATGCAGTTATGCCAGGATTAGCACACGAGTCGAGTTCTCAATCAAAACAATACAAAACTAAAAAAACCAGCACTGGTCCTGTTAAAGTGGGCAAGCTGCTACCAACAATACCTCATTCCTGAAAGATCTGAGATTTTCCCTGTTCTTCTTATGTCCCCATGCCCCTTGCCATCCAAACAGGAAAACTCTGGAAACACAATTCCCCACACCCACCCTGCCCAAGCTGGGCTCTGTGTACCCTTCCCCTGGCAAGGCAAAAGCACAGGATCCTAGTCCTTGGCTGATTAACTACAACTCCCAAGATGCATCACGGCAGGGCGTGCCCTTCCTCCTTGCAGCATCAGGACCAGCCGAGCATCCTCCAGAGAGAGGGATGCAGGCGCCTGGCAGGGGGAGGTGGCTCCTGGAACATCCCTGGCCAAGAGCTGCCCTGCAGCTGGGCAAGCAGACTCCTCCCATGCCTGGTAAGTCTGCAGCTGTGTTTAGCTCCTGTTTTTTTGGGGGGAGGGGGGAGGAAGAAAGATGAGATGGGGGGCAAAGGGGAGCAGGGTGGGGTGAGGTGGAGGGTGTAGAAGAATCTGTAGCAAGCTAGCCAGGCTGATGGCTGGTCTCGTCCTTTTAGAAGCAGTTTAGATGGAGGGATTTGGGTGTTTTGCAAAGTTGGGGGCTTCCCAGTAGACCTCTGGGGTGGGGTGGGGCAGACCAAAGTTTATAGGGAGAAGCTGAGGGAGGTGAGCCTCCTGCCCACACTGTGATAGGGAAGGCAAGGTGCCCAGCTTTTTACCAAGATGGTTTATTTTATCCTCTGGCTCTTCTGTTTTCAGACGGCTCGGAGTTTTGTGGCCTCTTTAAGAGCTGACGCCTTCTGTCTGCACGGTGCAGAAGAACAATCCTCTCTCCCCACGGCTGGGACCCTCTCCCCACCCACCCCCCAAAAAACTTTTCCTGGGTAATGCTTGAACTCTGGCAATTGCCAGCCTCTGTTCCGGATGAGACTGGTGCCTTCTGCCGTACCAAGCCGAGCTGCCACCATCTCCTGCTCAGGGTGGTTACCGCAGCGTCAGGTCGGTTTGCCAGCGGTTCAGTGAGAATCCTCTTGGGTTTTGGAGCTGACTCCGGACATCTTTTCCTGATCCATCTGCCAACGCTGGGCTGAGGGGAGGAGGGAGGAGGCAAGCCGCGTGGATGGCAGCGGTGGTGCCAGGCCGCCTGTCAGAGGAGCAGCGGTCGGCTGAGAATCCATCGCACGTCCGGGAACCGCTTTGTGTTTCTCATCCATCAGAAACAGCATCAACCGCTTGCTGCTGCTGTTGCGATTCTGTCTCCTCCTTGGGAGCAAACTCCTGTCCGGATAAACAACCACCCCATGGCTGCCGTGCGAGGGTCCCCTTTGGGCCATGATGATCTCTGATCTGGGAAAGATGGATCTTTTGAGGACCCCGGCTGTGGAAAAAGTCAGAAAGCCCCTTCTTTGCGTAACAATCTCTCTGCATCCAGTCCTTCATCTCCTGGTGGCCTGGAGGCCTTCTTCCAAAGGGAGAGCGCAAAGGCCTGCAGATTCAAAACTGCACAGTGCGTTTTAACCACAGTCGGGCTGAGAAAAAGGGCTAACTTTCCCCATTCGACTCCCAAGTGATGTGGGTAGATGCTGTTCACATGGGACCTGGAGGATTCACATTCTACTGGACCGATTCACGGGGAGGACGGGAGGGTTGGGTTGGTGGCTGTGTCTCCGCAACCTCTGGGCTTTTGAGGTTGGGATGATCCCTATCCTGAAGCTAAGCTCTGATGTTCCTTCTCATGGCCAGTGGCTTTCTTGGGTGGGGGGAGATCTGGAAGTTGGCATCTGCATCTCCCCGGAGGCGGCGTACAGCTAAAAGCGAAAGTGTGCCAGGGCCAAACTCTCCTCGACACCCCTCGTCTCCTGTCCTGGAATCCCTCTCCCGTCGGATGCATTTATGTGCGTGTTTGCTCAGGGCAGGGGCCCTCCACGCATGCTCAGAGGCACCCTTTCCCCGTTGAGACATCTTCTAGGGCGGTGCCCTGGTGAAGCCGTGTTGCTGCCTTGGAATTATACACCAGCATCCGCCCTCCTTTTCGTCGGTTTCTTCTCACATGTACAGAGCCCGGAGAGTCAAGTGGATTTGGGGTCAGCCAACGAGAAACTGCTTCTTGGAAAGCTGAGGGTCAGCCATAAAAAGCTTGCCTCTTTTGAAAAACAGGTCCTGTGCCTTACGCAGGAGGGTTCGAGGCCTAGCCTTTGAGGACCAGGGTCGCTTCTGTTTACGGCTGCTTCTGGGGTCCCTCCGGAAGCCGCCTTCCTTTGGGCCAGAGTCATGCCCTCCCGGAGCGATTCCAGCTACTCGCTGACAGCCCGCACCACGTCCCGCAGCTTCACGCACCTCCGCGTCCGGCGGGCCTGGCTCCAGATTATCCTCCTTCTCGGCTTCGTTCAGATGATCCTGGGCGTCCTGATCGTGACGCTGAGCCTTCTGGTAACTACCAACATGCCCTCGCAGAGCCACATCCGGAACGCGTGTCCCATCTGGGCTGGTTTTCCGGTGAGTGCATCTTGCAAAAACACAGCTGGGTGAAACCTCAGGCTTTCCCCAGATCCATTTTTGGATCCATTATTGATAGATATTGGGCTTCCCCCACCTTCCCCATCCAGCACACATTGATTTAAATGTTTCTAGCCAATTGCAGATGATGTTTTAAAAGAAGATGAAGGGGGGAAAGGCAAAAAAAGCCTGATGTTATTTACTTATTTAACAGATTTCTGGGATGCCATCCATCAGCCAACACGTCCAAGAAATATTTTTTTAAAAAATCAAACAAACTACCCACACTGAAATCAGCAGCAAAAATGAAAGCAAGTTGATAAGTAGCAATCATAATTAAAATATACAGCAGAAAATCCACTGAAAGCCCAGGGAAATCAGAAACATATAAGGTGGATCTGGAGAGACAAACAAAATAGATACCAGCTAACTGTCCCAAGGCTAAGAATTATACAGTTAGGGAGCCAGCACTAAAAAGGCCCTGTCTGATTTCACCGCCCACCTCACCTCTGGCAGAAGTGCCTGATGCAGATTGCCATTAATAGGCAATAGGTTCACAAGACAGCACTGAGAGCAAGTAGTCATTCCAGTTCATTAATTACTCATTAATTACTCAATAAAAGAGAATAAACTACTCTGCAGACACAGTGTGTGTTTCACCAGAGGGATTCCGAATTCAAACAACAACAACAACTTAATTATTTACAGACACATTTCTAAATACCGCCATATTGTAAAATATCAAGGCGATGTTGTGTAACAAGCCCTTGAACTGGAATATCCCCCCCCCCATGAATGGGAAGTCAATTGGGTGCCACAGGTAATGGTGGGGTGGACCCACAGCCAAAATACCATGTTGGACCTCTGAGGATGGCACCCAAGAGGGTCTCAAGGGAAAGAGCCAGCCTTTAAACTAGTGTGAACACCTTAAATTATGCCCAAAAAGCAACCGGCAGCCAATGCATCTGCTTTAGAACACGGTTTTATGAGTTCCGCCTGGCCTTTGGGCTGGACTCAGTCTAACCCCCATCTATCTATCTATCTATCATCTATCTATCTATCTATCTATCTATCTATCTATCATCTATCTATCTATCATCTATCTATCTATCTATCTATCTATCTATCTATCTATCTATCTATCATCTATCTATCTGTCATCTATCTATCATCTATCATCTATCTATCTATCTATCTATCTATCTATCTATCTATCTATCTATCTATCATCTATCTATCTATCTATCATCTATCATCTATCATCTATCATCTATCATCTATCATCTATCATCTATCTATCTATCTATCTATCATCTATCTATCTATCTATCTATCTATCATCTATCTATCTAATATCTATCTATCTATCTATCTATCTATCTATCTATCTATCTATCTATCTATCATCTATCTATCTAATCTATCTATCATCTATCTATCTATTTATCATCTATCTATCATCTATCTATCTATCTATCTATCTATCTATCTATCTATCTATCTATCTATCTATCTATCTAATCTATCTATCATCTATTTATTATTAGATGGAACCCCTTATATGGGATTTGTATATAATTTTTCCCTTGGCTCTTTTTGCTGGCCCATGTAGGACCAGCATGGATAGTTGGCCCCGGTAAATATTTGATGTTTTCTCCCCTTATGGCTTTGATCTATGGGCTACCACTAAAACGAGGCTGCATTTTAAGCTGTATCCTAACTTATATTTTAATCAACTGTTTGTTGTTTGTTGTTGTTGTTTTAATGTTTCTACTGTATTTATATTCAGTGTTAGCCGCCCTGAGCCCTGTCTTGGCCGGGGAGGGTGGGGTATAAATAAATATTATTATTATTATTATTATTATTATTATTATTATTATTATTATTATTATGGCAACCCCAACCAGTAATCTGGCTGCTGCCATCTTGCACCAAACTGAGTCGTCTTCTAGGGCAGCCCCACGTACAGCGCATGGCAGTCCTCTAGCACCCTATCTCGAAATATCTCTGAGAGGAGGGCCTGGAACCTCAAACGACCCAAAGATACTTGGCCCCCGCCCCCTCCTGAGCATTGTTTACACTGAGATCCAACGAAATCCTGCTCAGAATAGACCCATTGCAGAGAGTTGGCCTCAGTTAACCCTTGAGCATTAATATCAGTGGGTCTCCTCGGAGCAGGACTTAGCTTTAGGCACCAATCCTGCGTTTCCTCAGCTTGAGGGAGGCAGTTTCTGCCGGCTGTGTTTTCAATCACATCGCCTATAAAAAAAAATGTAATCATGAATAATTTAGAGCAAATGAACTCCATTATAAAATAATAATAATAAGATCCACAGCCTACTGAGAAATGCTGCGTCCCTCCTCTGCTATCAGAGGCAACTCGGCTGCCAGCAGCCATGGGAAAGAACGCTGAGCTTTGCAGCCTCTCTCTCCTGTTTAATCCGGGACAGAGATGTGCCGACTTATTCCAGGAGGTCCTTCCTAGCAACTGCTAAAAAAACCTCTGTCATTTGGTCACGCTTTCTGCAACTGTATTCCAGCTGAAACAGCTTCGAAACCGGTGCTTCTCCATTTTTTTTTTTGTTTGCAGTGCAGTTCTGCAGCTGAGCAACGTGCATGAAAATGCATGCGCTGAGGTAAAGCGTGCCTAAAAATGCGTATGCTAAAGAAAAGAGCAGGCCAAAATGCATTGCGTGTGGGGAAATGTAAATGTGAGGGGAATACGCTTTGCAAAAATGTGTATTTTAGGCAAAGCTGCAAAGAAAAGTGTGCCCATTCGGAGGTTCGCACTAAAATGCTGGCAATTTATTGTGAAGAAATGGTGGTTTTTTTAAACAAACCGTACAGTGATGTGAAAATAGGGGAGAACTGAGCTTAAGATTTGAAAATTATTATTATTATTATTTATTAAATTTGTTTGCCAACTTTTAGCCGTAGATCTCAGAGCCGTTGACAGCATAAAACTGCAATATAAAAAAAAAAAATACAATATAAAGAACAACAACAAACCAATAACGCAGCCCCTACCATATAATTAAAAGGGCATTGGATATCAGCTCAGGGCCTGGTTAAATAGGAAATCTTTCTCCTGGTGCCTAAAAGTTTATAATGAGGGTGCCAGGCGAGCCTCCCTGGGGAGGGCATTCCACAATGGGGAGCCACCACAGAAAAGGCCTGTTCTCGTGTTATCGCCATCCAGACCTCTCGTGGAGGAGGCACTCAATGAAGGGCCTCGTAAGATGATCTCAGGGTCCGGGTAGGTTCATATGGAAAGAGGTGGTGCTTGAGGTATTGCGGTCCTGAGCTGTTTAAGGCTTTATAGATAAAAAACAGCACTTTGAATTGGGCCTGGAAACTAATTGGCAGCCATTGCAGTCGGACCAGGATTGGTGTGATATGCTCACATCGCCATGCCCTGGTGAGCAACCTGTCCGCTGAATTCTGCATTAGCTGAAGTTTCCGAACCATCTTCAGAGGCAGCCCTTTGGAAAAATGAGAAAAGCTTCAATTAATGGAGCGAAAGCTTCCAGTTTGAGGAGACATGTTTCTTCTTTTAAGAACAAAATGGGCCACCCCACCCCTGGCCAAGCTCTCAGCAGCTTCCTTCTCACCTAGAGAGGACCAGCACTGGTCACTCAAAGCCACTGGTAGATCTTTGGCAATCAAGGCAACCTCTCTTCTCTGTGTGTCTTGATCTCTAGTTGGCATTCTCCGGAGTGGTTGGCATCGTCTCCTGGAGGCGCCCGTTCACCCCGGTGGTAAGTATTGACGCTTCGTTCGTGTTTGGAATGAACTAGTCTAGCGTGGTGTAGTGGTTAAGAGCGGTAGACTCGTAATCTGGTGAACCGGGTTCGCTTCCCTGCTCCTCCACATGCAGCTGCTGGGTGACCTTGGGCTAGTACACTTCTCTGAAGTCTCTCAGCCCCACTCACCTCACAGAGTGTTTGTTGTGGGGGAGGAAGAGAAAGGAGATAGTTAGGTGCTTTGAGACTCCTTAAGGGGAGTGAAAGGCAGGATATCAAGTCCAAACTCTTCTTCTTCTTCTTAACACAGTTAACTGAATTAGTTCCGAAATCTCTGGGCTGCGCCTGAAAGTCATTCCCGTAACTGCCAAGTTAAATGAACACAAAGAAAGTTCTTTTGGCGGTGGAACTTTGGAAGGTTTCTAGTTCATCTTCAAGTTCATTCTCTTCATTTGCTTTTTTTAAAAAACAAGCTTTGGACTTTTCGGGCCATTAAAGTAGATAATTGATGAGGGAAATACATGGAAAAAAACACACTCACACACCACCGTATGTTTTGATGTTTGCTTCGTCTTCTTTCAGTATACAGTGGTACCTCAGGTTATGAACTTAATTCGTTCCGGAGGTCTGTTTTGAATCCAAAACCGTTCTTAAGCTGAGGCGAGTTTTCACTAATGGAGCGACCTTCTGATCGGCAAGTCCTAGGCTCTGTGGTTTAACCCACAGCGCCACCCGCGTCTAGACATGATAGATGTGCTTAAAATGCTGCAAGTGGACAAGAGGAAAGTTTCTCTCTCTCTTTCCTGTAACGCTGGAATTTGAGGACATCGGATGAAGCCAATTGAGGGGAAGATTCGGGTGTCAGACAAAAGAGTCGTTTTTTCCACATGGCACCTACTGTCCTACTGTGGAACTCACTCCTGCAAGAATTTGTGACGGCCGCTAACCTGGATGGCCGTAAAAGAGAATTTTGTGGAGGATAAGGCTGTCAAAAGGCTACTAGCCAGGATGAAATTTGTTCTCCCTCTGCTTTGTGCTGTTGTGGAAGTCCTCTTTTCCCAGCTCTACTCTGTAGGGTCTAACCCTACTGGTAGCATCTTCCACTGCGTGGCGAGTTCCCGCCCCCCCCCCGGTGGAAATAAAGACACATGACACAAATATTTAGGTTAATGGGCAAAAAATGGCCACAACTTTATTGGTTACAGGAATGAGTGGTATTGGCTTAGGCAATGGTCTTAACCAACTATCCGGCTTCAGCCCGATTGCTTGAAGACCGGGAAGGGTTAACCACCAGTAGGGGGAGTCCTGCTGATGCACATCAACTAGGAACTCCCCTGGGGTCACCGCTCAGGGGCATGCCTTGGGCCCTCAGCTCCTTAGGCTTCGGACAGTGCCACGCCCCCCGGAATCCTTTACCGGAATACCCTTCGATATTCAGGGGAGGTGATGGCGCTTCCTCCCCCGCTTCATCTACATGACAATACCCCTACCAATGCCTAACCGCCTGTGACGATTTGCTATGAGGTAGGCGAAAAACCAAGTGGCTGGTGCCAATTTGCCAAGTGGAAAAAATTCCTACCAGGCCCCTCAACGGCGACCAACCGAGGTCCATAGCAAGGTCAAAAGGAAAACCTAAATGGTGGGAGGGTGGGAAACCGCAGCAGCTGGAGGTGGCAAAAGAGGGAGATCCCTGGCCGCGCCAGTGTGATATCGCGCCAGCCATGCCCCCCCTAGGCCAGCCGATTGGCTGGCCAGGGGATGACGCGGCCAGGGATCCCCTCAATCGCGCAGAGGCTGAGAGCCAGCCCCTGCGCACGTGGAGAGGGCGTGAAGTGCGCAAGTCCACCTCCTCTCAAGTTCGGAAGTGGTTTTGTGCACACTTAATCAGCCTGGGGTGGAAGGAAATCTGCCATCTGAAGATATTCCTCACTGTGACCGTGTTGGGATGGGCCGTAGCTCAGAGGGCACAGTACCTGCTTTGCATGCAGAAGGTCCCGGGTTCAGTCCTCAGCATCTCCAGGTAGGGCTGGGAGGGAGAGAGACCCCTGCCTGGAACCCTGGAGAGCTTCTTCCAACCTGTGTGGACTACAACCTGTGCAGCCTAGGACCCACGTACCTACGGGACCGCCTCTCCTGGTATGCCCCGTGGAGGACCTTACGGTCCACAAATAACAACACTCTGGAGGTCCCGAGCCTCAAGGAGGTTAGATTGGTTTCAACTAGGGCCAGGGCACTGGCCCCGACATGGTGGAACGCTCTGTCACAAGAGACTAGGGCCCTGCGGGACTTGACATCTTTCCGCAGGGCCTGCAAGACAGAGCTGTTCCACCTGGCCTTTGGTTTGGACTCAGTCTGACCCTTATGTTTCCCTCCCCTTATGGTCTTGATTTATCAGCTACTTTAAAATGAAGCTGCATTTTAAATTGCATTTTAACCTGTATTTTAAATTGGTTTTTTTCCCCTTTTCCTTCGCCCCCCTCTCTTTCCCCCCTATTATGTTTTTACTGTGATTTTATTGGTGTTAGCCGCCCTGAGCCCGGCTCTGGCTGGGGAGGGCGGGGTATAAATATTATTATCATTATTATTATTATTATTATTATTATTATTATTATTATTATTACTGAGCTAGATGGGACAGCGTTCTGGCTCTGTGCAACGCACCTTCTTCCTCTGTTTGCTGTGTGTGTGTGTCTCTTCCCCCCTCATCTTCCTTAGGGATTTAACGGTCTTCTTTCTCCCCGCCACCCCCAGATTACCTTCTTCACGCTCCTCTCAGTCCTCGGAGTCATGCTTACCTTGGCTGGCTCCATCCTCTCCTGCCAAAATGCCCAGCAGCAGGTGAAGTCCCTGGAGGCTTGCGAGCCGGTAAGACAACGGGACCGTTATGCGGTCTGGAAGGAGCAGGGGATACGGAGCCTGGACTTCCAGGTGGGGTTTGACGTAGAGCAGAGCTAATACGTTACGTTCTTCCTCCAGCGCAGCCTTCCACAACCGAGTGCTCTCCAGGCATCGCCAAGCTCCCAGCAGCCCCCTGGCAGCTGGCACGGCTAATGCTGAGGGATGATGGGAGTTGTAGTTCAGCCGTGTTCTTGGACTCCCACTCCCATCAGCCTTGGTCAGCCTGGCCAGTGTATGATGGGGGTTGCAGTTCAACAATGTTATTGGGTTTCCAGCTCCCATCAGCCTCAGCTAACACAGCCAATGGTTACGGATGATGGGAGTTGTAGTTCAGCTGTGTTCTTGGACTCCCGCTCCCATCAGCCTCGGCCAGCCTGGCCAATGGTCATGGATGATGGGGTTGCAGTTCACCAATGTTATTGGGTTTCTAGCTCCCGTCAGCCTCAGCTAACACAGCCAATGGTTATGGACGATGGGAGTTGTAGTTCAACGACGGTCTTGGATGATGGGAGTTGTAGTTCAACAATGTTATTGGGTTTCCAGCTCCCGTCAGCCTCAGCTAACACAGCCAATGGTTATGGACGATGGGAGTTGTAGTTCAACGACAGTCTTGGATGATGGGAGTTGCAGTTCAACAATGTTATTGGGTTTCCAGCTCCCGTCAGCCTCAGCTAACACAGCCAATGGTTACGGATGATGGGAGTTGTAGTTCAGCAATGTTCTTGGGCTCCAGTTCTCATCATTCTCAAGCGGCGTGGCCAGTGATCAGGGAGAATGACTCCAGCGACATCTGGAGGGCACCTGGTTGGGGAAGGTGGCTTCAAAGGGGGAAAAGCAGCTTTCGAAGGGGGCGCTTTGGAGCAGAGGATTGGGGAGGAGGGCCCACTTAACTCTTTATCTGCCAGCTGCCCCCCCAAACACCCAACTGCATCCCTCTTCCCTCCTCTCAAAGCATGCATGTACCATTTTATATTAGAGTATTTCTTTGCGTATTTATAGCAATGGGAATATGAATTGTTTTAGTTACCGCGTAGTTCGGTTTAGTCGCGACAGGGCTGTGGGGACTTGCATGGTTGTGCGCCAAACGCTTTGTGGAAAAGGTGGGTGTCGAAAGAAGAGGGGAGGCTTCAAAAGTTGTTTTGGGGTGGGGGCAAGTCCAAGGATAAAGGGGGCAACAGGGGAGGAAGGGAGGAGACTACGAGGCCCATGGTGCTGTGCAACTGCGGGCAGGCCCAGGAACCTTGCCTTGGGTTAAAGTAGAACATTCGCCAGCAGCACACTTACGAACCTTTTCTTGCCTTCCCAGCAGGGCACCTCCCCATCTCAGCTGTGCCCTTGCTGCCAACTTGGAAGCTGCGGAAGTAACGCAGAACTGGATCCAAATTGCTCCAAGGTCCGCCTGGTCCTCAAGGTGAGTACACAAGGACGCTCCTGATCGCAGACGGATCTATTGGCGGTTTTTGATGAAGGTTACATTCTGCATCCGGCGTTTTATGGGAGGTTGTGCATGTGTATGTGTGTGTGTGTGTGTGTGTGTGTGTGAATGAGAGTGTAATAAACAAAAATATGCCCTTATTCCCTTATGGGGGACACAAGAGCCCTTATAGAGTCCTTTGTAGGTTCTCCATTGTAGGAGAAAATAACAGAGGCCAACCAGAGAATATTGAGAAGCAAAGCAGCCAGTAAGCCTGATCTTTATTGACTGTTGCAACAGGGTGCTCCCCTCACATGCAGGAAAGGAGGAGGACCCAGAACAAAGGTGTGCCTGCCCTTATATAGACATTTTAAATTGCCCTCCCTGGAGTCCAAGACCACCTCCAGAAACTTCATACCTACATCACAGAAAGGGCAGTCTACAACAGAAATCTGAGTGCGTTGTTTATCTCCTGTCTGGCAGGTTACCTGTTAATGGTCACTTGATTGGATTACCTGGGGAGCCTGGCCAGTCTTTTGTAATGATAAATACTTAGTTTCCTGAGCCAGGTCACAGGCTCACCCTATTCATACACAGACATACCCTTAAGACAGGATTTGTGAACAAAAAGACAATGGGGAGGCTTTTCCATTTTCCTTCAACCTTGCAGAGAAATATCTGAGGTCAATTTGGGAGGGACAAAATGGTTTCAGGAATTTTTCTGTGGGGTTTCAGACGTGGTTTATATATGCAGTTATGAACATTTATTTTATATATATATATATATATATATATATATATATATATATATATATATATATATATTAGGTCATATATATGACCTTATTTTTCATATATATATGACCTTATTTTTTATATTTCAAGAGAAAGGAGATTAGGCTTCTGAGATTTAAGTGGGTCTTTCCTCCGTGACATTGTGTTCTAGAATAAATGGAGCCCGAGGCCAGCGGCTTTCAAATTTCAGCCGTGCCCTGTTGGACGCCAAAATTCGGCACCCCTCTGCCTCTCACCACATTACATCATTGTGGTGGCGCCCTCTGGGCTCGGCACTCAGTGTGGGCGAACCAGCCACACTCCCCGAAATCTGACTCTGCTGAGGCCGCTTTTACACCATGCATTTAAAGTACCACAACACCACTCTAAACAGAATCCAGGGACCTGTAGTTTGTTTAGGGTGTCAAGAGTTGTTGATGTTTTATTGCGTTTTTAATATTCTGTTGGGAGCCGCCCAGGATGAAAAGCAGTGTGTTTAGTGTTAAGTTGTGGGTGAACATATCAGACGACACAGCGATTCTTCAAACAGCTCTTGTTTATTCAGAGGCCAGGACAGAACTGAGCTGAAGGGCTCAGTCAGCCTGCTTATATAGAGCTCCAGTACCACGTTACTGTAACAACTTTCTAAAACTATCCAATCACTGAACGTCACTTTCGATCCTTCATTTGCATGACTATCTACAGTATCCCCCTGCTGGCCCAGGGTGAGAACTTCAGTACATAACATTTAGCGTCTGCAACAAGCTCTTCCGGGTCAAGGAAAGCTACCTTTGTGTGCCGCAAACGGGTTAGCGTCTAGGCAGCCAGACTTATCAAACGTTTCTTTGCAACCGCAGTGACAATGATCTGTTTTGACACCCCCCACCTCCCCACTTCCCTGCCCCTTCAGGACCTCCTCTTCAGTGTGTGTGGCCTGACTGTTTTCGCCATCGTGGTGTGCACCCTCTCTGCCATTATGTGTTGCATCCAAATCTTCTCTTTCGACATCCTCTATGCGGTGAGTTCCAGAGACGTGCGGCCTGCTCCCAGCTTGCCTCAGATTCACTTGGGAACAATCTGAGTGCTTTCAAAACCTCTCCTTGTCCTCTCAAAATCTTCTCGGGGCCGCCTTTCACACTCCCATTTATTGCATACTCACTGCCAGTTTAAAAACAATAATTTAAATTTATTTTTTAAAACAAAAAATTAAATTAACATTAAAAAAATTTAAGTTAAAATGGTAAAGAATTTAAATTTAAAAATTTCAAAAAATTAAAATTATCAATTTACCCCACCTTTTTGCCTGACAGCTTACAGGTAAAATCTTCATGCAAACTGCACACGCATCCTGAATTTTGTTATGAAATACTACTCTAATAACTTTTCTCAAACCAGCTCCCCGCAAATTAGGAGTATTTAAGCTTCTCCTAAATCGTCTCTAGCTGAGGTGTGAATGCCTTTACGTAGGGTAATGATGCCCCGGTTCTGCTGTGTAGCCAAACAGAAACAAATCTGACACTAATGAAGTTGTGCTGATGTGAACAGCTGGAATGGGGGGGAGGTGGGCCTGTGAAAAGCACCAGATGTGTGTGGGGGGGACAACTTCACAGCTGATAGCGGATCAGAACGTTTGCTATCCCTGCCATTCTTGTATGCTAAGACAGAGCCCTCCCGGCCAATCTTTAAACCCCCACCCTCCTAAAAAAAAACCCCACCCCTCACTCACCACTTCCCTTTCGAGCAGTGGGGTTGCAAGGAGAGTGTTGAAGTTTCGCCCTCCCCTTCGATCTCCTCCTTCAGTGGTAGCATCTACGTTATACATTTCTTTCTTTTCTTTCTTTTTAAAAAGTTCATATCCTGCTTTTTACCATCTAGGTCTCAAAGCTTCTTATCAGAATAGAAATTGAAGCATACCGTGTTTTTCACTCCATATGACGCACTTTTTCCCTCCTAAAAAGTAAGGGGAAATACAGTGGTACCTCGCAAGACGAATGCCTCGCAAGACAAAAAACTCGCAAGACGAAAGGGTTTTTCGTTTTTTGAGCTGCTTCGCAAGACGATTTTCCCTATGGGCTTGCAAGTTTGTTTCCTTTTTCTTAACACCGTTAATACAGTTGCGACTTGACTTCGAGGAGCAACTCATAGAACGCGGTGTGGTAGCCTTTTTTGAGGTTTTTAAAGACTTTGGTGATTTTTGAAGCTTTTCCAAAACTTTCCCGACACCGTGCTTCGCAAGACGAAAAAAATCGCAAGACGGCAAAACTCGCGGAACGAATTAATTTCGTCTTGCGAGGCACCACTGTATGTGTGCGTCTTATGGATGCAGGCGGGAGGCTCTGCTCAGCGCTCCCTTTAAAGAGCTGCACGGAGCGTGTGTGCAGCTTTTGGGGGCTTTTCCCCGAGGAGGGAGAAGGGACTGACGGGCTGCCCTCTGTCTCTTCCAACCCCTCCCGGAAAAGCCAGCAAGAGCCGCTACCAGGCTCTGCTCAATGCTCCCTTGTAAGGGCTCCCTTTCGTCCCTCATCCCGTTTTGCTGGGAAGCCAGCAGTACAAGAGGTGCTGCGCAGCTATTGCTCTTCCTCTGCTGGCTTCAGCGAGAGCTGCGCAGCTTGCTCTGCTGGCTTCTCAGCGAAGCGGGAGGAGGGACAGAAGGGTTTAAAGCAAAAAAAGCGAGAGCCGCTTACATGCTCTGCGCAGAATATTTTTTTTTCTTGCTTTCCCCCTCTAAAAACTAGGTGTGTCTTATGGTCAGGTGCATCTTATGGAGCGAATAATATGGTAATTTAAACCTCAGAAAAGCAATTTCAACAAACAGCACCAGAAAATGTAAAGCCTCAGAGAAGCATTCGTGGTGCAAAGGTTCTCCTGAAATAAAATGGTTTTAATTAGGTGTCTGAAACTCACCAGGGACGGCAGCGCCTGTCTGACTTCTTGTGGGAGGGAGTTCCACAGAGATGCACCCGCAACACTGGAGGCACAATTCCTTGTCGATGTGCCGTGATTCTGGTCACATGGAAAGCCCATGGCGTCTTCCAAAGTATCCTGGGAACTGTAGTTGACCCCTTAAGAAGCAACAATTCCCAGCACCCTCAACAAACTACGGTTCTTAGGATTCTTCATTTGTATGTGACTCTTAGAGGCCGTAAAGTTTCCCAGGTTCTGATAAATCCAATTTCTGGGCTTCTTTTGAACTGATGGGTTGCAAATTATGCCCAGGAAACTGACTTAACCCCAGGGCTGCAAACACACCATACATTAAAGCACACACCCGCTTAAAGAAACCTGGGAACTGTAGTTTGTTAAGTGTGGTGGGAACCGTAGTGTGGCGAGGGATAGACTAAAAGTTTCCAGGATCCTTTGAGGGATGTTGTGTGCTTTAGACACACGGTGTGTATCCAGCCTATGTCAACAAGAGAAAGGGCTCCTCAGAACATCAGGCGCCTTGCAGATCTTGCCCAGCCCCTTCACCTACCCTGTTTTCTGTCTCCTTCCACAGCTGTCCCCTCCACGTTCCAGCTCCGTGACGCTGGATTGCACATCACCCCCGGACACGTTCTTGCAGCATATGTTGGACCTGGAAGAGTTTGTTCCCCCAGTGCCACCTCCGCCCTATTACCCTCCAGAGTACACCTGCAGTTCAGAGACGGATGCCCAAAGGTGGGGGGGGGGTTGGAGAGGTGGGGGAGATAAGAGGGGGAGCCTGGGGGTGGTTTGGGGGACAAAGAGGCTGAGGATGGAAAGAAGTCTTCCTTGATTTTAAATACAGCGGTACCTTGGTTCTTGAACAGCTTACCGTATTTTCCGCTCTATAAGACGCACTTTTCCGCTCCTAAAAAGTAAGGGGAAATGTGTGTGTGTCTTATGGAGCGAATGCAGGCTGCGCAGCTATCCCAGAAGCCAGGAGAGCAAGCGGGATCGATCCCTCTTGCTCTCCTGGCTCTGCTTTGCTGAAGAGCCGCTGCGCAGCTTTCCCTCTCTGCGCAGCACCCCTTCAGCGAAGCGGGAGGAGAAACGGAGCCCCTTCCGTTTCTCCTCCCGCTTTGCTGGAGAGGCACCTCGCAGAGAGGGAGAGAACATTTTTTTCATTGTTCTCCTCCTCTAAAACTAGGTGCGTCTTATAGAGCGAAAAATACAGTAGTTGTCGAACAAATCGGCTCCAAAACGCCACAAACCCGGAAGTAAGAGTTCCGGTCTGTGAATGTTTTTCGGAACCCAAACATTCGACGCTGCTTCCGCGCCAATCAGAAGCCGCACCTTGGTTTTCGAATGGTTTCGGGAGTCAAATGGACACCCGGAATGGATTAAGTTCGAGAACCAAGGTACCACTCTATGCAGGTTCCTAGTCCTTATTGATGCAAAATGCAGGCTTGAAACTATACGGATTGTGTGTCTCTCACAGGTGGGGATGGGCTTCAGAGCATCTCGTCTCTTACTTTTTAAAAACGAATGCTTCCCCCCCACCCCACTGTTTTCATTGCATGCCATTCTGACCTCCTTAAGGGAAAGAGTGAGATATAAATGCCTAACCAAGAAGGAAAGTGTGTCATGGACAATGAGGTTATTATTTCTCCTCCTGACAGCATAACCTACAATGGCTCAATGGACAGCCCGGTTCCTCTCTACCCCACTGACTTCCCTCCCAGTTACGAGGCCGTCATGGGACTCCATGGAGACAGCCAGGTATTACATTGGTACAATTCAAGGCAGGAAGGTCTTCCTTTGGGTAGTGGTGGACTTACGTGTCTGGAGCCCTGAAGCTTGAAGTGTCATGGGGACCCCTTTGCAACCAGTAACGAGGTCTGGGTAGCCCCTGCTACCTGGTTACAAGGGGGTTGTTCCATGACAGATCACCACACCTTTACAATATCTGGGCTATATATATCAATATATTCCAGGTTCTTTCCCTGGAGGGAAACCAATGTCTTCCTAGAGGAAGTGAAGGAGACGAGAAAATAAATAATAATAATAATAATAATAATAATAATAATAATAATAATATGTCGCCCATCTGACTGGCTTGCTCCAAACACTCTAGGCAGCTCCCAACAGAAAATAGTAAAAGCACAACACAACATCATTAAAAACTTCCTGATACAGGGCTACCTTCAGTTGTCTTCTAAAAGTCAGAGACAGTTTTACCTCGGTTTTCAAACTCGAACACCGTAAACCCGGAAGTAAATGCTTCAGTTTTCGAATGCGCCTCAGAAGTTGAACTGTAAACGCAGCTTCCATATTGAGTTTTTCATATTGAGATTTCCGTTTTTAGGCTTCTGTTTTGAGTTTTCAGTTTTCAAACGTTTCGGAACTCGAACGGTCTTCCAGAAGGGATTACGTTCGAAAACTGAGGTACCACTGTAGTTGTTTATTTCCTTGACATCTGATGGGCAGGTGCCACTACTGAGAAGTCCCTCTGCCTGGTTCCCTGTAACTTTGCTTCTCGCAGTGAGGGAACCGCCAGAAGGCCCTCAGAGCTTGACCTCAGTGTTCAGGCTGGACGATAGGGGTGGAGACGCTCCTTCAGGTATACTGGACCGAGGCCTTTTAGGGCTTTAAACATTTTCTGCCTTTGCTCTGCAGGTGACTCTGTTTGACTCGCAGTTTACAGATACCTCACATGGTCCTTGTTCCTGCAACCGGGTCCCATCTGTTGTCCTCAGTGGCGAAGGTAAGGACCTTTGTAGGCATGCATCCCTAACGATAGCACTAGGTCTGGGTGGACCGGATCTCTGACAGGTACAGTGAGGGGGGAAAGCATTTGATCCCCTGCTAAATTTGCCTGTTTGCCCTCTGACGAAGAAATGACCAGTCCATAATTTTAATGGTAGGTTTATTGTAGCTGTGAGAGACAGAATAACAACAGGAAAACCCCCAGAAACCCAGAAGACAAAAGTCAGAAATTGATGTGCATTATAATGTGTGAAATAAGTATTTGATCCACTATCAACCAGGCTACCTGGTATCTTCACTGTATGTAACGAGCTGAGATTAGAAGCACCTGCTGTAAGGGAGAGGCCTTACCTGTAATCGCAGCTCGTTACAGTACCTGTACAAAAGACACCTGTTGACAGAAGCAATCAATCCAGCAGATTCCAAAGTAGCCACCAGGACCAAGACCAAAGAGCTGTCCAAGGATGTCAGGGACAAGATTGTAGTATGTATTTTGATGAAGTGATCTGGAATATTTACTTTGCTTAAAAGGTAAAGGTAAAGGTACCCCTGCCCGTTCGGGCCAGTCTTGCCAGACTCTAGGGTTGTGCGCTCATCTCACTCTATAGGCCGGGAGCCAGTGCTGTCCGCAGACACTTCCGGGTCACGTGGCCAGCGTGACAAGCTGCATCTGGCGAGCCAGCGCAGCACACACAGAACGCCGTTTACCTTCCCGCTATAAAGCAGTCCCTATTTATCTACTTGCACCCGGAGGTGCTTTCGAACTGCTAGGTTGGCAGGCGCTGGGACCGAACAACGGGAGCGCACCCCGCCGCGGGGATTCAAACCGCCGACCATGCGATCGGCAAGCCCTAGGCGCTGACGTTTTACCCACAGCGCCACCCACGTCCCGCATCTTCCCGCTGGAGCGGTACCTATTTATCTACTTGCACTTTGTGTTTTTGAACTGCTAGGTTGGCAGGCGCTGGGACCGAACGACGGGAGCGCACCCCGCTGCGGGGATTCGAACCACCGAGCATGCGATCGGGAAGTCCTAGGTTTTACCTAGGTTTTACCCACAGCGCCACCCACGGCCCATTTACTTTGCTTACCCCCACCCAAAAAATTCCTGTGGACACCTGTACTTGGTTGCCCTACTCTAGGTGGGGGAGAAATTTGATTTCACTCTTTGAATGCAAAGACCTAATTGGTACTTTGCGGAACTATACATGAATCCACACTTTAGAATCCACACTTTTCCGGGTTTTGCAGTTCATTTCTCCAGTGAAGTAATGTGTGGAAGAATATGAGCACTAGATGACTGTTTTGATAGTAGATTCATATTTCTATCTCCAGCCCATCAAAATGTGATTCAACCTATTGCGTTTGGGTTTTTTTTTTTTTTTTTTTTGCTTTCTAAACTATGTGCAAAATGAGAAAAGAGTATTTTAAACAAAATAAAACACCCATGCACTACGGCAAAATGTCCATAAAAGGCATACACTCGTGAAAAGAACACACCCAAAAATGCATTATATATGGGGAAATTGCTTTCCCAAAATGCACATGATAGGGGGAATTGCATATAAAAATGTGCACACAGGGATAAATTTGTGCTAGAATGCGGATGAGTTTTAACGAGGACTTCACTTTCTTTTTCTTTTTGGTAATAATTTTTATTTGGTTTTGCATATTTTTATACCACCACACGTCCGAAGTTACAAGATTCTCCCAAATCTCTGAACCTCCCACCTTCCCCTTGATGGGTTCTGTTATTAAACCTTTCCTACTGCATCTTTTTAAAACAAACCAAGTTGTGTGTGTTTTTTAAATAACTCCATTGTATCCATAGTTCTTGTTACAAGTGTTATTGCAATCCTGCTAAAGTTTTCAGCTGCTTACAGTGGCCTTTAAGGTAAATTGTAAATTTCCCCCACTCCTTATTAAAGTTTTGGTCTTCCTGGTTCCGGAGGTTTCCAGTCAGTTTTGCCATTCCGGCATAGTCCAACAGCTTCATTTGTCATTCTTCTCTGGAAGGGACTTAATCTTCCTCCACGAGGACTTCAGAGACGGCAATGATAAAAATCCCAAACTGGCGTGGAAGAACGGGACCTGAGATGGGGAAAATGCAAAACGGAGGGGGCTGCAAATGGACAGAATAATAATAATAATAATAATAATAATAATAATAATAATAATAATAATAATAATAATTTATTTATACCCCGCTGTGGAGATCACACAGGGCCCCCGGACGTTTCATGGTCTATTGACCCTGTGCCACCACTGCGGTTCCTTTCTTTGCTGCCACCACCCCGCTTCTCACGGGGACACACGGAGTCCAGTCAGTTGTTAGCATAAAAAAATAATCAAGTTTATTTTTGCATGCAGGAACAAGCGTATGGTTTCGGTTTATTTTTCTCTTGTCAGTTTCTTAAATCTTAGTTCCTAACAACTTCAAACTGATTATTCCAACTAACTATCTGACTCAACCTAACAATTTCTCTCACTCTCTCACCACACAACTCGACCAACCCACCCTCTTCCTTCTCCAACACCCAACCCTCAACTCCCAACTGACAAACCTCAACTCTCAACTCCCAAACCTCAACTGACTTTCAAAACCTCCCCCCTTGCATTCTCACTGGCCAATCACATCACACCCATTTTAACCCTTTCCTTGACCCATCCTAGGAGGTAAATGCCACACCTGCCCATCTGGCTGGGTCCCCCCAGCCACTCTGGGCAGCTTCCAACAAAACATTAAAATACAATAACCTATTAAACATTAAAAGCTTCCCTAAACAGGGCTGCCTTTAGATGTCTTCTAAAAGTTTGGTAGTTATTTTTCTCTTTGACATCTGGTGGGAGGGCGTTCCACAGGGCGGGTGCCACTACCGAGAAGGCCCTCTGCCTGGTTCCCTGTAACTTGGCTTCTCGCAGTGAGGGAACCGCCAGAAGGCTCTCGGTGCTGGACCTCAGTGTGATGGAGGTGGAGACGCTCCTTCAGGTATACTGGACCGAGGCCATTTAGGACTTTAAAGGTCAGCACCAACACTCTGAATTGTGCTCGGAAACGTACTGGGAGCCAGTGTAGGTCTTTCAAGACTGGAGCTGTGTTATGGAGCTGATAAACAGCTGCCCCGGACACAGAATTGACCTGTGCCTCCAAGGACAGCTGTGAGTCCAAAATGACACCCAGGCTGCGCACCTGGTCCTTCAGAGGCACAGTTACCCCATTCAGGACCAGGGAGTCCCACACACCTGCCCGCCTCCTGTCCCCCCAAAACAGTACTTCTGTCTTGAGGATTCAGCCTCAATCTGTTAGCCGCCATCCATCCTCCAACCGTTTCCTTTGACGCTGGAAGCATGCCATTTTTACTAAAATGGCGCTCTCTCGCTCTCTCCCCTGCAGCGGTTTCCATGGACAGCGGCTCCCTGATTATGTCGGAGATTGTGGACATTCCTGGCGACAGCAGCCCATCCGAGGACTCCTGCCTGCTGGACGCCAGTGGTTCGGTCTGCTCGGTGGATTACGTCTTGTTCCGCTCCATCCAGCGCAGCCGGGCTGACTACTGCTTGAGTGTGGACTGCGGGCAGTGCGGCCTCCACCCTCAAAGCCCCACCCTGCAGGGCCCTTTTGAGGAGACGCCCCAGGCGCGCCTGCGCGGGGAGCGCTCATACTCCTGCTCCACGCCCGGCTCCACGGGCTACGAGGGCTTGCGGGAGGCGGGCAGTGCCCATACGCACAGCTGCCAGCGCCTGGAGAGCTTAGGCCAAAGCGCCGGGCCTTGCTTCCCCGAGGTGCGGGTCAAGCCCAAGGCCTCGCTGCCAGGACGCAAAGGCGCCGGGCGGCAGCGACGGAGCAGCGAGGCCTCGTACCGCCTGCCTTCTGTCCGGGGTCCTCTGCTGAGGTCTCACAGCGATCCGGGGATTGTCACGGCCTGCGAGAATGGTGAGTAGACCGAGCTGAAGGAAGCTGGATGGCGGAGAACGTGGCGTGGGTGTGTTTTGTTGCGATGTGGACAGATGCTAGGAAAGGATATACAATGGTACAGACGCTTCAGGTTACATACGCTTCAGGTTACAGACTCCGCTAACCCAGAAATAGTACCTCGGGTTAGGAACTTTGCTTCAGGATGAGAACAGAAATTGGGCGGTGGCGGAGCAGTAGGAGGCCCCATTTGCTAAAGTGGTGCTTCAGGTTAAGAACAGTTTCAGCTTAAGAACGGACCTCCGGAACGAATTAAGTACTTAACCCGAGGTCCCACTGTATTTATTAGATATTATCAGTGCTGTTTTTTCTAGAAAAAGATGTCCATTAAACTTTAATTAGTTTAATGTTTCTGTGAAGCTGCTGCTGCTGCTTTGTCTCCTGCAGACGCGTCTGCAGCTGCCTGTAAAGGCGGTGCTTCAGTACAACTCCACAACTCTTTTGCTTGCAACCAAACCCTTACTCTAGCCTTCCAATCTTGCCAATTTTTCCCATTGAGTCGCGTAAATGGGACAGCAAAACTTTCCTGGGACTCTGCCATCCTCCCTGGGGCTTAGGAACGATACTCACACACCTGTAGACCGTCTCCCAGCTGCTGAGGTGGCTCCTTGAGGAATAAGACGTCTTCCAGAGAGTACAAACTGTGCAGTGCCTGTTTAAAACCTTTTCTAGGCACGTTGCAGGACTCAAGCTGCTTTGAAGGCTTTTGTTGTCGGCAACCGCTCTGTCTTCACTCCAATCCTTTCATAAATCACTCTGAACTGCACTCCTTATCTCCTTCTTGACGTACAAACAGCCATAACCTGTCCATTAAACTTTAATTAGTTTAATGTTAAGTAGACGTCCAGTGCGCTTCCAACGCCATAAATCTTATCTCAGCAGAGAATTTCGTGCAGCGGTTGAAGAAGGCAGGAGAGTCAGTACCTTTCAATGAAGAATCCTGGAGCAAGCACTTTGGAACTCAGGAAAAACTTTATTTACAAAAAAAACCCTGGCGATAAAGCACACATGCTTTTATCTCCGGCATAAAGAAAACTTTACTCTAAACTTAACTCATATCAGCAAACACGCCCATGGCCACAAACTGAGTCTGCGAGTCAGGTCAAAGGGGGGAAGGGGAGGACACACGGGTGAACTGACTATTTATACAAACTAACTCACATTCCTGGATGCTTAATGACTTCCAGCTGCTCAGTGATTAGAGCGACTTGTTACCTCTTAACCCTTTAGTACCAACAAAAGAGGTACTGGAACGCACCATGAGCGCCTCCCTCGTTCTCTTATCATGGCAATGGTGCCAGTGGCGGAGGAAGGGGGTGCGGGCCGCCCTGGGTGTCATCACTGATGGGGGGTGTGACGAAATGACAAAAATATGAGTTAAAAAAAATTGGGCTCATGAAACTTTTTAGTTCAGTCAACAAACGTAATGAAACGCAGCTGGCACTTGCAGACTGGCATGTTCCCTCCCTCCTGGTCGATCGTTTGGGAGCTTCAAAAGCTTTCTTCAGCCCGAACACCACAGCGACCGATGCCAACAGACATCCGCACACTTCGGGATCTGCAGAGTCTGCGCAGTTTGTGTGACAGACCTCAGCATTTTGGCTAATCTACTTTATTTACTACATATAAACACACACGGAGCACTGCAACATGGCTCCCTCTCTCTCTAGCATCAGACAGCAAAGAGAAAGAACAAAGGACAATAGTCCCATTTCACGGAACACAGTAACACAAACATCCTGTCTCCGTCACTTCCCACTCTGTGGAGTCAAAACATACACCGTCATGTGAAGGACAACAGTCCGATGACTGCAATCACGGAGCAGGAATTCTAACACCGCAGGGCCTGCAGTGTGCCCGAGCCACGTGTCTCTCCTGGGAGTGACGTGTGGTGGCTTGGGCACCTGCAAGTTCTGAAACGGCAGCATGGGGCTTGCGCCTGCCTACTGCCTCTCCCTCAGCCGCCCTACAGCTGAGGGGGAGGCGGCCGAGAGGCTCCACGCAGCACCCCCGCCCCCATGGGTGGCTCACCCATGCAGCACGAGCGTGCCGCAATGGGCACCCCAGCAGCTAGCTATGCCGCTGAATGGCGGCCACCTGGAAAAAAACCCCAACCCCTGGATATTATCCTTCCTTCCTCAAGTTTGAGTTCAGCAGAATTCCATCCTTTTGCAGCTTCAAAGGAAACTTGGCCTAGTTTTAGCCTTTGGGTTTGAGTAATCCAGGATGCTTTAAGGCAGACTGGATATTCCTGGCATTTCTCACCTTAAAATGACAAGCACACAGTCTCGTAAAAGGTAAAATTAACATTCACTTTCTCGGAATACTTGTTGAAGAGTAACTGGTACAGCAGCTTTACTCAGGCAGGCGTCAATTGGTAATTCAGCTACAAAGGCATACTTAAATGGTAAAGGGACCCCTGACCATTAGGTCCAGTCGTGGCCGACTCTGGGGTTGCGGCGCTCATCTCGCTTTATTGGCCGAGGGAGCCGGCGTACAGCTTCCAGGTCATGTGGCCAGCAGGACTAAGCCACTTCTGGTGAACCAGAGCAGCGCATGGAAACACCGTTTACCTTCCCGCCGGAGCGGTACCTATTTATCTACTTGCACTTTGACGTGCTTTTGAACTGCTAGGTTGGCAGAAGCAGGGACCGAGCAACGGGAGCTCACCCCGTCTTGGGGATTCGAACCGCCGACCTTCCGATCGGCAAGTCCTAGGCTCTGTGGTTTAACCCACAGCGCCACTCACGTCCCCAAGGCATCCTTAAGTCTGTCTTAAAATGTAGTCTGAGCTTGGAGCTCAAATATGGCAGATGTCGTCACGTTGCTGGCACAGCGGAAAGAGATGGAAAGAGGGAGAGGACGTGCCCAGGCAGGTAGGAGAATATATAGTTATGCCCACCCCCAGTGTCAGGGCACAGTAGGCTTGTCTCTCACCAAATTCTCTCTAGCAGGTTTACAGGAAAACTCTGTGAGCTTCAGCTCCTTTTATGTACCTATCTAGCAAAACACAAATTGTTGGTTTGTCTGCATCTTAAATATCCCATATGTGCTGTTTTCAAGACCGTGCTTTCTCACAAGAGCATGTGCTACGTATTATTGCGCCCTCCCCAGCATTTTTTTGGGTGAGATCTCAGTGCGAAATCACACAAGATCACAGCACTCAAAGTGGCCAGCATGTTCGCACACAGAAAAATGGGATTTCCCGGTTTTTTTCCCCACGGGACACTTGCACGTTATGTACCACAAGATGCTGGGGATTGAATCTGGGATCTGAATGCAAAAGGTGTTCTCTGCTTCTGAGCTACCAAAACGCCCCCATTTAAAACCATTTCTTTCCCGCCTTTCATTTCCTCACTCCCCACCAGAAGCGGACTTCCAGGAGGTATTCTGCGCCAAGGCGTCGGAGGAGGATGGGCCCAACTCCTCAGCAGATACAGGTGAGGGAAGTGGCTTGCTTTGGTAGCCATCTTTGGACCTGGCTGTTTGTGATCAGGCAGATCCAGCCAAAGGTGATGGCTGCTGAAGCTGAGTGAGGTTGCCATCTTTGAACCTGGCAAATAATGAGCCAGCGGATACAGGTTGAGGTCAGCGACTGCTTGAATCATGAGGACTGCCACCTTGGAATCCAGACAGTTCCCACCCACCTGTTCCTCCGTGCAGATAAAACATGTCAGGAGTTCAAGGAGCTAATTGCCCTCACAGGATGTCTTGTCCCTAGTTACATCGTTTTACTTTTAAGACACAAAGCAGATGATTAATGACAAATTGCCTTGAGTATTATTACTAACAGTTTTTGGCATCATTGTTCTTATGAAAGTGTAATACGCTGTACTCATTCTTACTACAGTGCAGCCTAAAACATTGTGAACATGCTCAAAGACCTCTCCTCCTTGCATGGCAACTGTGATCCTCAAAATGGCCACCGCTGAGAGTAACCACCTGCCCCAGCGGTGTCTTTAGCCTGCACTAGAAACTGGACTTTTAGTGTTGCAGCTTCAGCCCTCTGTAATCAATTAACAGTTGAAATGAGACAGGTGTCTAGCCATAGCTGTCAACCGTCCCTTATTTGGCGGGAAAGTCCTTTATCCCAGCGCTGTGTCCCACTGCTGTCCCTTATTGATGATGTCCCTTAAATTTCCCGGGTTTCAAAGGAAGCAGCTCCTCTCCCTCCCTCCCTGCCGGCCAGGGAGGAGGGAGGCTCCAACTGTGTTGCTTGGCTGCGTTGCTCATCCAATAAGGAGTCTAAGAACGACTGGGGGGTGGAGCTTGCATGCCTTGTGCCGATCAAATCGGATGCATTGCCTGGGGACTTGCCTTTGCTCAGCGCTTCCCAGCGGAGAGGCGATGATGGTTTCTCTTGCTGCACCTCCTTTGCCGGGTTGCTGCGCTGTGGGAACCACCGCTTGAGGCTTTGTTTGGCTGCTGACTGGGCTTTCTTCCTTTGGCTTGGAGGGGCTCAGAAGTTGAACATACCTGTGCTTGGAAAATCCCTTATTCCTGCTGATCCCTTATTTTTGAGGCTGCTGGTCCCTTATTTTCAAATCTGTAAGTTGACAGCTATGTGTCTAGCGCCTTGAAATCGAGGTGGCTATTGTAAACACTGTATGTTTAAGAAGTATTTCCTGCTCCTGTGACTCAGGGTCCTTCCAGACCTCCTACTTATTGTCTCTCCATAGCTATTTGTGCTCATTATGGTGTCAGGAAGGTTATACAGACAACTCCTCACGTGTGAGCGATCTACTTGTGTGTGACAGAGCTGGGAACCTGGAAGTGGAACCTGGAAGTGGAGAGCACCCTGGAGAATCCCTGGAGAGCACCCTGGTGGAGTCTCCTTCTTTGGAGGTCTTTAAGCAGAGGCTTGACAACCATATGTCAGGAGTGCTCTGATGGTGTTTCCTGCTTGGCAGGGGGTTGGACTCGATGGCCCTTGTGGTCTCTTCCAACTCTATGATTCTATGATTCTATGAATCCTTGTGGCTCGTAAGGAGACCCTCCCCAGGCTCTGGAGGAGGGTATTCTCACAAACCACGGTGTTCCCCATTTTCATGCGTTCCACTTATGCGTGCAGAGCCCCTGAATATAACTCCCGCATAAGTGGGGAGTTGCCTGTGCACAATCCCACTTCCAATATTGTTTTTGCATACAGAAGTTTCAGGGCGGACGTATTGCTTATTTTCCAGTTTGTTCGTGTCCCGTCACTGGCGGAAGAAGAGGAGTGCGGAGGGAACGCACCGCCCCCGGCAGCGCAATCCCAGTGGGGTGCCATCGCGGCTGCCCCCCTGCCTGCGCCGGGTGCCACGCCCCCAGAATGTGTGCCACGCCCCTACGGGCAGCACACCTGCCCCCAGGACGTGCGCCAGCCCCGTCCCCACCTGCTCTCCGCGCCCCCAGTGCTGGAGCATGAAGCTCTGCCACTGTGTCCCATAGCATCCTGCAGAAATCACGCAACTTCTGATCCCCCTGTGTCCTGTACCCCACCAGCAATTGTGATGTTCAGGGGTAGAGCGCCTCTGAAGATGCAGGCTCTTTTAAAGGTAAAGGTAAAGGGACCCCTGACCATTAGGTCCAGTCGTGACCGACTCTGGGGTTGCGGCGCTCATCTCGTTTATTGGCCGAGGGAGCCGGCGTACAGCTTCCAGGTCATGTGGCCAGCATGACTAAGCCGCTTCTGGCGAACCAGAGCAGTGCACGGAAACGCCGTTTACCTTCCCGCCGGAGCGGTACCTATTTATCTACTTGCACTTTGACGTGCTTTCGAACTGCTAGGTTGGCAGGAGCAGGGACCGAGCAACAGGAGCTCACCCCATCACAGGGATTCAAACCGCTGACCTTCTGATCGGCAAGTCCCGGAGGCTCTTATTACCTGCCGTTAATACCTTGCCTCCCTCTCTTCCTTCCTTCCTCTCTCCCTCCCTTCCCAGGGCCCTGCTCGGAAGCTTGCCTTTTGCACCCGTCGCTCTGCGAACTGCCCCTGCGGGCTCGCTTGGCAGGGAAGGCCAAGCTGGAGGTGCCACGGAAAGTGCCGCTGCAGCACCTGTCCAAGACTGGCACGCGCTCCCTGGGGGACCTGAAGGTGTGCCGTGGGACGCGTGGGCTCGTGGCCCGTTTCCTGCACAGGTCCAAGCGCAACCTGGCTCTGGCGGGAGCAGAAATGGCAGGGCGAAGCAGCAGTCCGGGGCGCAAGCAGGTACGGAGGGCAAAACAAGTTTTCACCAGCTGGTGGAATTTCCTATTTATTTTCCTGTTTATTTTTTGTTTCGCATGAAATGGAGTTCTTATCAGCTCAGCAGTCGCGGTGGCTGGTGGGATGGAAGGCAAGTAAGTGAAGATGATGATAATTAATTTATTACTTATACCCCACCCTTCTGACTGAGTTGTACCAGCCACTCTGGTCATCTCCCAACAGAATACAGTGGCACCTTGCTTTATGAACTTAATCCGTTCTGGAAGTCCGTTCTTAAACCAAAGCGTTCTTAAACCAAGGCGTGCTTCCCCATAGCAGCGGGGGACTCAATTTACAAATGGAACACACTCAACAGGAAGCGGAACATGTTCTGCTTCCAAGGCAAAGTTCACAAACCAAAACACCTACTTCCAGGTTTGCAGCGTTCTTAATACAAGTTGTTCATAAACTAAGCTGTTCTTAAACCAAGGTACCACTGTATAAGAAACACAGCAAGACATCAGACATTAAAAACTCCCCGAGTTGGTAGAGCACGAGACTTTAATCTCAGGGTTGTGGGTTCAAGTCCCATGCTGGGCAAAAAGATTCCTGCCTTGCAAGGGGTTGGACTAGATGACCCTTGTGGTCCCTCCCAGTTCTACAATTTTTTGTTCCTTTTTGTTCTCTTCATTTGGACAATAATTCTTTTGTTTTGTTTTAGGAAAGCCCTTTTCCTCTAATAGTGGGGCGGGAGGTGGGGGTGGAATTAACATCTGGCAACCCATGCGCCACTTTGGTTTCAGATACTACATGGGTAAAAGGTAAAGGGACCCCTGACCGTTAGGTCCAGTCGTGACCGACTCTGGGGTTTTGCACTCATCTTGCTTTATTGGCCGAGGGAGCCGGCGTACAGCTTCCGGGTCATGTGGCCAGCATGACTAAGCCGCTTCTGGCGAACCAGAGCAGCGCACGGAAACGCCGTTTACCTTCCCGCTGGAGTGGTACCTATTTATCTACTTGCACTTTGATGTGCTTTCAAACTGCTAGGTTGGCAGGAGCAGGGACCGAGCAACGGGAGCTCACCCTGTCACGGGGATTCGAACCACCGACCTTCTGATCAGCAAGACCTAGGCTCTGTGGTTTAACCCACAGCACCACCCGCATCCCTACTACATGGGTAGACAAGTCTAAAAAGGCCTGGGGCACAAATTGTCACGGCCCTCTAGCAGCTAATTTACCAGAAGTAATGTATTTAGCATTAACTCTGGAAAAGTATACTCTATTCTGACCAAACTTAGCCTCTGGAGCTACTTGTAAGCTGCCTGTGTGCTATCCCCCCCCCAAAAAAAACCTCCCCCCCTCAAATAACAAATATAATAAATTTAAATCCACCCACAGTGGATGGAAACAGGAAAGAACCCAGCAGGAAGGACTCCATGATTAGGAAAGCAAAGGCAAAAATATAACCCCCCCACCCCCAGTTTTGAAAGCCCGGGAAATCCCCATATGATGTGGGCCACTTCAGGTATTTAAGGAGGCAAATTAATTGTGCTGACTAATTAGGGGGTTAAACATCCTAATTGCCCGAGGCTTAGGGAACAGCTCTTGAAAGAAGGCGACAAAGGAACCGAACCAGCTCCTGTTTAGGTTTCACAATGAATTCTTCCTTGATTAAATCCCGGGCGTGTGGGAGGCTGCTTCAGAAATTGAACACCCCTTCTGACCATAGGCGCCGACTCCATGGGGCTTGAGGGGGCTCGAGCCCCTCAAAAAATTTTTTGGGGGGGCTCAGCCCCCCCAATAATCTCGGGCGCCGGGGGCTCCTGCCTCGCTGCTTCGCAGCACCACCGCCACTGCCAAGGCACTGCCGGGGGGAATTTCCTTCCTCCTGGCGGTTTCAGCCCCCGCGAGAAACAGGGGAATCCCGACTGGCCCACACCTCCCAGCCAGCCAATCGGCTGGCTGGGGGGGCGTGGCTTGCCCTATTTAGGGCCGGAGCCACTTTATTTGCATATTCATGAGCTTATTTATTATTCATGAGCTTTCCCGGGCCCCCCAATATTTTTTATAAGTCCGCGTCCCTGCTTCTGACTTCAATTCAAAATCCTTTATTAGGCATATCACACCACACATTTATCAAACAAACATCATATACAGACTGTATAAAATACAGGCTCAGCGAACACAATTTATCTCAGACCTATTCTTAACTCCAAGAAATAAATCTATGTACATAGATAATATAATACAGCACAAGCAACATCACCTACCATTAAGAACCACTAAGTCTCTTTATCATGGCCCATTCTTTCTTCATGGACAGCACTTAAAAATTCAGCCACTATTAAAGTAATCTGATCATCGCTGTCCGCCAGCAGGTCCTGAACAGTTGGTTGTGTAAAAGACTGTCTATTAAATTTTAGGGCCTCAAATAATTGTCTTCTGGCATAACTGCCAAAATCACAGGAAAAGAATATATGCTCTAGAGTATCGGGTTCCTGTTTTCTGCATTTGCAGAGACGCTCTGATTCTGGGATAGCTAAGTATCTTCCTCTCACTACCACCGAGGGAAACATGTTAAATCTGGCCAACATAAACAGCCTACACGATTCATGTTTCTTCAGATTTGTCATGTATCCCTTTTGGAAATCTCTACACAAAGGGAGATTTAAGTGGATAGGAGAGCAGGTACTGTGCTTTGCAACCTCAAGCATGGCGAGAACACTTTTTTCTGTAAGAGTCTTCCTGATAATTTCCCATGTATCTTTGGGATCAGAGATTACACCCCTTCTGACTTTTCCCTGAGAGTAAGCCCAAGTATCCCCTTCATGGATCACTGCCTTCCCATGGCGAAGGGGCTTGAAGAACTCAGAGAAGCTATGAACTACGCCGAGCAGGGCACACAAGATGAACAGGTCATAGTGGAGAGTTTTGACCAAACGTGACCCACCTGGAGGAGGAACCAGCAAGCCACTCCAGTATCCTTGCCAAGAAAACTCCATGGACAAAGACAACAGGCATATAAAAGTTATGACGCTGGAAGATGAGCCCCTCAGGTCGGAAGGCGTCCAACATGCTACTGGGGAAGAGCGGAGGGCAAGTACAAGTAGATCCAGAGCTGATGAAGCGGCCGGGCCGAAGCCGAAAGGACGCTCAGTTGCGGATATGCCTGGAAGCGAAAGGAAAGTCCAATGCTGTAAAGAAAAATATTGCATAGGAACCTGGAATGTACGAACCATGAACCTGGGTAAGTTGGAGGTGGTCAAAAATGAGATGGCAATAATTAATATTGACATCCTGGGCATCAGTGAACTAAAATGGACGGGAATGGGCGAATTCAGTTCGGATGACCATCACATCTACTACTGTGGGCAAGAAACCCGTAAAAGAAATGGAGTGGCCCTCATAGTCAACAAAAGAGTGGCGAAAGCTGTACTGGGATGCAATCTCAAAAATGATAGAATGATCTCGATACGAATCCAAGGCAGACCTTTTAACATCACAGTAATCCAAGTTTATGCACCAACTACTGGTGCTGAAGAAACTGAAATTGAGCAATTCTATGAAGACTTACAACACCTTATAGAAGTGACACCAAAGAAGGATGTTCTTCTCATTATAGGGGATTGGAATGCTAAAGTAGGGAGGCAAGAGATAAAAGGAACAACTGACAAGTTTGGCCTTGGAGATCAAAACGAAGCAGGGCAAAGGCTAATAGAGTTCTGTCAAGAGAACAAGCTGGTCATCACAAACACGCTTTTCCAACAACACAAGAGACGACTCTACACATGGACATCACCAGATGGGCAGCATCGAAATCAGATTGATTATATTCTCTGCAGCCAAAGATGGAGAAGCTCTATACAGTCAGCAAAAACAAGACCTGGAGCTGACTGTGGCTCAGATCATCAGCTTCTTATAGCAAAATTCAAGCTTAAACTGAAGAAAGTAGGAAAAACCACTGAGCCGGTAAGATACAATCTAAGTCAAATCCCTTATGAATACACAGTGGAAGTGAGGAACAGGTTTAAGGATTTAGATTTGGTGGACAGAGTGCCTGAAGAACTATGGATGGAGGCTCGTAGCATTATACAAGAGGCAGCAACTAAAACCATCCCAATGAAAAGGAAATGCAAGAAAGCAAAGTGGCTGTCCAACGAGGCCTTACAAATAGCGGAGGAGAGAAGGCAAGCAAAATGCGAGGGAGATAGTGAAAGATACAGGAAATTGAATGCAGATTTCCAAAGAATAGCAAGGAGAGACAAGAAGGCCTTCTTAAACGAGCAATGCAAACAAATAGAGGAAAACAACAGAATGGGAAGAACCAGAGATCTGTTCAAGAAAATTGGAGATATGAAAGGAACATTTCGTACAAAGATTACCATAATAAAGGACAAAAGTGGTAAGGACCTAACAGAAGCAGAAGACATCGAGAAGAGGTGGCAAGAATACACAGAGGAATTATACCAGAAAGATATGGATGTCTCGTACACCCCAGGTAGTGTGGTTGCTGACCTTGAGCCAGACATCCTGGAAAGTGAAGTCAAATGGGCCTTAGAAAGCACTGCAAATAACAAGGGCAGTGGAAGTGATGGTATTCCAGCTGAACTATTTAAAATTTTAAAAGATGATGCTGTTAAGGTGCTACACTCAATATGCCAGCAAATTTGGAAAACTCAGCAGTGGCCAGAAGATTGGAGAAGATCAGTCTACATCCCAATCCCAAAGAAGGGCAGTGCCAAAGAATGCTCCAACTACCGCACAATTGCACTCATTTCACACGCTAGCAAGGTTATGGTTAAAATTCTACAAGGAAGGCTCAAGCAGTATGTGGATCGAGAACTCCCAGAAGTGCAAGCTGGATTTAGAAGAGGCAGAGGAACCAGAGACCAAATTGCAAACATGCGCTGGATTATGGAGAAAGCTAGAGAGTTCCAGAAAGACATCTACTTCTGCTTCATTGACTATGCAAAAGCCTTTGTGTCAACCACAGCAAACTATGGCAAGTTCTTAAAGAAATGGGAGTGCCTGATCACCTCATCTGTCTCCTGAGAAATCTCTATGTGGGACAAGAAGCTACAGGTATGCAGATGACACAATCTTGATGGCAGAAAGTGAGGAGGAATTAAAGAACCTTTTAATGAGGGTGAAAGAGGAGAGCGCAAAATATGGTCTGAAGCTCAACATCAAAAAAACGAAGATCATGGCCACTGGTCCCATCACCTCCTGGCAAATAGAAGGGGAAGAAATGGAGGCAGTGACAGTGAGAGATTTTATTTTCTTGGGCTCCATGATCACTGCAGATGGTGACAGCAGTCATGAAATTAAAAGACACCTGTTCCTTGGGAGAAAGGCGATGGCAAATCTAGACAACATCTTAAAAAGTAGAGACATCACCTTACCAACAAAGGTCCGTATAGTTAAAGCCATGGTTTTCCCAGTAGTGATGTATGGAAGTGAGAGCTGGACCATAAAGAAGGCTGATCGCCGAAGAATTGATGCTTTTGAATTATGGTGCTGGAGGAGACTCTTGAGAGTCCCATGGACTGCAAGAAGATCAAACGCATCCATTCTTAAGGAAATCAGACCTGAGTGGTCACTGGAAGGACAGATCGTGAAGTTGAGGCTCCAGTACTTTGGCCACCTCATGAGAAGAGAAGACTCCCTGGAAAAGACCCTGATGTTGGGAAAGATGGAGGGCACAAGGAGAAGGGGACGACAGAGGATGAGATGGTTGGATAGTGTTCTCGAAGCTACCAGCATGAGTTTGACCAAACTGCAGGAAGTAGTGGAGGACAGAGGTGCCTGGCGTGCTCTGGTCCAGGGGGTCACGAAGAGTCGGACACGACTAAACGACTAAACAACAACAACAACAAAGCCCAAGTATAAAGTCTACCCTCATCAATACTCCCTGATCTCTTGGCGCCGATTGTGGAGGTTAGTTTGACGATGCCCTGCCTTTGCGGAGCGTTCCTTCAGATTGGATTGCAGGGCAGTTATATAAGAACAAACACTGCACCGTGTTCACATGCCTCCCTGTTAATCTTTCATGTCTTCCTGTTAAACACGCTTTAGCTCATTTCGCCATCCTTAATCAGAATGTTAAATGTCTGGTGTTGTTTTTGCAAATGGATTTGTTGCGGTCGGTGACAGAATAAGCCCATCCTCTTTAGTTGCGCAAACCTAAATTTCGGATAAGTGCTTTAACCCCTCCCACAAAATCCCAAGAGACTGTGCCTATGCTGTACATTTAAAGCACATTTCCCCACCCACAAAGCATCATGGGAACCGTAGTTCGCCCCACACTGGTGTGCAATGCCCAGTACCCTGAACAAACTACAGTTCCCAGGATTCTTTGGAGGGAAACAAATACAGTGGTACTTCGGGTTACAGACGCTTCAGGTTACATACTCCGCTAACCCAGAAATAGTACCTCGGGTTAAAAACTTTGCTTCAGGATGAGAACAGAAATCGCACGGCAGTGGGAGACCCCATTAGCTAAAGTGGTGCTTCAGGTTAAGATCAGTTTGAGTTTAAGAACGGACCTCCGGAACGAATTAAGTACTTAACCCGAGGTACCACTGTAATGTGTGCACAGCCATGATGTGGAGGTGGCTTAAAATACGCGTTGCTCTTTTTATCCCTCTACAACACCAAAGCAGGAATAGAGACAAAGCAGAAAAAGCATTGGCCACAGACACAGCAGGCTTCCCAGAGTCGTGCCATCTTGGCTAAGATGGCTCCTTTCTTGACCCTTGCTACCAGATGAAGAACTTGTTGTTTCTGCCCAACTCATAGACCTGAGTGATACATAGGCAAGGCAAGGGTTAAAGGCACAGCAATTGCATTGCATGGTTTAAGCCAGGGGTCAGCAAACTTTTTCAGCAGGGGGCTGGTCCACTGTTCCCCAGACCTTGTGGGGGCTGGACTATATTTTTTGGAGGGGAATGAACAAATTCCTATGTCCCACAAATAACCCAGAGATACATTTTAAATAAAAGGACACATTTTATTCATGTAAAAACACGCTGATTCCCGGACCGTCCGCGGGCCGGATTTACCGTATTTTTCGCTCTATAAGACGCACCAGACCACAAGACGCACCTAGTTTTTGGAGGAGGAAAACAAGAAAAAAAAAATTCTGAATCTCAGAAGTCAGAACAGCAAGAGGAATCGCTGCGCAGTGAAAGCAGCAATCCTTCTTGCTGTTCTGGCTTCTGGGATAGCTGCGCAGCCTACATTCGCTCCGTAAGACGCGCACACATTTCCCCTTACTTTTTAGGAGGGAAAAAGTGAGTCTTATAGAGCAAAAAATATGGTAGAAGGCGATTGGGCCTGATCCGGCCCTCAGGCCTTAGTTTGCCTACTCATGGCTTAGTGTGAGCTGAGATGTTGAGCCAGCAAGTGGCACCTTGGTGAAGTATACCTGAAGGAGCGTCTCCACCCCCATCGTCCAGCCTGGACACTGAGGTCCAGCGCCAAGGGCCTTCTGGCAGTTCCCTCACTGCGAGAAGTGAGGTTACAGGGAACTAGGCAGAGGGCCTTCTCGGTAGTGGCACCCGCCCCGTGGAACGCCCTCCCATCAGATGTTAAGGAAATAAACAACTACCAGACTTTTAGAAGATGCCTGAAGGGAAGTTTTTAATGTTTGATGTTTTATCGTGTTTTAATATTCTGTTGGGAGCCGCCCCGAGTAGCTGGGCAAACCCAGCCAGATGGACAGGGTATAAATAATAAATTATCATCACCATCATCATCACCATCATCATCATCATTATTATTATTATTATTATTATTATTATTATTATTTTGCAGAGTGGGGTGGGCACAGCAAACAACACACACATATATTAAAATTGCTTTGCAAAAGCATTATTAGTGAAAATAATGTAGAAAAAAGCTATATATGTGTGTGGGTGGGTGCGTGTCTATTTTCTACGTTATTTTCATCTGTATTTATTTTATTAAATTTCTATACCGCCCTTCATCCAAGGGTGGTTTACAGTACAAAGACACATAGCATAGCAACGAACAAGAAAACAACTGTGACATAGGTATCTCTGTACCCATTAATTAGCTGGAGAACTGCGTTGCAAAATTCGGAGAACTGTGAATTTGGAGGGACGGCTCCATGTATTGCTTCAGAAGGTATTTGCTAGGTTCGCCTTTGAATGCAGACTGAACTGGACCCCTCCCTCCTGTTAACAACGCAGTATCTGAAAATGCAACGCAGCCGGCTTAGCTTCAGGCTTGTGGAGGGTGGGGAGGCGAGCAACCACCAGTATAACCTCTTGTGCAACAGCTGCTAGTTCTGCATTTTTGGAGCAGGAGGATGGAAAAAAAGAAGTATCTCTGGAGAAATATGTCAAACAGCCTGTGGGGATGTGAGCAGCTCTCTCCATGGGCCCCTAAGACAATTTTTTACTTTTCTGCCTCGCCCACCTAAAAAGAAGAGCTGAACTTCTGCGGCAAACCTCTCTGAAACAAGTCTGGCTCAATAATAATAATAATAATAATAATAATAATAATAATAATTTATCATTTATACCCCGCCCATCTGGCCGGGCTTCCCCAGCCACTCTGGGTGGCTTCCCAAAAAATATTAAAATACTGCAATACATTTAGCTCCTAGAAGCCGTGATTCCTGTTTTGAAAGCGCCGCTTGCCAATCTCTCTGTGTGGTCAGAGCTGCTCTCCTTTTAGTACGATTTCTCTTTTAAAAAAAACAAATTATTAATTTTATTGAGTACAAATTAGAAAAAATACAAATATACATTTTATACATTTTTTAAAAAAAATTTAGTACGATTTCTCAAGCTGCAGCGCCAAACCTTAGCACTACTAACAGTTTTCGAGGGCAGGGAAGAAAATTGCAGCTCTGGCTTAATGTTCCTTTACAGGCTGTCATTTTGTTTTTCTCTCAGGTGCCCAGGCAGAGGCTGGAGCGGAGCTCTCCGGAAGGGATTCACCTGCAGAGCTGCGGGGACCTGAGCTCTACCTCCTCCTTGCGGCGCTTGCTCTCTGGCCGCCGGCTGGAGCGAAGGCGCCCCCACAGCCTTAGCGGACTCGTCCGAGAGAGCAACCTGTAAGAGGGCGTTTAATGTGTGTCTTCCTGATGCCGACCATTGTGGCTGCTTCGTGACTCGGGCCTCGGATCAGGAAGCCCGGGGCTAGATTTCTGGAGGAACTGGATTGGGGCTCCTATAGCAAAAACAAGCAAAACACCACCCACCCACCCACCTCAGTCAGGAAGACGGAAGCAAGGAATGCAGGAGTTCCGCCCTGCGGAGATGGTGCAATGACCAGGTGTTGATTGATGGGCCCGTGAGAAGCATCACTCTCGTTCGCTCTGCAACCTCCTCCAGGTTGTGTGGCGTGGGAAGGAGCACTCACTCTCCAGTGACTCCTGAGGGCTTGTACAATGGGGAGCGCTGGCAAACGCTGCGGCCGGCAGCACTCTTGGCTCCCGCAAATTGACTTGTATGTATCCAAGGAAATGTTGACTGCCTGCCAGCCAGCTGCGGCACGCAGCGGCAGAGGCGGATGCCTTGCACAGGGCAGTGGCTCGCTTCCCCACATCCTGATGCTTCACAGTGTTGTGTGGCGGGGTGGGTGTGTGCATGGCAGCCGCTGTCCCGTCTGAAGAGATGCGTGCCCAGGAATCCCGCTTGACCTGGCAAAGGTTTCCTTGGTACGAGAAGAGGGGTGGGGTGGGAATGACCCCAGCTCTTCTATGCACATTTAATTGACATCACCAGGGATTTCCCTGCATGGCCACCTGAGAGGTACCCTACCTGGACGTCTCACCTCCAGCTGCTGCTCCCCCTCCCACGGCCCCCCGTGCACACACACCATGCCCAGGAGTTCAGCTGCCCTAGCATATATGTAACATCAAGCCCTTTGCCTACTACTGATACCTCACTTTTAGCTGTGCCTTTGATTGATTGATTGATTGATTGATTGATTGATTGGTTGGTTGGTTGGTTGGTTGCTTCCTCTCTCTACCCAGGTGCTGGGACAGGGCCCGATGAATTCTCTGGAATCACTTTGGAGAGAAAGAAAGCTTCCCACTGGGGTTGCCGGGTCTCCCAAGACTCGTAAAGACCAAAGCTGGCTCATCTGCCCCAAAGCTGCCTCTTTCTCACAGTGGCCCCAAACAGAGATACCTTTGGGATGCCCAGAAAGCAGGGCATGAGGGCAAGAGCCGTCCCTCTGCTGCCTCACTTCTGTCCTGCAAAAATAGACTGCCTCTAAGCCTGGAGGTTCCATTGATAGCCACCTCCTCCTTCCCTAACCTTTTAAAGCCGTCCAATGACGCAGAAGGAGCCGAGCATAGGAGCTTAAAGGGTGAGGCCTGGCCACTGATGGGGCAAGATGGGGCTTAGCACCGCACGGTGTGGGGTGGAGCAGGTCTGGCTCCAGATCTGAGGCGAGCCCCAGCCTACCCCAGTCTCCTGTCATGAGTGTCTTTTTCCCAGAATGCCCCTCCAACGACCCTGCCGTGGGGCATTGTGGGAATTCTGTTTCAGCAGGCGGCAGGCAGCTACCAAACCACCACAGGGTTTCTGGCAAGAGTGGTCAACCCTGTGTGGACATGCAGGGGCCTCAGCGACTGCCCTCGGGTGCTGAGTGCTGGCGCCAGCCCTGGGCAAAGGATGGCACATCTCAGGCGGCAGAGGGGTGGGTGTCAAGTTACACCTGCTGCCTCTGCGCAAGAGGAGTCAGAGCGAAGAACAAAAAGTTCTCAAGTCGAGCAGCGACTTCCCCCACTCCCTTCCCTTGACCCTGACCCCTTCTCATACTGATCTATTTTACTCCTCACCTCCCGTTAATAATTCGGATTAATCATCTACTGTCACAATCAATAGGAAGAGTTGAGCAGACAAATAAATGCTATCTACATTGTTAACAAGGGACACAGGTGGCGCTGTGGGTTAAACCACAGAGCCTAGGGCTTGCCGATCAAAAGGTTGGCGGTTCGAATCCCCGCGACGGGGTGAGCTCCCGTTGCTCGGTCCCTGCTCCTGCCAACCTAGCAGTTCAACAGCACATCAAAGTGCAAGTAGATAAATAGGTACCGCTCCGGCGGGAAGGTAAACGGCGTTTCCGTGCGCTGCTCTGGTTCGCCAGAAGTGGCCTAGTCATGCTGGCCACATGACCCGGAAGCAGTACGCCGGCTCCCTCGGCCAATAAAGCGAGATGAGCGCCGCAACCCCAGAGTCCGGTCATGACTGGACCTAACGGCCAGGGGTCCCTTTACCTTTAGATTGTTAGCAGTTTCGGTTAACAAGCATTCTTCCTTGCAGGGTCCAGGGGTCTCTTACTCCGTCCCAACCCAAAATTTACAACTCCTGCCCCTCCCCCACGGCACCCGCTCTAGCCTTCTTCCCTTGAAGACTCTGAGAAGGGAGGCTTTTTAGCCCCTGGCAACCTCAGGTCAAACTCCCCAAGACCCGGCAATCCTATTTCCTGTTGGAGGAGGAAGTCTGCATGTACACCAATGCCACACACAGCCCCCAACCGGTTTGGTTCCACGCTTTCCTCCCACTCTTACCTCGCTCTTTTGCAACACAGGTGCGCACATCTGTCAGATGACAGGCCTCCCTTTTCTCTCTCTCCTTTTTGCAGAGCTGAGGGGAGTACGTGGCGAGGGCGGGGTGGAGAGCTCGGTTGGCAAGGAGGGCTGCCGACTCTGCCCTCCTTGCAATGACGCCTATCTTCCCTTTAGCAGTCGCATGCGTCAAACAGGCGGAATTTGGCCTGTGAAATGCGGCGATGCAGGTGTTGCCAAATTTCCAACCGTGGCTGCTAAGAGGCAAAGGAGCTAAGTGGAGTTGGGAAAGCTGGCGCCTTGGGAGACGCTCACCACTGTCAGTTTGAGTTGCACAAATACTTATCTGAGACAAACCAAATAAAGCCATATCTATCTAATCTGTAGCTGCTGGTTTTTGTAAGAGAACTTCATTAAAAAACACCTACACACAGCTAAGATCTCTCGCAGACCTTGTTTAACATTTGATTTGGTTGCGCTACGCTGATGTAGGAATTAGGCAATGCTTTGTCTTTAGTAGAACATCATGCGATTGTTGTTGACATGTCTTCTCGTTATACAGTACATTGAACCCACACATTTCACAGCCTTTCCTTATCACTTTCTAGGTTGAATCTGCACGAGGTCTTATCACTTCTCACCTCCCAGACTGGCTCTGGTGTAATTAGCAATTGCTTGACACCTGTCGTTCAGCAAGTGAAGCCTTTTCTCCTGTTGCTGCATGCCCTGTATTGGGGAAAAAGCTCCTTTTGCCTGTCTGCTAATTTAAAAGCGCAGGAGCCAAGCCAGATGGGAAATGGTGGCTACCCAGCTTGTCACGGAGTCACGGAGTCCTGACAATCAAATTGTCGGATGTCCAATGAAGACTGGAGATGAAACTAAAAGCATAAAGAAGTCAGGAGGGGATGGAGGGCTGATGGGGTGGGGTAGGGAACCGATTCTGCTCATTTGAATGTGGCAAAATGTGAATTATTTGCAGACGCTGTTCAAAACCATGGAAGCCTCTTCAGTGCAAACTCTCATTAACTGTAGGACAACCTTTCAGTGGGCATGGGTGCTGTGTTCACCCCAAGAAGTTAGAATTTTTAGGGGTGCTCTACTTAGCTGGGGTTGCTTTCCTTTGAAAAAAAGTCACCGGACGATTATTGGGGGGGTTTCTTTTTTTAGAATGGTGATTATTTACAAATATACAGGTCTGTCAATATATGGCAGTGATCGGTGAGTCTTGGGGAGGACCGCTCCCCCTGAAGCCCTTTTTCCACCTTGGGCCTGGGGGCGGGCCTCATACTCCACCACAGCATATAAGGCTCCAAGGAGGCCTCGGGACATTGCTCCTGCCGCTCTGCTGTGAGTTTGTGGGGAGGACCGCTCCCCCTGCAAGCTCATTCTCCACCTTGGGCCTGGGGGCGGACCCCATACTCACCTCCGCAGCTTATGGGGCTCCAGGGAGGCCTCGGGTGTGTGGGGTGGGGTGGGTGTTTAGTTGGGTGTGGGAATTTGTTTAATTTAATTATGCTGTGTTTGTAACTTTGTTTTTTGTTTTTATAGTTTTATTGTTCTGTTACTTTGTTTTTTGTATAGGCTTTAATTTGATTTTAAGGGGAGGGGTCAGGGCTGCCTGGGAGTGGGTCCCAGCAAACAAAATGGCTGGGGCAGGTTCCACAGGGGGAATGTATTGGGCACCCGATCTCAGTGATCATGGGTAGGAGGAGGAGTTACGCTAAGACCAGACCATGTCATTACCGAGGAGGCAGGTTTAGTCATTGTTTGAGGACTATCCCTGCCTCCAGGTCTGGTCCTGACCGGAAGGATACTGGAATCAGCAAGGGAAACCCACATGACCTGAAAGTGTTGCTGTGCAATGCCAGGTCAATGATGAATGTGGATGGAGGATTTGACCTGGCATGTGTGACAGAGACCTGGTTGGATGAGGCAGATGGGCCTGTCCTTGCCGCTGCTTGTCCACCAGGTTTCTCTTACGCACAGCAACCCAGGCCTTGTGGGCGGGGAGGGGGGGTTACAGTGATTTTTAGGAAGTCATTAGTTTGCAACAGGCGTCCTATTGGGAAGACCCAGTTCTCTGAGTGCATGTTCTGGAAGTTGGGCAATAGGGGCAGTACAGGATTCCTATTGGTGTACCGACCTCCCCGCTGCACCAAGGATTCCCTGCCCGAGCTGCTTCAGGTCGTGGCGGATGTCCTCCTGGAGACACCTAGTTTGGTTGTCCTAGGGGATTTTAACATCCATGCCGACACGACCTTACAAGGGGCCGCTCGGGTGTGGTGTAGTGGTTAAGAGCGGTAGTCTCGTAATCTGGGGAACCGGGTTCGCGTCCCCGCTCCTCCACATGCAGCTGCTGGGTGACCTTGGGCTAGTCACACTTCTCTGAAGTCTCTCAGCCCCACTCACCTCACAGAGTGTTTGTTGTGAGGGAGGAAGGGAAAGGAGAATGTTAGCCGCTTTGAGACTCCTTCGGGTAGTGATAAAGCGGGATATCAAATCCAAACTCCTCTTCTTCTTCTTCTTCTTCTTCTTCTTCTTCTTCTTCTTCTTCTTCTTCTTCTTCTTCGTGGAAAGCATGGCCTCCATGGGGCTGTCCCTGAATAAGTCTGGCCCAACTCATAGCCACGGGCATGCCTTAGACCTGGTGTTCACCTCTATGGATGTTGGTGATCTGACACTAAGTAAAAGCAAAACCAAAGAAGTGCCATGGTCAGATCACTTCCTGGTGCAACTGGACTTCTCCGCGACCCTTCCCCTCTGCAGGGAGGCGGGACCGATTCAGATGGTCCGCCCCCGCCACTTAATGGATCCAGATGGTTTCCAGAGAGTGGTAGGGGATGTTTTATCCCAAGTTGATGGCCTTTCAGCTGATTCCCTGGTGGCCCGCGGGAGTGTGGAGTTAACCAGGGCTATTGACTGTTTGGCTCCAAAGCGCCCTCTCCGCTTGCATGGAGCCCGGACAGCCCCATGGTTTTCCACGGATCTGTGGGCAATGAAACAATCGTTGAGACGGCTAGAGCGCCGGTGGCGGATAACCCATTCTGAATCTGACCGAACACGGGTTAGAGCTCAATGTCGAGCCTACCAAGTGGCGATAGCGACGGCGAAGAAGACTTTCTTCACCGCCTCTATTGCATCTGCGGAAAACAGCAGCAGGAGACTCTTTCAGGTGGTTCGCAATTTAGCGGAACCACCTGCGACATCGGGGCCCAGTATGGGCCACATGATCTCCTGCAATGACTTTGCAAAGTTTTTTGCAGATAAAGTCGCTCAGATTCGAGAAGAGGTAGACTCCACCGTGGGAGCAGGGCCGGGGCGGGAGAGTGCTAGAGTCCTGTCTAGTCAAGTTGTGTGGGATCAATTCCAATCTGTTACCCCCGAGGATGTGGACAGGCTGCTTGGACGAGTGAAACCAACCACTTGTCTCCTTGATCCTTGCCCATCCTGGCTTATAAAAGCTAGCCGGGAAGGACTGGGCGATGGGCTTCGTGGGGTGGTGAATGCTTCCCTCCGTGAGGGAGCCTTCCCAGACCCGCTGAAAGAGGCGGTTATTAAACCGCTTCTTAAAAAACCATCTTTAGATGCGGACACGATAGCCAACTATCGCCCAGTCTCAAATCTTCCATTCTTGGGCAAGGTGATTGAGCGAGTGGTTGCTGAACAACTCCAGGCACGCCTGGAAGAAGGGGACCATTTGGATCCCTTCCAGTCGGGATTCAGGCCTCATCATGGGACTGAAACTGCCTTGGTCGCACTAGTTGATGATCTCCGGCGGGCTAGGGACAAAGGTGAGAGCTGTTTCCTAGTTCTGCTGGATCTCTCTGCGGCCTTTGACACCATCGACCATAACTCAGCGGAAGCTCAGAGAGAGCTTGCCATTCCATTCCCTCCAACATTTCTCCAATGAAAATAGGGACGTCCTGTTCCATAATAATACATAATAGTTTTATTATTTATACCCCGCCCACCTGACTGGGTTACCCCAGCCACTCTGGACGGCTTCCAACACATAAAAATAATATAAAAACATTAAAAAATAATAATACAGGGCTGCCTTCAGATGTCTTCTAAAGGTTGTAGCGTTACTTATCTCCTTTGCTCGTGAGTGGCATAACTCTATACCCTCCAACTTTTCTCAGATGAAAATAAGGAAAAGCAGGACATTCAGGGATCAACTCAGAAACCGGGATGGCTTCTGTAAATCCGGGACTGTTCCCTGGAAAACAGGGACACTTGGAAGGTCTGCTGTTCTTTAGCTTCAGTGGAATCTTCCCCTTGTTAAACCTTTTCACCAGTACACAGACATTCCTATTTCGGTGTCAATTCAGCCAAGACCTAACACTCACACAACCCTCTCTGCCCACCATCCAGGACTGTGGAGAGTCTGGAAAGCCAGAGGGGGAGGCATAGACAGCCGCATTTGACCCCCA